GTTTCTGATTTTATTAATTTGGATACTCTCTCTCTGTCTTTTAGTTAGTTTGGATAAGGGTTTATCTATTTTGTTGATTTTCTTGAAGAGCCAACTTTTTGTTTCATTGATTCTTCGTATTGTTCTCTTTGTTTCTATTTTATTGATTTCAGCCCTCAGTTTGATTATTTCCTGTCATCTACTCCTCTTAGGCATGTCTACTTCTTATTCTAGAGCTTTCAGAATAAAGCACTAGTGCTATTAAGTCACTAGTATGAGATCTCTCCAAATTCTTCAAGAAGGCACTTAGTGCTATGGACTTTCCTCTTAACACTGCTTTCATTGTGTCCCATAAGTTTGGATATGTTATGCACTGATTTTCATTGAATTCTAGGAAGTCTTTAGCTTTTTTCTTTATTTCTGCCTTGACCCAGTGTACCACTGCTGTGAGGACCAGCCTCCAGAATTATAGCATTTTATGGGAATCCAATGGAGTCTGTGAATGAGGACTTTTTTGAGGGAGTGAGAGAGACACATACATTCTTGATGATTTTCTTCTGACTTCTTTTTTATTCTTCTCCTTAGTTTTAGTCTACATCTTTCCTGATGTTTTCCTTCTCTCCTTCTTGATGTTTTCCTAACTAACATATTTTTTTCCCTTAGAGCTTGTATACTCCAGTAGACTCTTTCAAGTAATATAAAAATTACAATGTGGTCACATTCTAGTTTTTCAAGTGAATAATTAAAATTAATATAGGTAAAAAACCAGCATGTTTTTTATATCCCTTACATGATTAAACATTTTACATTTTACAGGTGAAAAACAAGTTGTCCCAATAACCCATGTACATTCATACCCAAACAACTTTTATAGATTAACAGAGTATAAGAAAGCAAGGTATTTTTCTTAGCCAGTTCTTTTAATGGCAGGCTGCATTTTGCAGTTACATAGAAAAAAATCTATCACTTTATTATTTATCTTGAAAAGTAATCTTATAAGAAATTTTGGAAGAATCACAAATCTAAACTTTTATATATGAAAAAGAACCAGTCAGTTCTATTTCAAATCCCCAGGGTGCATATCCACTCATCAACAGTTTTTTTTTTTTTTTTTAATATCAGGAAGCTGAGGGTAGTAATGGGCACAAGGAATTAATCATCACCTTTGGTCACCAACCCATCTTAGCAAGAAAGGCACATCAGCTACTAATAACTGGGCTGCTTTGTTTTGGTTCCCTGACTTTAATGAGTCCCTCACTCAGCTATGTGCCTTTCTAAAACATCAGACTGTCTTCTTGGGTTTTTTAACCTCAAAGCTATTTACAAAGCATCTTAGTCTAACCTTAAGTTATTTTCAAAGCTTTGTTTCAGCTATGATGTACTTCAAAACTTGTGAACACATCTCCTAACATTAAGGTTAAAATAATTTAAGCTAGCTGGGCTACTGGGACTCAATTGTTTTTGTAATCATTAACCTAAGCCACAGTCTATATGGCTCCTCAATAGAAACTTGTGTTGTAGCTATGCGACAATTCCTTGTTTTATTTTTTTATCCTCTGCAGCCTCTGCTTTATCAGAGTTGGGGCAACATTTTATCCTTCCTTTACCTATGTTAATTTCTCCACTAAACTAACTTCTATCATCATAATCTCTTATTATATTTATTAAAGACCCCCAATCATCAAAATTCTATTTAAATTAACACTATTGTTGTATAAAATCATTGCTCCAGTTAAACAGTACAGCTTAGGAGGAAATCTTCTTCATGATAATTCACAGGTTAAAAATGCCCAGTAGAACAGGATATTTCCAAGAGGTGATCACATTGCATTAAGAGCAGTGGGGATCTCCCAATGCCCATTCACACCATGCCAGATACCAGAAAAAAATGACAGTGCCAAACATGCGAAGACACAGCAGTAGCTAGAAACATTCTGGGGCTGAGTCTTTCGGGGCCTTGTTTATCTGAGATTCATCCATTAGGGTTTTGTTTCCTGGTGGGCTGATAACCTGAAGTCAATTGCCATCTGCTGCTCCCCTGGCATGGCCACCAGCACCAGTGGTAACTCATTAGAGAGTTGTTCAGTTTCCATGAGCTTTCTGTTGTTTCTGTTGTTTCTGTTGTTGAAATCCAGCTTTAATCCATGGTTGTCTAAAAAGACACAGGGGTTAGTTCAATATTTTTTGTATCTGTTGATACTTACTTTGTGGCCAAATATATAGTTTACTGAATTACCTGGTTGACTGGAATTTGTTTTCTTCTGTGTATACAAATTCATTTCTTTAGTTTTTTTTTATCATGGTGTTCTAAAGATTCTGAATGTTCCATTTATAAGTTTTAGAAACTTACCAGTGCTCTTGATTGAATGCTATAATTTGTGTACCCTTGTTTTCAAGCTCTAATATTTTTATCTTTTATTTCACCTGTTCTGTTGATGGCACTTCAGTTGAATATTTTAAACTTATTGATGATTTTTGATCATATTATTGATGATAATTTCCAGATTCATTTCAGTTTGAGTTTTCTTCACTATCTTTAGTATTTCTATCTCTTGTATTTTCTTGAACTTCAGTCAGGAGTTTATTCATGTCTTTTCAAAGTTATTTCAGGTGTTTATTGATGTCCTCTTTGAATTCCTTGAACTCTTTGAAAACATTTGTAATCATTCTTTTGTATTTTGTGTCTTAAGTTTTTTCTAAGTTGTTCTCATTGGGGACACTTATTACTGTATTTATAGTTTGGGAGAGAGACACTTTGACTTTTCAAAAATTATTATTGCTGTGTTTTTGCAATGGGAACTTGTCATCTGTGTTAGGTTATTATTGGTTATGTCTTTTGATGAGTTTTTCATTTACCAGGTTGAAGTCTCCCGATGGAGTGGCAGTAGACTAGTCTTGAGGGGTAGATCCAATGGTAGTTGGTCTCTTGTTGAGTGGTGTGAGCCATTGGAGAGTATCCTGAGGAGGAAGAGCCATGTGGACCCCTTGGGAGCATGGTGAGGGGTGGCACTGAGGGGGCTAGTTCTCTTCCTGAGTCTGGCCCAAAGTATGGTCTGGGTGTCTTGAGAGGGTCCCAGATAGAAGGAGCAAAGCCTAGGGTGAAAATGAGTTGGGTCTCTTACAGAGGTTTAGCCACAGGTAGAATTCATGCCACCTGGAGAATCTGGAGAGTCTGAGTAAAGGCAGGTGGGATTTGGGGCACCCTATGGAGGAGAGTGCCCTGTGTGGTATCCTTGTCTATGCTAGTTCAGGGGAAAGCAGGCAGGGTTTGGGGATGTTCTAGGTATGAAGAAGAAGCCTTACCTAGCAGCAGCTTCAGAGCTGGGTCCTGAGAAAATCTGGAAGGTGTTGGGCAGCTTAGGAAGCATGAAGGGAGGGTTCTGCCTGGCATTGCATCCTGTATAGATTCTGTCAAAGGTAGGCAGGCCTCTGGGTGACTTCAGAATGAGTAAGGAGAAGAGCGTACCCAGAGGCATATAGCCCTAGGAAAGCCTGGTACATGAGTAACTTTAGAACGAATAAGGAAAAGAGCCTACCCAGAGGCATACAGCCCCAGGAAAGCCTGGTACATGGGTAACTTTAGAATGAATAAGGAAAAGAGCCTACCCAGAGGCATACAGCCCCAGGAAAGCCTGAGAGCTGGGTAACTATAGAATGAGTAAGAAGAGTCTACCCAGAGGCATACAGCCTAGGAAAGCCTGGTGGGAAGCTGGCAGTTGTGTGGCCTAGGGAGGAAGCTGATTTGCTTTGAGTTACTTTATAAAACTTTAAAAATATAGAACTTTCATTTTATTTTTAAATTTTTATAAGATAGCTTTCATGAGGGCTGGAAAGATGACTCAGTCATAAAAGGCTAGGCTTAAAACAAAAGTAGCTTTAAAGGAGACTCATACACCTAGAGTTAACTGAATGTTTGAAATACACAGTTGATATTGGTATATATATATGTACCTATGCTTGTTGGTATGTATATGTAAGAAGCCATTTCCACAAGCACCACATACATCCTTTGAAAATCACTCCACAGGGTCTTTTACAATTCCTCTTTCCTTTCCCCTTTCATTGTTGAAACCCTTCTACACCCATCCATCTGTAAACATGATAATTAGGTTGCATTTTCTATAATTTTATAATACATAATTATCATACACTACATGTTCTTTTGGTCTGGCTGAATTCAGCCAGCGTAGTTATTTTGAGATTCTTTAATGTTTCAATTTCTTTCTTTATTTGATGAATAATAACTGAATCTATAGATAAATGACAGTTTTATTAACACATTCAACATTCAGCATGCTTCCACGTAGAGTTCCTGTGAGCATTCCTGTAAGCCAATTTCTTTGTCTCGGAGATTTGCATTTCCATAAAGCAGATCTGCTCTTCAAGGGGTAACAAACAGAAAGATAAGACCAGATTTAAAAAACAAAAATAAAAACTTCGCTGAGATTGAGTGTTAGGCAGCAGTCTGCCCTGTTGACAGCTGTCTTAGCTTTGTCCTGCATTATGTTTCCCAACAAAATGAAACATGTCAGGACTCAAAAACCCATCAGCCGTTCAGTGGTTACACACTGTATCTGATTGATGGACCCCTTGAATGAAGGACTCAGCCTCCCGTGAGTGAGTGAGGATTTGAAGTGACAGGACTAAGTGGCTAGTGTTCTCTGGGTGCTGACCCCAGAGAACTGGTTGTTTCCTCGCCAAGAACCCCGGGTATGTTATACCTACAATTTTACAGAGCATTTTTACCCTCTGACCCTCTGTCATGAATCTAGGCCAAGTGCACACATTATCTACAATCTCCTGCCAACCACCACCACTCTGTGCTGCTACAATTGAGTCTGCTTTTGGATTTGACCAGCCTGGTGTTCTCTTGGGAGGCCTTGACACATGAGTGACAAGTTAACTGGGGAAAATATTGATTGCAGAGGTTTGGGTCTAGAATATAGAATTGATTATGGCTTGTTTGCAAGTATCCCATGGATTGTAAGAGTAACCTGAATTTTGGCCAATTGCTTCCTCAGGCATTGTACATTTCTCTAAGCCATCTGACCAGAATCTTTCCATTATAGACATGCTCCTGGTGTCCACAAATCCCTCTGACTTTCACATTTGCTCCTGTGGAGTGGTTGCTGTGGAGAGCTTGGATGATGCGGAAGAATTTCTGGCCACAGAAGTAAGGCTTGGTAGTTGTAGAAGTTAAGACTTGTGAAGGCAATGAGCAATGAAAACTAACATCCTAATACCTCATCTTGAGGTCTGGAGACCTGGCCTTGCTCCCCTTGATGATGGAGGCTGCTTCTCCCCAAAGTTTACCAATAGTAACAGGACATATTTTCAATAGAGGGGCATTATAGCTATAGAAAAGTAGACAGAATTTTCAACTTAATAGCAAACTCTTTTAGTTACTGTGTATCTCTAAGGTCTTTACTCTGTTTTCTATCTATATGGAGTTGCTTTGGTATTGTTGTTTATTTATAATTATACTGCAAGATCATGTGGTCCACAGAGTTCGATTTTTCAATTTCATTTTATAAGCATTTGAAGTGGAAAGTCAAAAATAATTTTGTCAGGCATTTGTCCTTTTGCTTACTGAACTATTCTCCTGTTGTGAAATCCCAAGACCTTTGCCTCTCTTTACCCTGTGAATGTCTTAGAAGGTTAGTACTCTTTTTGTGTATTATATTCACTCAATTTTACATTCCTATAAATGAGGTTATTGAAAAAGAATGTAGACTCCTCCACTCTTGTCTTTAAAAAGCATTCTAAATTAGTTCCTATAATGACTGCATTCTTCTGGGACCATATACAGTAGTCCTAGGATGCAGTGATATGGTGACATTGTTACAGGGTTAGAAAACACCTAGAGACCACCTGAACTCTATCCAGTTGTAATTAGCTGAATTTTAATTAAGCTGCAGCTGGCCTCAGTCCCCACGGTTGTATTTGGGACTGAGGCCCAGCTTAAAGGGGAGGAGGGCTTTTAAAGGCAAAGTTCACAGTTTCTTTATTTTTTTCACTATTTGCAGATACGTGAGGAACTGCCTCACTCCCCCCATACACAGAGATAACCAAGGTTACATAAGCCAGAGCAAGTGGTTAATCATTTTACAACAGTCACACATCTGAGGAGGGGGCGAAGAGTCAGGGTTGTCCAATCAACCATTTGAAAAAATCAGGTCAGAGACAGTTACTGAAAGGGTGCTTAGTATGAAATGGAGTTTTCCTTAGCAACAGATGTTCTTTTCTTAACACCCCCTTTCACCAATTTCTAAAATTAGCAGGCTCTGGAAAAAGACCAGTTGAACATTTAGGACATGCCACCCAGCAGATTCAGGGATAATTTCCATAATCATGCAAGACAAAATAATGAACTTCCTGTAGCCAGTTAGTGGACCTGTTCCTGGAAGGGAAGAGAAAGAAACAGGGTGCTAAAGGAAATTTCTGAAGCCACTGGGCGCTAAACAACTCAAGTCACCACCCTAATTCCCCTCTAAAGGACTGAGCAGACTGCTGGTGGCCAAGTATCAACAAGACCTATTTGTGTTTCTTTGAACCCAGCTGTCACTCAAGGCCCACAGTGCTCTGTCTCTTATTGCTGCAGCCCACAGCTTGGTGTGACATGTGACATACAGTAGGGTGAGGTACCTACTGGAGCCATCAGGAAAAAGAAGACACAGCTAGCCATCTGTTTCTCTTCTTACAGAAAGCCATAGACATCTTGGGATTTCTTCCCGATGAGAAGTTTGGGTGCTATAAGATCATTGGAGCCATCATGCACATTGGGAACCTGAAATTTAGACAGAATCCCAGAGAAGAGCAACTGGAGGCTGATGGCACAGAAAGTAAGGCTTCCTTTACAAAGACACAGCTCTTAATTCTGTTCAAACCCTGACTTCCAGGCCCGCCTTCTTTTCCCTGCATGCACTGAATGTCTTGTTTTTGTTTTTTATTTTTCAGAGAATGTTGAAAATAAGCAGCACCATTTTTCCTTAATTACTGTTATTTATTTGTTTTTTTCATGCTGTGCTGCTGGGGCTTGCATTTAGGGCTTCATCCCTACTAGACAAGCCTTCTATACCCAGCCCTTTATTATTGTTGCTAGAAAGTGTTATCTCAATCACCATTCTATATTATCTTCTTCTCACAGAATAAGAAGTATTTCTCAGTTAATTACTGGTAATGTCAGTGGATTTTTGGGGGGCTTTTGTGAAATATACTTTTAGCTAATGAACTACTAAGAGAATAACTGGAGCAAATTTCCATAAAATGTATCAAATGGTATAAGTTGGGATGGTTTAAACAAAGATTCTTGAAATTCCAAAGGGAAACTGACTCCATCCTATCAAAACTATGAGGCTTCAAGTTCTGTTATTTTTTTTCCATTAAAATAAAAAGTCAGAATTCCAGCATGAACAGGAAAGGGGCTCCTGAGGCCCTGCCCTTAGTGAGGGTCATTGACAGTTGATGGTTTCTGAGGGAGGGGGACTCCCTTTTCTTTGGAGATGCAGCTCCTAGTCAGTAGTAAGTGGACTTGGGGTATTTTAATAATAATGAAAATAAAAAAGAGGGAAATGGATCTTTGAGTATCAGTGGACTTGGAGGGAGGTTAATAAGATCAAAATATATACATGTATGAAAATTCCAAAGAGTAAATAAAAATACTGTGAAAACAATGTTCTTAATTGATTACAAAAACATGCTAGACATTATTACAATCAGTCATCTCTGTAAAAGTAGGAAATCACAATTATAAAAAAAGATAGAATAGCTATTGCAATGATTGCATTTAATTTAAAAATTCCATGTAAGAGAGTAACTATATCCATTTAATTATTTCAGTGGACAGAAGTTTTAGTTTTATATTTTAATTGTATTATTTACATAAAAATTGCTTACTTTAACTGGAAGTGTGCATCTCTCTGAAATTAAGTATATTCACATTGTTATTGTCTGACTAAAGAATTTTCTAGTTATTGAATCATGTTAAGCTTTTCTTCCTTTATTCTCAGCCCCTGAAAACCATAGTTGCATTTTCTAGCTCCATGAATTTGACTAGTCTAGGTACTTCATGTAAATGGAACCACCCAATATTTATATGTTTGTATATTGTTTATTTCACTAAGAACTATACCTTCAAGGTTGCTACATATTGTAATATGTATCAGAATTTCATCCCTTCTAAAGGTTTATTATTATTCAGTTGTATGTATTTATATTATCTTGTTTATCCATTCATCAGTTCATGTACATCTGGGTTGCTTCCACTATTCGGCTGTTCTGAATGAATGATAGTGTAAGAGTATCAATTTCATTCCCTGCATTTAATTCTTTGGTGTATTTATCCATAAGCAGAATTACTGGATTAAATGGTAATTCTATGCTGTAATTTTGAGGAGCAGTCAAATGGTTTCCACAGTGGCTGCACCATTTTATAGTGCCATACACAATACATGAAAAGTTCCCATTCAAATCTGTGCCAACACTTGTCTTGCTTTTGTTTTAATAGTAACTATTCTCTGATAGACATATAGTAGTGTCTCACTACAGTTTTGATTTGCATTTACCTCCTGATTAATGATGTTGAGCATCATTTTGTATGTGTATTTGAAATTTGTTTATCTTTTTCTTAGTAATGTCTGTTAAGGATCTCTTCTCATTCTGTGACTGGGTTGGGTGTCCTTTTATTGTTTAACCCAGTACCAGGGATATTTTTATTCTCAAGGACACATGGGAACAAGAGGTCATCCTGGCTCTGAGAGATCTATGTCAAACAAATATGTATCAACTGGTAATTCAGTGAAAACACAACAGAATGAAAGAATAAGGTATATGAGAATACGGATGGGTTTAGTGTAGATATACTGATCAGGTGGTCCCCTCAGAAATGACAGCTTTTGAACACAGGTATGGATGAAACAGAGCAGGAGAATATGAGTATCTATAATCTTCATATATCATAGCACATATGCTTTCATGTCAACTTCTTTTGCTCTGTGGCTTTCCCTATGCTTTGAGACAAAGGGGTTGTTGTTGGACTCTTACCACAAAACTCTGGTTAAATTTTAACTCATGGCTCAAGTGTCCTCCTGTTTGAGACTTCCAAGAAATTGGGACTGTGTGCCATAGAGCCTAGTAAGGGAAAAGCTGCTTTTGTCTCTTTTATTTTGTTTTATTTTAAGCATCTTTATTTATCTGCATGTATTAATTGATAAGATTGTAGGTTTTATTATGACATTTTCATGTTTTTGAAGAGTTGTTTTTGTCATAGAAGCCAGGCATATTTACTAATAAATAAAAAAATAGTGATATTGGAAATAAGTAATCCCATCCACACTTTCTGGTAATGCATTTTTAAGTTCTTGACAAGTGTCTTCATCTTCCCTACCTGTACCTGTTTCAGGACTGCAAAAACACTTTTTACATAAAGATAAGCTTTGTGCATGTTTTCTCCAATGTTAAAGATCACCTCTAAATTTATTTTATCCACAAATAAGATTAATTCAAGTTCTCAGTATGTCGTCGTACCTTAAAAGTTAAAAACAAAGTAATATCCATTATTCTAGGGTTACTTTTTAACCATTTCAGAGAGCACTGAGTATCCAAAGATGCACCTTAGATTTATTCCAAAGATTTACACTATACATCACATGTACACTTCACTTTTTTAATGGGAAGAGCAGAGAGCAAAAAAGGAAAAATACAACACTAACACACATAAATATAAATTATTTCACTTGTATTAAAGTTTTAAACAAAAATGAGAAGTACACTTCTATGCATAAGTGCCCATCTGATCTTCATAAAATTTTGTAAACATAGTACTATTTTTAAAAACCATTTTCTATGGTAGGCTCATGAAGTTCTTACAACTCCCAATCATCTTCCTCAAGCCCTTGTGAAGGAAGCCCTGTCACAGACTGTGTCAATCTTCATTTCTTTTTCATTTTATTTCCAGCATATAAGCATATCCTATCTTGGTTTTCTTTTATCAGTTGATGGGCATTTTTTCTACGTTTTGACTACTATGATAATATTACTAGAAATGCTATGTGCATTTTTTTGTATAAATATCTTTGTTTCTCCTAGATTCATATGCAAGTGTGAAATTGGTAGGTCTTACAGTGACTCTGTGTTTAACCTCTAAGAAATTGTCAGACTCTTTTCTGTAATGGCCATGCCACATGTGAATGTCCACATCTGCACCAACGCCTGTTATTACCTTTCAATGAGAGCCACTCTAAGGGACCATGAAGGGTTGTTTCAATGTGGTTTGGTTTGTATCTGTAAGAAATAGATTATTCCATTTAGCATTCAGCCATTTATTTTAAAGTTGCAATCTGTATTTTTACATTGATTGAAACTTACAGCCCTTCTAACCTCTAGGCAGTGTATTTGGCTACAATGAAATGATTTCCACAGTATTCTCCACCATTTTTCCTCTTTTCCTTCCCTGCTTCTTGACATTCTTCCTTTCTTGTGTGATCAGATGCTGACAAAGCTGCTTCTCTCATGGGCATTAACTCTTCTGAGTTGGTAAAAGGCCTGATCTATCCTAGAATCAAAGTTGGTAATGAGTATGTTACCAGAAGTCAAAATGTACAGCAGGTAAGGTAACATTTGGGGGAATTGTCATTGTGTGATCATGCAATTATTTTATACATGTCATATTTATGTGTTTTCAACACCTGACAATGTTAATAATAATTTCTATGAAAGCAGTCAAGAGAGCTACTGAGGTGAGTATTTCTTATGTTCTTATGAAAGACGCTATAGTAGTAAGGGACTACGCTGAATATTTTGACAATTCTTAGGTAACACTTCACTTGTGATCTATACCTTGGTTGTCCAGCTAAGAAAATTTCAGAACTGTAGAGGATTGAAGTGAATTATCTTGGAGAACTGATATCTCTTTATGTATTAGCTTCCTTAGCATAACTGACGTGGGGTTACATTAGTGGAGAATAGGTTTCAGTATGTGTGTTGAAGACAGGATTTGAAGGAACAAGAAATTGAAAACAGACATAAAATGCAGAAGGCTATGTTGATTTAGTTTGATATAAATGACAAATGTTTGGGATGCCTGACCTTCAGACTTTTCTGCATGCAGCAAATATGTCCAGGGTTGCTGGGTACTAAGATAACTTAAGTTTACCAGTACATTTCAGAATAATTTATGTCTGCTATGTATATTAATCAGTGTGATATAGGCCGTAGGGCAACAACACATATACACCAAAATCTCAGTGGTAACAAAATATTTGTTCTCTTACTCAAACCAAATCCAGTACTTATTATACAGCATTCTTGTGTTGTGTGCTTATGCTACCTGGGACACACAGCCTGTAACATTGTGGACAGGGAGAGAAAGTCATTTGTGAAGGGAAGTTCTCCTCCCTCAACTTGGGACAGTGATGCTAAAACTTTGATTTATATCCACTGATGAGAATTTGTTGTATTTTCTTGTCACTATGGGAAAGGTGATGAATATGGTTTTTCTAGAAAGAGAAAATGGTACTGTGAAGTCATAACTTTGTCTCTGCCACCCATAAAACACACACACACACACACACACACACACACACACACACACACACACACACACACACACATCCCAGGTTTTGGTGACATATGGGAGGCATTCAGGTGGCAGGAGCTGGAGAATCAGGATTCAGATCACCTTTGGATGAGTGAGTTTGAGGCTAGTTTGGGCTATATAAAATTCTGTCTATACTCCTCTCCCCCCCAAAAAAGAAAAAAAAACAAACACAATAACAAAAACCCACTACATATATACGATGGACTGGATATGTGAAAGCCATAACAGGCTTGACCATTGTGGATTTACCTTCAGCCTCACTGAGAAAATTAGGACAATGGACAATGGCACAGTTTACAAGAGACAAGGCAAATGTCTCATTTACTTTGAACTACCAATGCCTTCTTTTTTTTTTAAAAAAAAATGATCTATTTACTTATTATATGTACAGTGTTCTGCCTGCATGTATGCCTGTGTGCCAGAGGAGAACACCAGATCTCCTCATAGATGGCTATGAGCCACCATGTGATTGCTGGGAATTGAACTTAGAACCTCTGGAAGAACAGCCAGTGCTCTTAACCTCTGAGCCACCTCTCCAGTCCATACCAATCCCTTCTTTAATTTAAGTCTAGTAGTGAAGATGATGGTTCTGTAAATGTCTGTTTAACTTGTGCCTCTGGGGATGTATCTCAGTGGTAGAACACTTGCCTAGCATAGATTTGTCAATTCCAACACATACACGTGCTCTCTCTCTCTGTCTCTCTCTCTCTGTCTCTCTCTCTCTGTGTGTCTCTCTCTCTCTGTCTGTCTGTCTATCTCTCTCTCTCTCTCTCTCTCTCTCTCTCTCTCTCACACACACACACACACACACACACACACACACACGATAGAAATGCTTATCTCTTTCTCGTTTTACAATATTTGGAAGCAATTGCACCAGGAATATTTATGATGTTTTATTTGAGGAAACATTTAAAGTAACCTTGGTGACCTTTAAGGTCATGGATTATGCCTGAGTCATTCTAGTACACCAGCATCTAGCACAGTGCTCTGCAACCACCAGGTGTTTTATAGGTATTAAAACTGTACAACGTGGGTGGAAGTTGAGTCATATCATAAGTATTTGTCAGTGTTATTGTTTCTTAGACACTCACTGTAACATGGATGTGTGATATGCCATGACTGTAGAATAGGGTCTTTCTTCTTATAAAACCAATGAGCCTGTATGATGACTGTAATTTATAATCCAAGTCTTAAATTAGTGTGTTACAGGGGATTAAGTTGAAACTACAGCCTTTAACAGAACTAGTTAAGAAAGCTAATGTGTTATTTTTTCAACATTAAAAAGCAAACTATCTCATCTAATTGGGAACAGTAAAAAAGAATTTTCTTAGCCTTATCTGACAGGGGAATCTGTATCAGAATGATTTTCCCTGAGGCCATTCTTCATTCAGGAAGGTGATGACCACACTGAGGACAAAAATAATAAAGAGTTGGAGGTCAAGACTAGACAGATCTTCCAAGAACATTATTGGGATGGAAGTACTGTATCCCGGGGAAAGTGAGTCAGCTGCAAAGGGTCATGCAGTTTATCAATCAGCAGCATCAGCAATAGCAAAGCATGTTATAGGGATTATAGATTTTAATATTCAATATTAATAGTTTAAAAACTTTATTAGACACAGTGCATTAAAAGAAAGATATATCCTGACCCTTATTAAATGGTGAGAAAGACTTTATTCAGGACAGTTGTAATAGGAAGTATTGCAACAGGAAAGAGACTTTGCACTCAACTCTACATACAGCCATGGCAAGTAGGAATTTACAGGCCAAGAAGAGGGAAGGGGAGTGAGTGATGACACATTTCTAAGAGAAGACATCAAGAAAAAGGGACCATTGGTGACCTGGATTAATAGGCTTCTTGCTAGGACAAGTTAAGAATTTACACATGAATGGGGAATGAGATACATCATCATATACCAAGGGCAGGAGAGTCTTCATAATGACATAAGAGGATTTTTCTTGTAACAGGCCTGGGTGAATGGGAATAGTATTACTATACAGAGTCAGTACATCTAGGGTTTGGCCTGGGTCCAGACATCTTCTAAAAGTTCCAGATGATGCTGATACTGACAGCAGGTCTTTGGACCACAATGTTCAGAACAAGTCTCTCCAGCTAGCATCAAACCATATCCTGGGATATTAATAGGAATATGATTTCTTTCACCTATACTTTTGATAAGGAGGCACTGTGCTAACTTTCTTTTACTCTACTTTCCATTTCCCCAACTCTTTCTTGCTTGTTTTCTTCTTTTTTCCCTTATTATATTCAGCATAATTTTAAAACCATAGAAAATTAATAAACATATACTGATTTGACTAGAGGAAGGTGTTTACAGATAGACAATGCTCAGGATTAAAACAAATTTTAAAACAAAAGGAACATTTTAAATATTTACTTTCATTGTTTATGCATATGAGTCTGTATGTGTGTGTGAGCATATGTGAGACTAGAAGAGGGTATTGGATCCCCCAGAACTGGAGTTAAAAGAAGTTGTGAACTATCTGGCCTGAGTGCTGGAAGAGCAGCAAGTAGTCTTAAAACACAGAGCTATCTCACCACATACTTATGAAGAAAAAATTTAAATATGATTTCTAGGTAACCTATGCTGTCGGTGCACTGTCTAAGTCAATCTACGAAAGGATGTTTAAGTGGCTGGTGGCACGCATGAACCAGGTCCTGGATGCCAAGCTGTCAAGCCACCACTTCTTCATAGCTGTTCTTGACATCACTGGTTTTGAAATACTCGATGTAAGTACACGTGGTAAGAGTAAAATCAACGACTATTTCAAGGAGATTAGAAAATTTGAGTTGTGAAATGTAACCATGGGAAAACATGATCAAAACATGTTAAGAATCATTTGTCCTAATATCAATGAATGTGGCAGGGGGAATATCTCGCAGGGTCCCATTCCTAGACAATGAACTACAGGCAACTAATGATTGCTCAGAGAAGAATTAGTCTCTCCCAGGGATGAGCCCCTAACAGTTTGTCCAATCAAGAGTGGTCAGCCCTGAAACCACATACATCCAAACAACAAAAACAGACTCCGCAGATTGTATCTATATATTTGTGCATACACACACACACACACACACACACACGTAACAGTAACAATTAAAGAAAAAGAGGTTATCAACTTGAGAGTGGGGAAGGGTTGGAGGTGTAAAGGGAGGGGAAAGTTGATATAATTCTATTTCAATTTTAAAAAGGAAACAAAACCAAACAAATAAATACAATCATTATACCTAAACCTTAAGGACTACTTTGATTAGAAAAGAGCTACAATTAGTAATAATTATTATTACCACAATTAGTGTTCAGTATTTAATTTCTTAATCCATATTTAAATCAAAGTAAATAGAGGTCTTTTGTGACTTTTTGAATCATAATTCCATTGAGTATTATTTTATTACAATAATCATTAGCTTGTAGATATATCTGGAGGATTCAGGAACTTAGCTGAGCACTGTTACTGCTTGGGTATATTTGTCATTGTGTGATGATGATTATGATTTCTTATTAATATGTACTATTGCAAGTGGATTTCTATCTTATTTTTAATTCTCTTTCTACCTATTCATAGTACAATAGTCTTGAGCAACTCTGCATTAATTTTGCCAATGAAAAGTTGCAACAGTTTTTCAATCAGCACATGTTTATTCTGGAGCAAGAAGAATACAGGAAAGAAGGTCTTGACTGGATATCCATTGACTATGGTCTGGATTTGCAAGCCTGCATAGATCTCATTGAGAAGGTATGGTATATATATTTATCCTCCTTGTCCGTTTTTGTTTACGAACTATCATAGCTTACTATGCTGATCCATCTCAGGAAGTAACTTCTGCCAGCAGATGGGGAATGGATATGGAAGGCTCTGTCCATCTTTTCCTGATGGTCTTTGTGTGCAGGATCCATGGCATCCCAGCTAAACTCTCCTGTCAGCTGCCCTACTCCATCATGTGTAACACAGTCTGTCTGCACATTCGCAGCTTGTATGTGGTCTCCATTGTTAAAATGCAAGGGCACTTGTCGAAAATCAAATGGCCAAGCTCTGTCTTTCTCAAGGGAAAAACAGAGCTGAAAATGTGAACTCTGCAGCACCTGTCTTATTAACAATGAGCACACACATACCAGGGGAAGCTTAAGAAAATTTGGCAAATTAGCATGCAGATAAACAACTGATCTAAATCCTTAGGGCTGGTACCTAGCAGAATAATGTTTGTTCATTTAATTCAACCAGTACCAGTTATTTTAAATAATTTGTGAAAGTGTCCCATGGCTTATTAACAAATCAGCTATAGTATACGGTTTCTGAATTTTGTGAGGCCCCCCTACTCTGCTCTGTGTTCTGGGATGGACTAATGGGGTTTGATAGAAGGTCTTGTGTTCTATTTTCTGCTGCTTTTTTCTATAAAAACAAGCATTGTCTCATGGTAATAACTCTGAGCATTTTCTTGTTTTTATCAAGTATTGAAGTATATTTTGGAGACAAGTCTGAGCAGGCCAAAGCCTTTGCCTTTCTGAAAGTCCTTTAGTTGCCTTAACATTTGATTTCACCAACTCTGTCAGGAAGGATGTAGGGTAACTGACCCTTTACTGTTTCATGCAGATTATTTTTCTAAGGTTTTCGACAAAAATAAATCCTATTATTCTTAAGAGGAACAAACATCACATTGATTTTAGTTTGGTCAGTGAACTTCTTGATGGGGAGGGCAGGTTGAATAAAAAAATGAATTCCTGATATCACTATAATCTTGTTAAAATAATAGTGATAAACCAACTGTTGTGTGGTAAATTGTGTGTGTGTCCCCATTTTCTGATTAGAAATAAAACAGAGCTTCAGCTCAGCAAAGGGTAAGGTTTAACTTTTAGCAACTGTCACTTCTAACACTTGCTTCTAGTGCCTATAATAGGACACTATTTTCAAATAGAAAGAAGGGATATAAGGATTGTTCACTCTGTGGAAGGTCAATGCTATTGACTTTTATTTGACCTGAGGTTATTGCTTCATTTATTCCAGCCTTGAGTTTTCCATGTTATACAGTAGCAATGTCGATGTAATTTCCTGTTATATTTTCTACTGGTTTGATAAAATGTGAAAAAATATTGACCAGGTGATAGAAAGCAAAGATAAGTCTTTAACTACTTTAAAGAACTCAGGTCAGAGTAATAGCAAGAATGCTCTTGAAAAATAAAATGTTTTGAAAAGATCCAGTATATTGATTTGGGTTCTATAGAGAAAATTATTTATATTAATGGTAAAACTTAATTCTTTATACAGAATGAATCATTGGAAGCTTTCAATTCAAAGTAACTACAATACATCAATATATAGAAAACACATTGTGTCATTCTTACTTGGCATATTTATGGGGGAAAGAATTTTCTTTTTCTCCCCATTTCATTCCCCTGTGTTTTCAGAGACAGGTAAACCATGCTCCGCCATTTATACCAACTTGAGCCTTTCATCTGTGAACCTGAGGTAATGAGTTCTGTGCTGTGAGGGTTAAGCAACACAATGTGGAGACAGACAGGATCTTTCTTTGTCCTTGCTTTGGGAGTTTAGCTTCAACTTCAGCTGGGTAGTCTATGACCACCTCAGGCCCAGCTTTAGTTCTTCAGAACCATCATGGGACTCTATGCCAATTCTGGGCACAAAATGGATATTTCCTTATTCCTTTGTGACTGTTGTCTGGCCTCCCCTTCCTAGAAGATTTCCGGGTCCTGTATTTTCCACCACAACACAAAACAACCATGCTATCCACAGGGTGTTGCTCAATATTGGTTTATTAAGTAAATGGATGATGTTACAGTTATTTTAAAGTGTATCAAGGTGTCTTTTAAAATATGAATTTCTGATTTACCCTTTTCTGTGTTTTGTATTATTAGTCAAGTAATTAGCTGGACTTGAAAAAGTGATTTTCAAAAAGTTTCATGTTTTTAAGATTACAAAAATTTAATCATGCTGAATTTATAATATATTTTTAACATCAAGTTTAACCATTAATTTCTTTCTCCAAGCTCACAGTGAGCTGCTTCCATATAAATGCTGTGAACAAATCTATTATAGGATTAACTCACTCCTGTTTTATTATTGAAAAATTCTAGTTCAAACCTAATTTACTTACTAAAGTATTATCATACAATTACATATTTGTGGCTATGTTTAAGCCTTTGTTAAAGAGATTATCCCTGTTATTTTTTGACAAATAGCCAAAATTTTGTGTTTAAGAACTTGTTACTTTTTCAGTATATCTTTAAAAGCTCTAGCATTATTCCATGGGATTAAAATAAATTTTTAGAATTATATTGGCCTCAAGAGAACATTCACTTCAGTTCTTACCATCATACTAGATGCTGAGTGTAAATGTATTACATGGTGGATCATATCATAAGTCTTATGTCTGACTTGGTCTGAATTTACATTTTCTCTTAAATTTGCCTATTTGTCTTTTCATTAGTTCTTTGAAAGTTTTGTATGACATGTTTTGATCATATTCACCCCTCCTTCAGCTCTTCCCAGATCCACCCTCCTTCTCTACCCACCCACCCCACTTTCAACTTTGTGTTCTTTGCTGCTTTAATCTTTCAAGAGCAATATGTGCTGCTCAACTATTCTTGAATGTTGTGGGGTATTTGTACACTTTGTGAAGATGTGTCACTGTGATTGGTTTAATAAAATGCTGAATGGCCAATAGCTAAGCAGGAAGAGTTTAGGCAGGACTTTTGGGGATAGAGAGACTCTGGGAAAAAGAAAGGTAGAGTTACCAGCCAGCCAGAAAGGAAACAGGAAGTGCAAGATGAAAGAGAGGTATTTGCCATGTGGCAGAATGTAGATTAATATAAATGAGTTAATTTAAGTTATAAGAGCTGGTGGGACAAACCTAAGCTAAGGCCAAGCTTTCAAAATTAATAATATGTGTCCATGTTGTTTTTTTGGGAGCTGGTGGCTCAAAGAAAAATCCATCTCTATACACCCTTAGAGCAAACTGTCTCTCCCTCTTCCAACAGCTAATAATGCCAATAGCACCATGGCTAGGGATGGATTAACTTTTCGAGTGAGATAAGTTTTGGTGATTTCTATATAGTGATATGCTGTCAGACAATAGCTATCCATATCAGAAGACAATTTTAACAAATATTCCAAAAATTTTCTAAAATACCTTAAACCCTATTAACATCTCAGCATTAACTAAATATTGCAGTCTCCCAAGGGGAATTCTTTAGTTGTGCTAATTTTGCTATTTTAGTATGAAATAATTGACATTAGCATGTAGTTATATCTTATATGCCTGCAATTTTGTTAATGTATAGCTTCATGCTTTTTTACAGTTTGTCTATTGTTCCCCAGCCAAGGGGCTTAGGTTCCAGAATTCAAATTTTTACATGTTGGAATATGTATCAATGCTCACCTATCAATTAATTACTTACTAGAAATTTCCTGAGGACTTAGACTAAGGGAATACAGCCCTGGAAGGCATCATCTTGCCACTCAAGGAACTCCTCTTATAATGGGAAATATGTCTTTAAACCAAGGCTATTTTTCACTAAATAGATAAATCTAAGTTCAGTGACTTGTCTGGATTCTGTCCTCCTCACCCTGTTGCTGAGACAAGGATCTCTGACCCAGGTTATGTGGAAGGATGAACTTGTGGCTTCTAACACTGAGCAGAGGAGCTCAGCAACTTATTTGTCATGGTGTGCATATTTTGCTCTTATTTCTGGGATTTGATGCCTCATACCACTTGAGGCCAGATAAGGGCTACTCCCAGAACAGAATGAATAAGTAGGAGCTAAAGGGGGCAGACTCTGAGTCAATAAGGTGTCTTTCAATTTTTGCAGGAGGATGGAATGGGCTTGTCTAAATTATTTCACTACTAACAGAAGATAGAAACCCAGGCACTATACCTGGCCTATCTACTATGGGGTGGGGGGTAGTTTGCTAGGGGATCTAATCAGAATGTCCAGTGGGAGAGGAACTTAGGATTGGCATAAAAAAGTCCCTCTTGGTTTTCTCCAGCTGCCAAGGTACACAATGATCACACAGTAATGTGCAGATGATCAGCCTATAACTAGTAGAAACCTCAAACATTGGTCAAAAGCAAAGGAATTGTAAGTCTAACAAGTATAAAATGTCTTTTAAAAATTGCTAAATGTAAAATAACTGTAATAAGAGACACAGACAAAGAAAGGTCCAGAGTGGCCAGAAAGCCAGAGGTTGACTGTGTCTGTATGGATCTATAACAGCCTGCCAGGAAAGGGGTAATGTTTAGGTTAGATCTTTAGAAATGGGTGTTATTTCTGCAAGTACAGATAGCTAGTGAGATAATGGGAGGACTGGCAAACACGAACACACAGAGATAGGAAATGTCATATCCCTACTAGGAACCTCCAATATTCAGAAAGAAATACCTAAGGGGAAAGAGGGAACAGACTGCCAAAGGCTTTTTAATGAATTTATTGCTTATTTTAAGCAATGGGAGTAAGCTGGTTTCTGAGCTGGGCAGTGGGGAAATGAGAGCCACTGAGATTTAATCTGCTCTAAGACAAGGCTGGCAGGAAGGCACCAGAGAAATAAGAGCTCCTGAACTAGGGCAGCACACACGCTGGTATTAAGACAGTGATTGTAAAGAAAGGAAAGCAGGATGCATGATTCTTAAAAGGGAGAGTTCATAGTACAAATGATCTGGTCACAGCATCTGATTCAAACCATTCACAGTGAAATATAGGTGTAATAGAATTTATTGTCAACTTGATGCCTCAAAGCAGACTGTGCGGAATTATCTAGACTAAGGTTAACCTCTGAGGATGTCTGTAAGGGATTCTCTTGACTAGGTTAATTGATATGGAAAGATCCAGCTTAAGTGTGGGTGGGACCATTCTCTGAGTAGGGGATTCAGGGTTGTCTGAAATGGAAAGAGTAAGCTGAGAGCTGGCATGCGCTCAATGCTCTCTACTCCTTGACTTTGTGAGTAATGTTAAAAGCTGTCTTGAGCTCCTGCTGCTGACTTCTCTACAGTGATGGACTGGGCCCTGGAACCCCTTGTCCCCTAAGTTGCTTTTATCAGGGTGTTTTATTACAGCAACAGGAAAAGACTCTAAGACAATAGTGCAAGATGTTATGGGACAGCAATAATTACCTCTTTCCAATGTATTTGGAAGTTGTTTGTTGGAGAGCTCCATAGTCACTGGAAGTTTACACCTCCAGAGAAACTGAGAAATAAAGGAGACCTTGAAGGCAGCCATCTTCCCTCGTTGGTGTTGCAACTGTTACATTTCAAGGTGTGATGTCTATTTGGTTTACATCAAACTTCTGTTCATCTCAAAGTCGATATTGACTTCAATGGGGACCAGGGACTGGGGACCAGGGGCTCTTCAGGTGTGGGTATGGCTCTGTGTGAATGAGCACTGTCTCTCCTTGTGGGGATTTGCCACTGTCCTCTTGTTAACAGGCCTCTTCCTAGGAAATGCTTATGTTTTAAAATGATTCATTCTAGATTTCTCTATAAGTGTTGGCTGTTGGTATATAGAAAAATACATGGTACTAGATGGAGTTCATTCATCCAAGCTTTTAAGAGTTTGCAGGAGTCCTTCAGCTGTAAGTTATGGCATTCCACTTTTCTCCGCTTCCCTTCTTGATAGTCCCCATTTTTCATTTTGCCAAGAGTTTACAAAGCTAGTGTTTTATGTACAAGATGGGTATCTATTTTACACAGAATGCTTTATGCTGACAATACTTGTTTACTCACTGCATCTCAAGTCTTGGAATGCAGGGAGGTGTCAAGAATTACTTCTGGAATATTGTTCAATATAGTTTCTATAAAATACAGGCTCTAGGTCCATGAGCATTTTTTTAAAGATAGAAACCCTGAGATCTGTGAGATGGCTCAATGAGTAGAAGTGCTTGTCATAGAAGCCTGGCAACCTGAGTTTGAGCCACAGAACCCACATAAAAGTGGAAAGAGAGAATCCACACTACAAAGTTGTCCTATGGCCTCTGCACATGCACTGTGACAGTGTGTGTCCACCTCCCTGTCACACACATACACAATGATAATTGTATATATATATATATATATATATATATATATATATATGGCAAATAATTGAAACTTTTATCTTCAAATATCTGATGAATTATGTGGAATAAAACTCATTTCTGTGGCTACAGTGAGATCTTTAGAACAAGGAATTTTACGTATAAGTAAATTTTGTTTTAATACACTATATATCTAGTGCCTTGACTCTGGTATAATATCTCTGCATGGAAACATAAGTGGCTGCCCTTAGAAAGCAGTTTTGATGGGAACTCATGATTCTACTAGGAAAGTTAGAGGTGATATTTGTGGTAGTTTGGCCCTCATAAGCTCATAGGGAGTGGCACTATTAGAAGGTGTGGCCTTGTTGGAGGAAGTGTGTCACTGTGGAGGTGGGTTTTGAGGTCTCATAGATGCTCAAGCAATGCCTAGTTTCTCAGACCACTTCCTGTTGCCTGCTGGATCAACATGTAGCTCCTTCTCCACTCTCAGCTCCGTGTCTGCCTGCATGCCGTCATGTCCCACCACGATGGTAATGGACTAAACCTCTGAACTGTAAGCCACCCAATTACATGTTTTCCTCTTCTCAGCAATAGAAACCCTAACTAAGACAATCTTCAATGTCCTTTCCAGACTCAAGAGAGAAAAGGGCTGGTGAGAATCAGGAGGCCTGCGTTCTTGTAAGAAGCAATGGTGTTCTATCTTAATTGCTCTACCTTGGACTCCTTTCACCTGTTTCTCTGGGCTGCCTGTTTTGCTGACTATGCATTACGTGGTTTTTTTTTTTTTTTTTTTGGCTACATACTTTAGGACTGGAGCCTATGTATAAGTAATATTGTCATATCTCTAATTATCTGAAATAGTGAGTTGATCTTAAAAGGCATTTCAAAGGTATTCATAGAGTGGATAGGTAAATAATGTTAATATAAAAGAAATATATAAATATCATAAACATCCCTGATTTTTCCTTGTTCACCAAATGTATTTTCCCTGTGCATATTGTTTAGTGGAAGTGTCTATTAGAAACTGCTCCGGTTGAAAACTTGTCTTACACCCCTTATTTTCTTCATTAGGAAGCTGTTGACATAGCTCTACTTTCAACTACATCACATTTCAAATGACTTCTCACAAGCTCTGACACCCTTTCTAGACAGACTAGGGGTCAGCCAACTCTGATGCTATGGCCAACGCCAGCCTGTAGTCTGGTATTACTGAAACTTTACCCCTTCTTTTGTTTGCAAGTGCCACAGTGAATGAGCAGGGAGTAAACAAGGTGCCAGGACTATGACCATTTAGACAAAATTTGCTTACGGGAGTAACATTTTCTGTCCCTTCTCCTTGTATATTCCTAAAGCCCTTTAACATGTAAAAAAAAAACCATTGTTAGCTCATAACTTTCCAATCTGCTTGGCTGGCTCCTCCCCTAAACCATTTTTTCCACCAAACACAAATCAATTCACATCACTTCATGTTAAATGTCCCCCAAAGGCTTCTCATTACATTCCAAAGCCAGCCATCTTACCACAGCCTGTAAGTTATTTGGGATCCAGCTGCATCTAACTTGGGGATTTATTTCCTGTTTATACCATGCGTCCTTCTGGCTTTGCTTGGGTCACACGTACTTCGGACAGGATGTCATACTCACAAGGGTCTTCTGCCTTGCGGTCCCTGCTATCTTCATTTTCTGCTTCCTCTTCCAGAATACCTTCACCAGATCTTTCTGGGTTGTTTTCACTGGGGCAAAGAGGTCTCCTGATAAAATCGCTTCTGCCCCTTCATTCTCAGTCTTTGTACTTTACAAAACTTCTTCAGAGCACTTGCATGGAACTAAGTTAATTTTCCAGTTATTTGTTTATTTGCCTGTTATCTCTGTCCCACGTGAATGTCATTACAGTGTGCGTCTCACTGCTGCCCCTGCTGGTATCAGTGTGACACTGTGCAGGTAATAAATATTCACAGGATACATGAGGTGATTGGCTAGTTCTGTGCTGGGAAGAGCTTCCCTTTGTCAACTGAGTTCTTTATGAAAGATTTCTATTAATGTACTACTGGAAATGCTCTTTTCTAGTGTTTTTAGAACTCACTCTCATCCCTCTCCCATAGCCCATGGGCATTCTTTCCATCCTTGAAGAGGAATGTATGTTTCCTAAAGCTACTGACAAGACTTTCGAGACCAAGCTCTTTGATAACCATTTTGGAAAGTCACCTTACTTCCAGAAACCTGCATCTTCTGGGAAGAACTCCGAAGTTCACTTTGAACTTGCTCATTATGCTGGAGTGGTGAGTTAGCCCTAGACTTCCAGCCCACACTTTCTGGTCTCTACATCAAGTGAACTTGTACAAAATCCTCAGCTAATATTTTAGTACTGTTTATATTAAATGATGAGATGAGCAAGTACACTTCAGTGCCAGAGGAAAGGTGGTCCTTTCAGGAAATGAAATGTCCATGCTACAGTAGCTTAGGCACAGAGGTTAAAAATGTCAAAATGAACTCTGTCATCCAGTCTCAAAACAGGGCAACTGTGGGAAGCTTTGCCTGGAGATCTTCAATGTCATGGGCCACCTTGCCTTGTTTGTCTTTTTTTTTTTTTTTAAAACTTGACATTGTGTAAGTGATTTCAAAAGACATGTGTGACATAATGATCTCTAAATTTTGGCCCAAATTTTTTGAATGACCCTTATTGCCTCCCAAGTGACATATGTGTCTTTTTTTCCCCTTCTTCTAGTCAGTGATTGTAAGAGAACAGATATATAACTAAGGAAGGATGACAATATACCTCAACCTAAAAATGACCTCCCAAGTGTCCCCAGATATAGTTCTCTTCTTGATGTCATGGAATATAGTTATAACTACATGGAAAATATTATTGCACTTGTTAACGTGCTCCTGAATACTTCAGTATGTGTCAAGAGAACAGATGATTTTTTTTCTAGTGCTGCCTATGAAAGATGCTGATGTGAATTGTTTTTAATGGAGATATAAGGTCCAGTCCATCCTCCCTGTTCCTTTCTATCCTTTCCCTTATGTCTATCCTCACCTATTGCTTCTTTCTCTGTCAATTCTTTTTATTTTACTTTCCTCTGAAAAATGTAAAATTTAAAACTCCCACTGGGCTACGAGATGGCCCTCTGGAATGTTACTCAGTATTGTTACTAAATTAACACTAAAGGATACAACTTGTGCATTTTTTCAAGCAATTCGTACCTTTCCTTTCTGAATGTATGAATGTACACCTTTCTCATATCATTACCTGAAACACATTCCTTTCCGAAGGTCCCTTATAATGTCAGTGGTTGGCTTGGAAAGAACAAAGACATTCTTAATGAAACTGTGGTGGCTCTCCTTCAGAAGTCCTCCAACAGAGTCCTGGCGAGTCTCTTTACCAAGGACTTCCTTTCTGGCAGTGGTGAGTCCGTCTCCATTGAAGTTTTACCTCCCCATGGGGGTTGATGGGTGACCTGGCTTTTACAAAGCCCTTTCTGCTTTCTGTGATAAGAACTTCTTCTTTCTGTGATGTCTTCCCTGTTCTAGAATGTTTATGGCCAACTCATGCTTTCTTCTAGACTTACCTACAAAGAGAGAACTGATAATACAGTTTGATGAATGTTTGGGGACAATAATAATCCTCAAATAGATATCAAGAGACTAATCTAAGTTTTGCAAATCTTAATTGACTTTATTTGCTATTCTGAATTGATTGGCAGTCTGAAAGGACAAAACAAAACAAAAACCTGATTCGTATTACACCAAACCACCACACGAGTAAGAGCTGCTATTCCTATCTAGAGACAAGAAAATGATGTGTAAAACTGGACATTAATGAGACAACCTTGCTGATTATAGCTCACATTTATGTTAGACGAGCATGGTTTGAATAGTTGGCAGACTGTGTTTTATTAAGCCCTGGCAACTTGCTCAGGGTTGACTATAATTTGCTTTCATATTCACTAACAGGTTACAGAGAAACATTTGAGCTAAGGCAGCTTTGGGCCAAAGTCTGTCTGTCTGTCTATCTATCTATCTATCTATCTATCTATCTATCTATCTATCTATTTATCTATCTATCATCTATCTGTCTATTATCTTCCTTTGGTTCATATAGGTTGAAAAAATCAAAATATTTCCTCTGCAACTGGATTTTCTTTTCCTTTGCAAAATGGAAACTCTTGGTAAATATTAAATATGGCAAGTTCAGATTCCCTCAGCACACATGGAATGGAATGTACCAGCTATTCTTTCCATAGGGCATGCACTCTCACTTTCTAATATTCTCACCTCCCTATTATTTTATAGCCAGCTTCACACTAATCTCTGGTCTTTCTTAGCCTGTTTTAGGCCTCCTGATTAGCATGGTCAAGTAGATGAAGAAGTTATCATTTCCTGGATTTTTCAGCATATGATGACATAATTAAGGAGCAAACCTGGCATACTCTTGGCCTATGTCAAGAGGAGATTGTTGTTGGTTTTTTACTCTTTTGGGGGGCCTACCACCCAGCTCCCAAATAAATCACACATGGAAGCTTTTTCTTAATTACGAATGCCCGACCTTACCTTGACTTAGTTTCTAGCCAGCTTTCCTTAACAAGTTCTCCCACCTACCTTTTGCCTCTGGGCTTCTCCCTTTCTCTTACTTCTGTATCTTCCTCTTATTCCATGGCTTGCTGTGTGTGTAGCTGGGTGGCTGGCCCCTGCAGCCCTCCTCCTTCTCTGGCTGCTCAATCTCTCCTCACAGTTTCCTTCATATATATATGCCTTCTAGCCCCATCTATCCTTTCTCCTGCCTTGCTTTTGGCCAGTTCTTTATTAGACCATCTGGTGTTGTAGACAGGCACAGTAACACAGCTTCACAGAGTTAAACAAATGCAACATAAACAAAAGTAACACACCATAAAATATTCTACTATAGGAGATAGAGAAATAAAAGTGTTTGTGTTTGATTTTGATAATTTGGGGACAGCATAGTTGCTTGTTTCTACTCTTAGTTTTTTTTTTTTTAAAGGCTGTGTCTTGACAGTGGCTGGCCTCAAGCCTCTTGTCCTCTACCCCAGTCTCCTAAGCAACCAGGATTACTGGCACAGAGTACTGTGCCCACCTTTAGGCTGGGTCTTCTACGGTATCTCTGAGTTGGTGAGGAAGTGGCCATATACCTTACAGTTCTTAATTGGATAGTTATCTGACCACACACAGGAGAATCAGAGTGGGGGATAGCCAGACTATTGGGAAGGAATTTGGAGTCTCTCTCTTCAAGGTATACTGCATTCTTTGCTTATGGAAGGGAAGAATTATCTTTGAAAAAATTTGTTGTAGCATTCTTGTAAATAAGTGCTTCTAAAATTCTAACTCACCCTTACATTAAATTGTTCACAATAGCCATACTTTCTCTTGGCAAATTGATGTATTTTAGATCAGAGTCATAGCTTAAAAATGAAATGTCAGATAATTGTATTCCCTATTCAAAGATGGGGAAAATGAAAAAGTGCACAGAAATCATGTGATCAACTTAGAGGACCTGGGCCTCCTCAAAGGACATTCATGATTAAATTTCATTACATGTGCCTCTATATAGTGACTATTCAGGTTCAGAAAGTATGTGTTTAGTTTTCTGTACTGATAGGTGTCCCACAGTCTCCGGATTGCCCATGGCTTTTGTCCTTTCTACTGTTGCACAGCTGAGTGAATTAGAACTGCACAGCTATTTGCAAGATATTTTGACTTAGTGTAAATTCTTTTGCTTCAATAATAAGGAATGGGGAATAGATACGACTTTTTCATAAACCTTGAAAGCATTTTGGTGTTGCCATAAACAGTTAATGTAGGGAAACTAAAAAGATAAATGTAAAAGCACCAATTATATCACACAGGAGGTAACTACTAGTAACATTTTTGTTTCCAGGTCTCTCAAGATGTTTCATTTGCAGTCATTTATAACCTAACTGTGCTTAAAACTAGGCAAACGCAATCAGGATAATGATATTCAAAACAGACATTCTGTAACTTCTTCTCTTAAAATAAAACGAAAATAATTCCATATTTGTTATATGATCTACATAATCATTTTAAAGCTTAAAGTATTCTACTGTATGCATATTTATTCATAATTTAATGTGTCTTAATGGACATTTCTTAATTTCTCTTTTGCTCAGATTTTTCCACAGTGACTAGATAATGTTTGAGTGGGTATCTTTATATAGCTTTCTGATTATTTCTTTAGGGAGAAGCACTATAGGCATTTTGTGAAGGATGTACATATTCTCTAAGTTTTTTGAAACATACTATCATGTTTTAAAAACTTGGATGAATTTGTTTTTATCAACACTATGACAACACTATGTATTATGGAAAAGGGAATTTTTAAACCATTTTCTTCTTTTGCTTTTTAAGCTAAACAGTTTGGTGAGAAGACACACAGGAAAGGAGCATCGTTCCAGTTGATTTCATCTCTGCATAAAGTAATTTACATTTTAAATTAATCAATCATTATTATTTTGTGTGTGTATGATGTGTGAGCATGCATTCCAGAGCACACATGTGGAAATCAGAGAACAGCTTTGTGAACTCAGTTCTTTTCTACCTTTATGTGGGCCCTGGGGATAAATTCAGGTAACCAGGCCTTCAGGGTAAGTATGCTTACACACAGAGCTATTTCATCAGCCTTACCTAAAGCCAGTAAGGTGGATAAAGCCATCTTGTCATTGTGAAGGGCTTTAGAAGTCACTAGTGGTGCCCTGACTAGGTTCCATTTGTCAGCCTTGTTCTAGTCCTCTGGCTGGTGTGACTATTGGCTCATAATAGCTCCTAGTGGTTAGAATTGCCTTCGGGCAATAGCAAGCAGAGGCACCTCATATCTACCTCTCCCGACTTTGGCTCTTCAAGAGAGGACCACTGTGGTGTGACTGGGTGTGTGGAATGAAGCCCGAGGCTGAATCAGCACGGTAGCCTTTCCTTCTGTTCTCCAACCTGCTTCCTTCACTCTTAAAATGCATGTTTTAAACAATCTCAGATAATGGTTCTGTACAATCTGATCTAAAATAAAGGCTTTCAAAATAGAAAATGGAAGAAATCATAAGCAACCTTGCTGCTTGGCTTCAAAAGCCACTGAATTCAAATTCAAAGCAGGTGGAAATAATTCACAGTGGAACTATGGCTGTTGGCTAAGTATTGACTTGCCATAGGAAAGAAAATAATATGTTTGGTAAGCATGTAATAATGTTGAATTCATTGTCTCTCCATTGGTGCTCATGTTGGATATCAGATTCAGGTGACAGATTTAGATTTTCTGGGGTTCTTTTGCAGCTTGCAAAGTGATTTTGTATTTATTATGGCTTTTATTTTAGGAAAACATAAATAAATTGATGACAGATTTGCAATCAACCACACCTCATTTTGTGAGATGTATAAATCCAAATATGAACAAAATGCCAGGTAAGAACTAGACATATTTACAATTTGTAGTAGGGAATATATTTTATTTCAGCTTTGTTGAATGTATTTTAAAGAATTATTTACCATTTCCTTTATATATGGGTAGATTTTCGCATAGAACAATGAAAGGAAGTAAAATTTGAGGTCTCTGGAGCCTCCTCCAGGCTGCTTTGAATTTGGTTTCAGGTGGCCATACAAAAAAGACTTCCCAGAGTAGCCTCCATAGGAAACTGGTCTTTGAATTTTAAATTAAAACATGGGTGCTGCACTTTTATTCCATTCATTAGAAGGGGAAAATATTCTTAAAGGGATTGAATAATCAATTGGGATGATATTTTAGCACAAGAATAGTATTTGGTCTTCATAACCTAAATTGACCATGAAGATCATTTCAGAAAATGTGAAACATTTCTCTAGTAATCTCTCCAAACTTAGCATCTTCCCTTAATACACCCATTTCCTTAGTTATGTACTTCTGGACGGTAGATACTTTCTCCATGAGTTAATGGGGACAAGATGGTGATGATAGGACTGTGGTGATTTTCCCATTTGCGATTCTCAAAACTGCTCGGCCAAATTTAATTCTCTGGATCACGTTCCTTAGATCACAATTCAAAGCTTTCCAGACAACTCTTTGAAATATTAGTATCCTTAGAGCTTTAGTTCGAGGTGCTCAGACTTAAAGGAACCCATATGACAAGCACTATGTCTTCAGACCATCAACCACTCTTGGAATTCATACTCTAACAGTGTTGATTGTGATCTGTGTGGGTCTGCACTATTTTTGTACTTTTATGAATCTACTGTAATTAAGAATCCAATCTTGACAGATTGTGAGCTAATTAGGGAGACTGTAATGCCAAGTAATGTTGTTATCGGAATTTTTATAATGGAGACATTTCAGCATTACATGTTTATTTGTGTTTGTGTGTATACACGTATATAGCTTCATTTTTTTCTTATAAGTTCAGTGTGTTTGTGTGTGCATGTGTGTGTGTATGTATGTATGTTGTGGTATTAGGACTAAAATAACACAAGACTTCACACAAGCTAGGCAAAGATGCCATATTTGCTACATTCCCAGACCTTAGCTGGGCTTAGAATACATCTAAGTGTCCTGCTTCATCAAAGAATGCAATCAGTTGCCTCTGAATTTTGGAACAATTCTGCTACTATTAGAAGACTTCTATGGAATCAATCGAATTTCAGCAAGTTTTCAACAAAAGCTTTATGCTTTAAAACAATCATTCATATTTAATAAAGGGGATGAATGGGTTTCATCTTAAAGTGTCAGAAGCTTCTATTCTCCCTTGTTATAAAAGATCTGGTCCTGTCCATAGAAGGACTGGAGTACAGACATAGGGTCTAGCTTACATCTGTGATCTGAGACATAGTTAGAGACACAGCAGGCCTTTGTGAAAGGGGTGGTCCTTGGCTTTGTCCAGAGTACTTGATGAAGGTCAGCAACACTGGGTCCTTGGTTGGCCTTTCAAAGGCTTCCGCCAGAGATTCCAGCTGGCAGCTGTAGAAGGGCGGCTTTTGTTGAACAAAGTGGTGATAGAAGACTGCTTGTACTACAGAATAAATGGAGACATCAGCAACAGAATAGGGGGAAAAAGACATCCCGAATGTGGGCAAATCCATTCTAGGCATACAAGCAAACAGAATTTTGTGGTTGGTCCACCTTCCCCTCTCTTTGCACTGCCCCTCCCCAAACCTTGTAGTTTCTCTGGCCACCTATTGGAAATGGTAGCCCGCCCACCTTGTGCTCCGCTCACTTTCTCTAGCTGCTTCTCGTTAGCATGGATGTGATGTTGGCCATTTGTGGTCTTTTTCATTTTCCAGGAGAATATGCCTCTAGAGTTTAATCTATCAGCTTGTTCTACACTAAAAAGAATTCTAGGTAAATCGTATCTGTAGAATCCTTCCTATTAGGACAAGCACTGGAATCGTCAGGCTGGGAGTTAGTGAGCTCCTGCGAACACTCGTGTGCATCACACTGAATTCAAACTTTCTTTTAAACACAAGATGCAGCAGTGAAGATAATATCTGGTGTGGCAGATATTTGAGAACGTAGAGTCAGTGTGTCCCTCTCTTTCAGGTGTATTGGACCCTTTCCTGGTTCTGCAGCAGCTGCGATGTAATGGTGTCTTGGAGGGGATTAGAGTATGCTGTGAAGGCTTTCCAAGTCGGATGCTATATGATGACTTTAAGCAAAGGTAGACATACATTCAAGGTTCCCAAAGTCTAGAAGAGTCAGTTCCGTTTCCTCTGTGTTGAGTGTTTAGGCATGCACTGTTTGTTTGCTTGGCATACTCCACTATATAAAATTGATATGTTTTTGTGGTGATGAGACACAATGTTGACAGAGTTCCACATTATTTGTTCTTAAATTCAATATCTATATAGCTGCAGAGCCCTTAAATCTCTGTTAGTGGATATTAGACCCATATATAGAAGAAATATATATAGAAAGAAGATGGACAGCCTGCTGTGGGATGTTCTGTATGGCAAAGGTGTTGCTCTGATTGGTTAATAAAAAAAAAAAAAACTGATTGGCCAGTAGCCAGGCAGGAAGTATAGGCAGGACAAAGAGAAGAGAATTGGGGGAAGTGGAAGGCTGAGGCAGAGAGACCTGCCAGCTGCCACCATGACAAGCAAGATGTAAGGTACCGGTAAGCCACAAGCCACGTGGCAACTTATAGATTAATAGAAATGGGTTAATTTAAGATAGAAGAAGTAGATAACAAGAAGCCTGCCATGGCCACGTAGTTTATAAGTAATATAAACATCTGAGTGATTATTTTATATGTGGGTTGTGGGACTGCAGGGCTTTTGGTGGGACCTGGAGAGAAGCTCTCCAGCAACAACAGCCTAAAGTGCATCTCTGAAGTCTATGTGCTTTGTGGTAGCTGCCACCCAATCAAGCTGTTGCATTTTTAGCAGCCATGAAAAGAAGGATGCAGTAGTGTGTAGGTGATAGGAGGCAAGAAAGGCATCTTGGATTTCCATGTCCTTTTGAAAAATGAAAATTTTAGTTTATCAAAACAATTTGAGCAGAATGTGGTAGAGCAAGAAGAACACCTGTCTAAGAACTGAAAGGCACGTGTCTACAATTCACGATAAGGGTGAAAAGTTTTGGCAAAAGTCAGTTCAACTTTTCAGTTTCCCTGTTCACATAATAGAGATACTTACACTTTCCCCCTTTTCTTTTCTTTCTCAGTCTCTACTTCCCCAGTAAAATTAAGTTAATAACCATAACACTGTAGAGAATATAAACTGACCCATTGAACGGATAGCTGATAGCATCTTCACTATTGTGGCCAGGAGTTGTGTTAGAGTTGACAGATTGGAAGGAAAGATAGGTGCCTGCACTAGCTTTCCCCTGTAGATGAAATTCTAAACAGTCTTAGTAAATAAGAAACACAGAGCTAAATACAGAGTTAAAGCCTAAGAGACCAGAACAAGAGCCATGACTCCCTTTAGCTTACCACTTGCTGCTGTTGCTTCCTCTGAGAAAGAGACCTTCTCCTGTGTGACCTGTCTTTTTATTTCCTTTCTGTTCTACCTTCTCATCGGCTCTAAACCAAACCACATGATTTCCTCATCACTGCCTGTCTATACAGACCTCCATGTCTCTATGGTTGGTACTGAGATTAAAGGTTCGGGTCACCGCTTGGCTGTGTCCTTGACCACACAGAGACTCTGCCTGGCATTTGATCGGATTAAGGGCGTGTGCCACCACCGTTGGACTTCTGCTAAATGGCTTGCTTTTAGCTCTGATCCCCAGACAACTTTATTTATTAACATACAAATAAAATCACATTTCAGCACAAATAAAATATCACCATATTCCCCCACTTGTTTCAGTGTTCTCTTTGAGTCATATGATCCCCTGGTCCCATTTCAAAATAGGTACTGCATTTTAAACCCAAGGACCTTTTCAAAGAGTGACTTTGTGAGCAGCAGAAAAGCGACTGAAGAAGTACTTGGTTTCTTGGAGATAGACCATTCCCAGTACCTGTGTGGAGTCACCAAGGTAACTCAGAAACGTCAAAGAATGCATTTGGGAGGGAAGAAGAGGGAAAGGTGTACATTTTAAAATATTGGTAAATGCTTAATTATTAAATAAGTTCTTCAGCTCTTGTGACCAGAAATAATACAAATAGAGACCAATTCATAGTGGAAACTTCAATTCTGCTTGAGAAAGAAAATCCATTGTTACTTAAACAAGTCTAAATTTTATTTACATTATTTCAATATTGAGGGTTAAATCTAGGGCCTTGTACATTCTACACAAGCACTCTCTTGCTGAACTGCACTCCATCTTGCATATAAATTTTTATAACTAATTGTCTAGTCAAATTCGTGCCACTCTATAAAACACTGAATTGACCTTTCTGTGATAGAAAACAGAGTAAGAGAATGTGAACCAGGTTCCCAGAGATGACTACTTGCACACATGAAATGTTTTATGTAGTGTGCTTAATTGGAAAATAATTATTGCTTGAATCATTGAGTAATTTAAAAATTCAATTATAAGCCAAAACCAGCTTTCTTAAATGTGACTATTTAAATTCTACTTTATCCAAAAAACCCACATATTTTTGGAAATTTCTGGCTTGCTCTTACCTGATAGTCAATACCATGCTGTCCTTAATGACATCCATGGAAAACCAAATTTTTGAAGGAGAGTGTGAGGATACAGGGTAAAGATCTGTCTGTCTTCTTCCTGTCTATCCATCCTTCTTGAGCTTGCCTCATCTTTCTTCTGCCTTAGCCTTTTGAGTTTCTAGGATTATAGCAACCCCATAGTACAGTTTTATGAATGTTACTTGATTCTTATATTTTGAATACCTAGAAATCAGTGTTTATCATTTGTGTTTTTTCCTTATATCTTATTATTTTTGCCATATGCCACTCATCACGGTTCAAGCTCACATGAGCTAGTGAGAATCCCACGTCACATATATTAAGGAGGCTTTCACTCATGGATGGGAGGATGAAACTGAATGGGTCTCACCAACAAGACTGGGCACATTTTGAGCAGAGTTGTTCAAGATGCCTTTAAGAAGAGCCACATGTGTTCCTCTATGAAATTTGTGTCTTAGGTAGTTAATCACCTCACCTTGGTTCTTACTGATTAGTCTTGGGAAATGCCAAGTCTCTCATACGTAGAGCAAAAGCATCTTCTAGATCATGGGTCAGTAAACTAAGATTCAACAACCCCATGGGCTATTTAAAAATCACTGCCAATATCTTACTATTCCTCTTCCACCTATTCCAAGGGTCTCTTTATGCTTTCCGGGTTTCTGTGATTATGCCATGTTGTAAATTCACATCTGAGAATATGGAGCTAGGAAGCACAGATGAGAGATGCAGCTTTTGTCTTTCTGGGTCTGGGTTACCTCACTCAATAAAATCTTTACTAGGTCCAACCATTTACCTACAAATGTCATGACTTCGAATATCATTCCATTGTGTATAGGTACCACACTTCCACTATTTCCTCATCTGTTGAAGGAAGTTAGGGTTCCATTTCCTGGCAATGTCAATATCAATGGACATGTTAACATGAAAGGAATAATTTCATGGGGTTCCACTTCTACCCAAAGAACCACAGGCAATTCATGACTGCAAGAAGGAAAATTATCCTCTTAGAGATGAGGCCCCTTATTGGTTGTCCAATGTAGAGTCCAATGTAGTCTACTTTGAAACAATATATACACAAACAGGAAAAATGAACTCAGTATGTTGTATTTATATATATTTGCGTGTGCATGCGTGTGTGTACACATTTGCATGTGCACACACACATACAGAGAGAGAAAAGAGGGAGAGATGGGGGAATAACAAAAGAAAAATATGCTATCAACTTGGAGGGGAAACATGGGAAGGATTGAAATAAATGAGGATAGCTGAAAGGGAGGGGAGAATGTTCTTATTTTATTTCCATTAAAACATTGAAAATAAAAATAAAACCATTGCCAGTTAGCAAAAACCAATTAATATTTAAAAATTATTTAGAAAAGCAAACAAGTACTCAACACAACTGTTTATGACCTACCATACCCAGAAATGAATGTTTCTTGTCTTGTCCTTCTCAGAGGTAGTTGTGAATCCTGCCAAGTCCTTTGGAGTACTGTGTACCTAGCTCATTTTGTAACTTGGATCATGTTTTTTAAATGTTATTATTAGGTCAAGAGGAGGGTACAGAGTAAATGATCAGGTTGCCAACATATCCAATATAAAATGTCCTCTATAACCTTTAGAGTTAGAAAGTTGGATTCCCTAGCATGTAAATTTTATGCAATGAATAATACAAATTCAAAGACATAGGGCTGACAAAGTTGTCCTGTAGACTGCTTCTGTTGTTCTTGGCATCATTCAAAAGACTGCTGAATTCATCTGATGAGTGAGACTATACCTGGCTTACTTCCTTTAGGTGCTTCTAAAACCTAGCATTCTGGACCAGTTGGAAGAAAGGAGAGATGAGAAAATATCTAAAGTCTTCACCTTGTTCCAAGCCAGAGCACGGGGAAAGCTGATGCGTATTACATTCCAGAAGATTCTAGAAGAAAGGTATTAACTCTCTATGTTAATTCATGCCTCAACCAATGTGACTTTGGTCATTGCCCTGAAATAAATAGACTGTGGTACAAAGACTAGTCTGCTTAGTCAGAGTCTTGAAAATGTTTTAATATCTGTATACAGAAAAGGCGGCATAAAGGACCTTGCTGTCTTCCCCAATGATATTATTTGTTTTTTGCTATTGTTGTTTGAGAGAAGGTGCTATGTAGCCCAGGCTAGCCTAGACTTAATTGTGTAGACCAGGCTGGCCTTGAACTCCCAGTAATCTATCTCTGCCTCTTGAGAAGGCTGAGATTGCAGATGTGTGCTACCCTACCTGGTTCCAGTTGTATATACTTGTGTAAAGTTTTAAATTTTTTTTTCATATTTACTTCTTTTATTTCTCAAATGAGGCCATTAAAATCTACTGTTTTTAAATCATTTATCAAAAGTTATTGTGAACTACATAAACTTCATAAAAATGTAGATAATATTCTCATGGCAACATCATCAAGGAATATTAATTCTTAAAATTTTTTATACAATTGCTGACAATTTAAAAATTATTAACTGACACCACTGAAGTCCTTGTGTATTTTCCTCCTTCATTCAAATCTATTTTTCCCAGATCCTAAATTAGTGTTAATTATTTTTATCACATATATAAATGTATAGTTAATATAAAAAAATGTTCTCATTCTTTACTAGATATATCTTTTTCTGTTTGTTTGTTTTTTGAGACAAGGTTTCTCTGTGTTGTTCTAAGCTGTCCATCCTGGAACTTCCTCTGTGGTCCAGGCTGGCCTCAAACTCAGAGATCCACCCGCTTCTGCCTGACAAGTGCTGGGATTAAAGGCGTGCACCACTATGCCTGTCTTAATAAAGATTTTTCTTTTCTTTTTGGTTTTTCAAGACAGGGTTTCTCTGCGTAGCCTTAGGTGATATACAGATGGCCTTAAACATATGCATGACTTTTCATGCTTACTTCATGTGAATAATATTCTTTATGAAGTTTTCCATCAATGTTTAGAAGTCTTCTTAAAAGTATATCAGTGTTGATGAGTGTAGGGCTAGACCACTGAGTTTAATTGCTGTACAGTAGACCATTTGCTTAAATATACCACATGTATTCCTTTCCCCCATAAATTAAATCTGTGCTATTTAAAATATCATGTGCCATTCCAATATGTTATGGTTTTCTAGTGACATTTTAATAATATTTCCCCCATTCTTATATGGAAGGGTTTCTTGAAGATGACGTAACTTAAAAAGTTCCATTCTCTGATAAGTTAGTAACACAGCACAGGCACAGATGGCTGTTCTCACAATTTTAACTTTGCAGGCTTTTGTTTTCTGATTTTACTACTCAGCAGTGGTCCATGAGATTCCTCTTGCTGAATACTTTCATGAATATGTGGTACTTTAGACTTTGATATATTTCTGACATTGGCAAAAGCCATCATTTCCATTTAAAGGATGATATTTTCTGTAGCTTAAATTTTTTGATGTATTGTTTAAAGAGTATTCCCATTTCTACCATTTTCCTTTTAAAAGCTTTCTTTTTTTTTTTTAAATCACGAACCCACTAAATTTTCTATCTGTATCTGTTAATATATGGTCTTTATAAATTAACTTGTAAATGTGTTAAATTTTGATAGATCTTAAAATATGTAAACTACTTTGATTGGCACTGATGCATTTTGTAATAATGTTACAATGAGATTTTAAAAAATCAATTGACTGGCCTATAATTTTCTTTAATTTCTAGTCTGCTATCTAGTTTTAGACAAATATTATTCTAACTTTGTAAAAGAATTAGAGAATGTTTTCTCTTTCCATACATGAAACATTTTATTTAATTATCTAGTCATTGACTCTTGTGCATTTGCCTATAAAATAATCCAAATTTGGTATTTTTTGATGATTTCATAATTTTTAATGTGTCTAGACATATTACATTTTTCTTCTTGAGTCATTTTATAAATTATTTACTAAATAAAAATTATGCAATGTTATAAACTGTTTATATTATGTACTACTCAATTATAAATGTTAAGTATTTACTATGTGTACAATTTTACTCACAGTAAATAATCTTTATTAATTCCTAGGCCATTATTCCTAGTATTGTTTATTTTGTCTTCTCTCCTTTCCTTTATGTTACATGTATATCTATTTATTTAATATATCAACTGGATAACTATTATTCCATTTCTCTTTTCCCCTCAACTTCATTCATTTGTTACCTCGTTTTTGTTCTTCCAATTTGTTTTTGGCTTATTCTTTCCCTTTTCCCAGTGTTTGTGAAGTTTAATTGACAAAATTATATGTTTATGGTATACAATCTGATGTTTTCATATATATGCACTTTGTGTAATGATTGCTGCAATCAGGCTAATTACTGTATCACCTCATATAGATATATTTTGGGTGTGTTGAGAGCATTTAAGATCAACTATATTTAACTAAGCATGGTGTTGCATGCCTGTAATCCAGTACTTGGGAAATGGAGGCAAGAGGATCAGGAGTTTGAAACTGTCTGGATTACAGGATATATATATATATTCAGAAGTGGGCATATTTGTTACTTTTATCATTGCTGTGATTAAATATCTGAGAAAAACAATTAAATGAAGGGAAGGGTCTATTCGGGCTTACTTCTAGAGAGGTTTAACCAGGGAGGGAAGATTGGAATGAATGTGGGCAGCAGCACCATAGGTGCCGAAACCCTAGACCCTCTGCTTCCTGCCTACAAAGACAACGTGACCACCCACCCACCTCACACTTCTGCTTCCACGCCTTCCATTGTTATGGACTGTAAATCCCCAAACAAAAATTATGCTAAAATAGTTTTTCAGTTTATAAGCATGGGATTTTTCTCCATGTATTTGGATCTTCTTTGGTTCCTTTTATTAATATTTTAATTTTCTGTATACAGATATTTTTACCTCCAGGTCTTATTTATTGTGAGGTAGTTTATTTTATTATGTAATTATAAATGGGATTGTTTTCTTAATTTTTCTCTTTTCTGTGTTTCATTAACATAACTATGTAACTGTGCTGGTTGTGTTTATTTAAACTCTCATTATTTTTATATATAAGGTGGAGTAACCTCTAATTTAGTCTTAATTAAGGTCTGTATTCTAAGAACACTTTTCAGCCCATGGTTTCTACATTTTGAAGATAAACCACTTTGTCAGAGGCAGCATTCATTTGTAGTGGAAGTAGAATTAAACACTTCAATACTTCTGCTCATTTTATTGGGTGCATTGTTAGAGACAATGTCAGTTTTAGGGCTAAGATATGATTATTGCCCTTTGTCCGTATTGTGATGGTAAAGCCTTTGAGACTAGATTTTAAAAAAAAAAATCCACATTTGCCCTGCAAACCGTAATAATACAGGACAGAAACTCTTTGTTTCTAGAAACTTTTGCACACTTGAGTTTTAAGAAAGTTTGCAAACATCTGATTGCAAAAGTTTACAACCTTCTGGTTGCAAATCATGTTTTTCTAGTCTGCATGGCTCTGATGGTTCTCTCCACCCTTGGTGCTACTAGAGCAGTGATGAGGGGACCTTCTCTAGTTGAGGTTTCTTGGTCCTTCAAGCTTCCTGGATCTGAGTGTTCTTCACTTAGTGGCATGTCATAGATTTCTTGAACTTTCTTTATTCTTTTTCATTGTTTTAAAGAAATATATGAGGGTCTTACTTCAAAAGTCCTGCCTTCAATTTTACAAGGCTTTCCTTTTCTTTGGCTTAGTGTGTGGCTGAAGCTAATCAGTTTTAAGTTTTGTTTTACTGAAAAGTTTCTCTAGTTCCAAGACTTCTTTTTAGTGACTTCTTTCTCTCTATGGAAATTGTCATTCAGATCATGAATTATTTTGTTAATTTTACTAAATTGTCCTGTATCTCACTCACTTCCCCTGGAATAATTATTTTTAATTTCTCTTTAGGAATTTAATAGAGTCCCTTCATTTTTGCATTTCTGGTTATGTCACAGATTTTCCGTATGTGTGACATGTGTCAAAATATTTGAGCTAATTAACTTAGAGAAAGGAAAGATTTATTTTAGCACACAGTTCCAGATGCTTCAGTCTATAATAAGCTTTGTTGTCTCAGATCGTGAAGCTAGGTCATAAATCATGCTAAGTAGTTTATTGTAAAAGGTGATGCTCACAGATGGAAAGAGAGAGGGAGATGCAGGAGTCACAGCATCCCTAGTTAGTAGTGTACTCCAACGACCTAACTTTGTTGATTAGATGTCCAGACACAAATACAGTTCTTCTAGCCTATCATAGTTTTGCTTTATAAATACTTGTAGCAGTCTGTTATTACCCTTTATTTTTCTTTGGGGTCATTTGTGATGGTTTTATTTCATTTATAATTGCATTGCCATTCTTTTTTTTAATAGTATATCTTAACGTCTTTCTCTTTTTTCACTCCTACTTTAGGGGTGCCCTTGTTTTGATCCAAGAGAACATAAGAGCTTTTATGGCTGTGAAGAGCTGGCCCTGGATGGGGCTCTTCTTCAAGACCAAGCCTCTTGCTAAGTCTGTGGGAGTTGGAGAGGAGGTAGCGGGACTGAAGGAAGAGTGTGCACAACTTCAGAAGGCTTTGGCGAATTCAGAATCCCAGAGGGAGGAACTGAAAACAAAGCAAGTCTCCCTTGTCCAAGAAAAGAGTGATCTACTTCTAAAGCTGCAGGCTGTGAGTGCTCCCAGCACCTGTTGTTCTTTATGGCTTGCTTTAAATTTGACTAACTAGTTCCAGAACTGTTGCTGACTTGAGAAAAATAAGCATGCACTGGCTTTCTAAATACTGTACATTTTTATTAAACCGAGCCTGTGGAAACACATAAAAAGAAACCTTGCATTAGAATGAAGTAATTCCACTGGTCGGCTGTCTTAGAAAAAGCCATAAACCTGAGCTGGGGAGATGCTCAGTAGATAAAGCACTTGCCTCAGAAACTGTGAGGATAGAGGTTTACATACCCACAACTTACGAAAAAGCCTGGCAAGTGGAGTAACCCCAGCATTCAGAGTACTGAGATGGGAAGTCCCTGGCACACACTGGCTAGATAGTTTAGCTGATCAATAATCTCTGGGTTCAATTTAGAGACCCCGCCTTCATTGATAAAGCGGAGACCCATTCAGGAAGACATGTGATATCAACTTCTGACCTCCACACACATGTGCATACGTGTGCATGCATACACAGGTACCTACCACACACATATACATGAAAGACAAGAAGAAGGAAGAGGCAGAGAAGAAAAAACAAAGACAAATTACCATTGGGTATTCAGTGTATAATATCATCACAAGCTATTATGGAACCAGGAACCTATAGATCTATTGTTTTGAGACCGAGTCTTCTTGTGTGGCCCAGGTTGGCCTGCAACTTGCTGTGTAACACAAGCTGGCCTTGAACTCGTGGCAGTCCTCCTATGACAAACTCCTGAGTCCAGGGGTTACAGACATAAGCCACCACACATGACTGAAGCTCTGGATCTTATCTGACAATGACCTATTAGCAAGTCAGCAGATGGGATTTTAGTAGGCCTCCACCACCTGGCTCTGTTTCTCTTTTAGACTGGATCAATCTCCTGTAACCCAGGGTGGCCCTGAACTCCTGATCTTCCTGCTTCCTCCTCCCAAGTGCTGAGATTTAAGGTGTGTGCCACCGCTGCCTGGCCTCTAGTGGCTAGCTCTGCCCTGTGATCTTCAGGTGAACTTTATTCGTTAGACCACAAACAAAGTATCAGCACAAAAGAGGTAAAAGAGGACAAGGACTTTTTTTAATCCACTGCTTCCTCACCTTACAGCAGTATTAAGTGAACAATGGTTCCGTGTGAGAGAGTAGGCACAGAAGATAAGCTCTCCCCACCATGTTACACTGCCAAGAAGTTGCCAGTGTGACTCTTCTCCAGTTCCACTGGCACATTTAATGAAGTAGCCAGTAAATAAAGGTTGACCTCCTTCTTCGGTGTTGGGTGACTGGTCCAGGTCCTGTTCACATGCAAAGTGGGCTCTAGAAAACAGCTGTTCCGATGTCAGCCTGAGGTCGGAAGACCAGATGTTCTCAATATTCCTCAAATATAGGAAGTTTCTTTGACTTGCTTTGACGTGTCCTAAGTGTCCTGATCATTTTTTTTCTAAGTTGACCTCGTGTTTTGATTCTTCAGTCAAGTTTTAGGTTTACTATTTTATCTTTCTCCATGTGTGCCCTTTGAGCCCTTTTTGTTTAGCTGGAGTTGTTTAGAATGGAGTTGCACAGAACCCATGAATCTAGGGTTTTATCTTTATGCTGCTTGTATCTTCTTTACTGACACAACTTGAGTATTTTAAAAGGATAGGTAATAAATTCCCCAAACGGTCATTTCAGTTAGGACGGAGAGTGAGGTCTGGAGATGAAAGATGAAGGTAATGATAGTGGTTTACTTTCACTGTAATGAAGTACCTGAGATAATTATGAACAGAAATGAGTTCCTTTAGCTCACAGTTTTAGAGGTTGGTAATTTCCATAACATTTATGCCGCTATTGTACAATTTGGGCATAGCTTTCCAGACCAGTAATTATTGTAGCTTTAAGTGGTCACAGCTGGGCAAGACTGTTGATGACTTTTCTCCCCCTAGTAGCATCCATAGAAACTTCCAGCAGCCTTTTCATCTACACTTCACTTGATATACACCATGGGAACAATGGGAAACAGTGTTGTCTGAAGACAGTACATCTGAGAGAGGAAAAAATAAGCAGGACTCATGTTTTATGTGTATATTGAGGAATTTGCTGCTGGCAGAATCATTGAAGCAAAAATTTTAGTTGGAATTAATAGTGAAAGTAATGACTTGTAAATTTATGAGTTCTAAATTCAGCCAGTGCATGAAAATGTACTGCTCAGCTCAGTTTATAGAAATCTATACTAAACAAAATACATCAGGGCATTTATTACAATGTTATAAATATTATATTATACAAGGGAACTCCATTAGATAATATTCTAAGCAGCTGTCAGTCTATGTGCCCACATCAGTTCTTCTAGGTGCTTTGATTTATATATATGGCACACTTTTTCACTTTTGGAAGTGTGCTCATTCTCTTAGGCCACTGGATTTCTATTAAGTGCCTTAGAAGAGGTCACTTAATCTACTAAATGGGCATAAAATATAGAAGGCTCTTCCAAACACAAGCAACATCTTTCCTTTCCAACAACAGGGTTAGGAACCTGGAAATGCTATTTTAGCTACCTATGAAAGGCAGGTAAAACTTCTGGGCAGAGGGCAGATAATTATCTCCTTACTATGTGTTAAGCAGGCTCATCACCCAGCAGATAAATTACTTCCAATTGTTGGCAACAATCTTCTCCTCGTTCTTATGGCAGGAACAAGAGACCCTGGAAAATGCCAAGGAACAGTGTGAGTTGCTGATTAAATCCAAGATGCAGCTGGAGGACAGAGTCAAGGCGCTGTCTGGGAGGATGGAGGAAGAAGAGGAGATAAATTCTGAGCTGACTGCCAGGGGGCGGAAACTGGAAGATGAATGTTCTGAGTTGAAGAAGGAAATCTATGACCTGGAAACAATCTTGGCAAAGTCAGAGAAGGAAAAGTGTGCAGCAGAGCACAAGGTACTTATTCTGTGGTGTTGGGAAAACTGGATTCTTCGGTGAATAACAGAAGGGCTCTGCTCTGTTAATAACACAGCGGCCTGCAAATTTAGTGATGGGAGCCAGAATCAGCAAAAAGTGAAGGGTCTGATGAGCTATATTTTTCCTCCACGGATTTCTAGTTTGAAAGTCTGGGACCCCTTTAATGTAACAAATAAACTATTATTGCACCTAAAATCTAGTAGAGCAAAATGGTTTCATTGGACCTCCAAGAGTCCCTTTGGGAACGGGAATGAACACGATGCCCTTTGCCAAAAGGTAATTTGGGATATGGCTAAAGCCCCAGCTTTAGCAGTGATTCTGAGTCTGACCTTGAAGCCATCTCCTTAATTCCAGGTAAAGACCTGGGCTTTTTGCTTTAGCTGTGGGCTTTAATTTGTGCTTCTGTATGGGGATTGGCTAGCAAGGAGTCTGAATGAAGCCTTTGACAAGCAGCTAATCTCCAAGATGAAACTGTACTGGGTAGATGATTCTACAATAGCTTCTGTGTTGCTTCCCAGTAGGACAGATGGCCAACTCCACCTTCACAAGTGCTGTCTGCTGGAACCCTTCTTGAACTGCTGCATTTCAGGGACACTGAGGCATCATGTGATAGCACATGTTACCCAGATCCTCAACAGAAGTAGAAATTACCACTAATGATATTGTTGTTATGCAGTAATGAGCTCTGAAAACAGTTTGTACATTGAGGTTTAGTTGTTCTCTTTTTTTGAGAAAAATTGAATTTAGAGATTTGTCAATGGCTCTTGATGACATTAGATGCCTCATGAGTATTTTGAACTATGAAAGGGAAATGTTCTGGCGTCTTTCCACAGGTCAGGATCCTGACTGAGGAAGTGCATTCTCTCAATGAGGAAGTCAGCAAACTTACCAGAGCAGTGAAGGCTGCGCAGGAGGTCCAGCAGCAGACCCAGGAGCATCTGCACATAGAGGAGGAGAAACTCAGCAACATGAGCAAAGCAAGCCTGAAGCTAGGTCAGCAAGTTGAAGCGGTGAGCAGCAGCGGGCTGACTGATTGGTGGTCTGACTTTATTGACAGTCTATCTTTAAGTTTTACTTAGTTAATTTACCCTAACAGTTCCATGAAAACTCAGTAGCATAGCGAACTCACTTTATTTTTCACCAGTAGAAGTCTTTTATTCTTAACACTCATAAAGACCATGACAGTATGAGTGTAAGAATATGTATAAGAATACTTAAATGTAGCTTTTGCACAACTCTGGAAAATGGGAGACAACACTGAGGTGAATAATAAAAAGTGACATCTTTGACTGATTGGTTCTTCCTTACGTTTTTGTGTTCATCTACTTTTTTCTCCTATTATTTTCCTCTCTGTGTTACTGAGTTCCCTTTTCTATTTCTATGGTTTGCCCATCTCATACAACCTCATTGTAAGACATGACAGGTGTTTGTGTGTGCACATGAACAAACACATGCACACTCTTTGGTGACCTCATCCATTTCAGTTGCTCTAGCAAACTTGCATGGACTTCAGGCTTCTCAACAACAGAGATTAACTTCCCACAGTTCTGGAGACTAGAAACTCCTCAATCCAAACAGGCAGACACAGCGTCTGGTGAAGACACACTGTTGTTCAGAACTGACATCTTATTGCCTTATCCTTACACGGTGGCAGCTAAGAGGACCTATACTTTTTTTTTCTATCAGAGCTCTGTCCTCTTGACCTACGTACCCCAAAGGGACCTACCTCCTAATGCTATTGCTTTGGAATTTCATCATATTCTAGGGAACATGTGCCTCTATTTTTATAACATCTGTAGTTCATCTAATTCTGGTTTTTATACATACCTTTGAGAAATATCCCTTTAAACAACTTGAATTTCATATATTTTACTAGTTATGGGAGATTGATAAAAAGTGAGGCTACCAATAAACAGAGGGTAGTATTTAATTGCTTCCTAGCTTCCTAGTAAACAAACTTCTCTATCACTGTTATCAACATGAACTCAGAGATAGTTGGAATGCTCTGAGTAGTTTTGTACAATATCAGAATATAACAAGTGTTATGGACTAGAGGAAGGTGGGGAGTTTAAAAAGCAGTGGGCAGGGGCAAAACATCATGCCATGTGAGTCCCAGGTAGGCTGTGGATATTCATGGATGATTATATAGACTGATTACATACTATAGTTCTAGAAAGCAGAACACTTGTGTTTTAAAGAAACACCCATGAGTAAATGGGACTTATCCACCCAGGAAATGAGCTGCCAGGTGAAGAAGTGAGCTACTTTTTCCAGGAAGTAATGAAATGGACAACTGGCCACTTGCTATTGGTTGCCACTCTAAGACAGATCTTATCATTTATAGTCTGTAAAACTTTCACCCATCATTGATTTCTAGATTTGTTTTGGTAACCTACTGATGCATATAATTTTTATTTAACTCTTTAAACTTTAAAAATGATGTTTAATGTTTGATTTATTTGGTTTATGGGTGGTGGTGGTGTACATTTCATTCATGGAGCACATGTAGAGTTCAGATTGTAACTTAATGGAAGTTGATTCTTTCCTTCTAGCACATGGATCCTGGGGATTAAACTCAGGTCTGCAGACTTGTCAGCAAGTACCTTTACCTGCTCAGCCCTGCTGTGGGCCCTAAAATGCTGCTATGCACCATTTACAGAATTTGTTCCCAGACTTTTCTTTTTCCTGAAAGTAGTTAATGTAAGAACCTTTAGTAAGATACAAACTCTGCCTTTTATTTGGATAAGCAGGCTTCCTTTTTTTTTTTTCAGTTGGACGGTGCCCTTGAACGGGAGAGGAAAGCCAGAATGAAGTGTGAGAGGGAGAAGCTCAAGTTAGAGGGCGAGTTAAAGAAGAACCAGGAGGATGCCGAGAACCTGGAGAGCAGCAGGTGGCAGCTGGCCGAGCAGCTGAGGAAGTAAGCACCTTCCCAATGCCAAGGGATTCCGGGAAAGTCTTAACACCGGGAGGATCAGTGTTCTTGTTTCATTTAGCATCAGGTTTCTAGACCAGAGCCAGATATTTCAAGACCCAAGATGGTGACAAGAAGCTTGGGAAAGGGATATTTCAATACGAAGGGCTCTATCACACAGCTGGAAAAATAAAGACACAATCTAGAGAATATAGCAGAAAGCATCCACCTAGAAGGTGAAAATTTTGGAAGTAGTAACAGAGGAGACGTGAATTATGCAAATCTGAGTCTACAAAAAGTGGCCTACTTCTTTGACTTGGGATGAGACCAATGGTGATACGAACACAGTGAAAACCTGACTGTAATATGAAGCCTGGAGAGCTCTATGATCACTAAGTAATAATGTTTTCCTTGTCAGATACAGCTGCAGTAGTATTTATGTAGACTATGTAAACACTGATTCCTAAAATAAAGTCATAATTATATGAAATGATAAAAATTATGAAAAATTTCCATCAGTTCCCCTGGATTCTTTATACCCTATGGAACTGACCGGAAGATGGCTTTCTGTCTAGTTCTGCTGGTTGGTGACATATGTTTTAATGCTTTGTATCTTTTGTCTTCTGTTTACCAGATTTTTTTTTTTAAATAACACTTAAAGATTTAGATTCTACCAAATAAGTGGAGCAAAAGTAAGATCCAAATACAAGGTCAAAACTGAGAACATATCAAAGTTGGGGTCCACAGTTTATAAAGCAGTCAAGTGGCTTTGCTTGCATGCATGTGTTGGCCTCGAGCATGTTCTTGGTGATGGTTGATTGTATATTCCTAACTTATTACACTTGGCATGTGTCTGTGGTCATCTTAAGAATGCAAGGGAACAGTATGTTAGAAAATGCCGACAGGGTTCCCTTCATAGTCAGTGTTGAAAATTATGTCAGTTTGGCAAAGTGAAGATAATACTCCATGCTTTTGAAGGCTGTAGGCCAGAGTTCGATTGAATACATGTTACAGGCTGATTGTAAAGTAAGCTCTGTGTGAGACCATGTATAAGCATGTCCCTTATATTATTATATGGGTCAAGTTAAGTTATATATCTATACATACAAATTCCTGTAATATGATAGATTCTACAGTAAAGAAAATTAAAATATCCCTACTATTTTGTATACACACACACACACACACACACACACACACACACACATTTATGAGTACTTAGAAAAGAGTTTAGGCCGGGCGGTAGTGGCGCACGCCTTTAATCCCAGCACTCGGGAGGCAGAGCCAGGCGGATCTCTGTGAGTTCGAGGCCAGCCTGGACTACCAAGTGAGTTCCAGGACAGGCGCAAAGCTACACAGAGAAACCCTGTCTCGAAAAACCAAAAAAAAAAAAAAAAAAGAAAAGAGTTTAGAAGGACACACACCAAACATGTGATCATGATTTGAAGAAAGAGACCAGGGATTATATAATATTCAAATCAGATGTAGATGTAATGGTTATATTACAGTAAGAATTCATATGCTATTCTATAATGTTAAAGTATTTAAATATGTGCTATTATTCGGACAGATTATCTTTGTCACATTTTCCTAAACAGGAAAGAATTTGAAATGAGTCAGATGAATTCAAAAGTGGAGAGTGAGAAGAACCTGGTATCTCAGCTTCAGAAGATGATGAAAGAGCTTCAGGTACCCAATTATCAGACAATTCTGTGTGCCAGTGTTTAGATCCATGAATAATGGTTGGCACTCCCATAACTGGTACCCTCAGCCAGCTGTAGACAGAGGGAGTAAAGAGTAGCAGTTAAGAAGGTAAATGGCCTCCCACAAATGTGTGACCCTGGAGGGATAATTACCTCTTAATCTTAAATTTCTTTCTCACGAGAATAATAACAAGTAGCTTGTTCTTTGAACTTTTGCTGTGGACTAGTCCTTGTGCTAAATCTTGAGCACATAATTTTTAACACATTAATCTTGGCAGCTTTGAGCTCAAATGATTAAATTCAACGATATGTTTATGTGGGAAGAACAGTACATGACCTGCTGTGTCATTAGCTTAGTGTTTAACTTTTACGGTTAGAAAGCAATTAATTTAAAATTCAGTAGATTCTATAGCTCTTCATAAACCCAAAGCATTCTTTATCTGATAATGGATAGCAATTTGGAAATTTCAGACTAAGTGGTTATTTTACACCACATCACCATGTTATAAGACAATTAAAAGTACTGTTATGGCTATACACATACGCATACATGGTGTTGCATATACATTTGTATAGATTTTTTTATGTCACATTAACATCTTAATAATGCCTCCTTTGAGTGCTTATCTTCTGGGATATTTTAAGCCCAATAAGAAAACCAGTCTCAGGCCCTCTGCATAAGTGAGACAGTTGTGTAGCTTGATCTGCTTAAGGGACCCCTTGGCAGTAGGATCAGGATCCATCCCTAGTTAATGAGCTGGCTTTTTGGCACCTACTACCTATTGTAGGATGCCTTGCACAGCCTTGATGCAGGGGGTGGGGCTTGGACCTGCCTCAACCAAATGTACCAGGCTTTGCTAACTCCCTATGGGAGCTCTTACCTTTTCAGAGGAGGGAATAAGGGGTGGGTTGGGAGAGGAAGGCTGTGGAGCGAGGCATGAGGAGGGAAGAGAGGGGGAATCTGTGGTTGGTATATAAAATGAATAAAAAATTTCTTAATAAAGAAAAAAAAGAAAGAAAACCAGTCTCATTTCTTGTGAACATGCTTTCTTTTCAGAAACAACATTAAAAACCAAGCATTATACTTTCTAGGTACATCTTCAAATGATAATTGACTTTACCCGAAAGAAAATGAAACTCCCAACTTATCCAAAAAAAATTTTGTGTGTGCCTTAACGATTCTCTAAAAATTATTTATGAAGACATGCTTCTGAGGATTTTGAGTCAAGCACAGTATTATTGGAGATAAATATTTCAGATTCAGTAACTAGCTGTCAGGGACCACATTTACTTGTGGGTAAAATTACATTTTAGAAGCACTTGCCCTGGGATATCTTGTATACAAAACTGGTGGACTGCTTAGCTGGCGTGATCTAGAGAAATAACTTTCTCTAAGCCAATTTATTTAATGTAAAGGAAAACATTTTGTAAATAGTCTTTGCTTTTCTTCCCGTCTCTCCTAACTTGTGCCTATTTACTTAAGGTGTTAGTGAATATTGCCACTCTTGCCTCACTGAATATGGTGACTCTGTGAAGGTTTCCAGCACCTTTTACTGCTGCATTGGAGCATCTGGAGCTCCAAGTGTTCTATCAACACTTTGGCTAAAACCCCTGCCTGTAATGGCATCCCAGATGACTGTTCACCTCAGTAGTTCCCATTCCTCCACCAATTCTAATTCACCACTGCAAATCTACTACTTGGAATCTGAGGACTAAGAAACCAATTAACCAACTTGCCATGTGGGTAGGGTTGATAGATGTTGTTTCTTGAGGGCAAGTTGCTTGAATGGGTGTTGATTCTATTGTCAGTTTTGCAGAGTCTATAATTATTAAGAGGGTTAAAAATTTCAGAAAGGTATTGCATATATAATTCACTATGCCACATTTTTGTAAGCTCCCTATGAAAATTGTTCTTGGCATATGAAAGAGGTCCTTTTTTAAAAAAGGGGGTGCTCTTTATTAAGAATCTCCCTCCTTATATAATTTAATGATATTGTCTATAATGCAGGGCTGGGCACCTGGAAGAATTGAAAATTATAATTATGCTTCTTGGTATGGCTTTGGAGAAAAATTGCTTAATTTCTTGGTGTTGAATTTCCTTTAGTTATAAAAGAGGAAAGAAAAAAATGTCACATTTGCTTTTTAAGTTGAGATAAAACAAATGTAACAACCTTGTTGCATATAGAAATATGTCATAAGTAATTATTAAAAGTTGAAATTATTTATTCTTCCAGGCTCAAATACTAAATTTGAAAGAGGAACTGGAAAATGAAAGGACCACTAGAGCCAAGGTGGAAAGAGAGAAAGCTGACCTCACCCAAGACTTAGAAGATTTGAAGGAGAGGCTAGAGGAGGCAGGGGGCACAAGTTTGGCTCAGATGGAGGTAACCAAGCAACAGGAAGCAAGATTTCAGAAGCTTCGCCATGACATGGAGGAGACTACGAGACACTTTGAGGCAACCTCTGTCTCTTTGAAAAAGAGACATGCAGAGAACCTGGCTGAGCTTGAAGGCCAGGTAGAACATTTACAGCAGGTCAGGCAGGTGCTCGAACAAGAAAAGAGTGAGCTGCAGTTACAAGTGGATGACCTCCTGACCCGTGTCGACCAGATGGCCAGAGCAAAGGTAGACATTTCCCAGCCTTCCTTAGAGGCATCTGAACACAGAAGTAGCAGGGGAGGGGAAGGCAAAGAAAATTCTGAATGATAACTAGAAGTGTTGGCTAATGGAAGGGGCAAGGTTTTCCTGTGCATTATTACAGGGATTGAACCTTGTCTTTCACATGCAATGCAAGTACTCTACTGCTGAGTTATAGCCCCAGACAACTTGGCATTTTCTAAATTTTGAGACAGGCTCTTATCAAGTTGCCCAGGGTAGCCTGAACAAACTCTGTATCTCAGAAGGGCTTTGAAATTGCAACAGGTCTGAAGTCATGGTGATTGCCCTGCCCAGTGATTCTCCTGGGCATCACAACAGTAGAGAATTGAAATTTGCAGCTGCAGCAGACCGTCTGTAGTTCTGTCTGAACTCCAAAGCTCTTCAAAATATATTTTAAATTTCAGGTGGATATAACTACATCTTCATACTTCTTGTACTTTATGGACCTATGTAGTTAACAGTGTATGGATACCTCAAAGAGTGTCTGTTATATTGTTGGTTTGAGCCACATATGTGTTGGCAGGAAAGAAAAGCATTGGCATGCAGGCAGTAGACACTTAGAATATCCCTGGGCAGTGAGTCTTGAAGTCCACCGAGCAACAGTGGCCTCTTCTTTGAACTTCTTGGCACTTGAGGTTTTCACATTCTGGTCTTGTGCTAGTTGGAGCAGCAGATATGAGGTTGATACAATAGCTATTCAATCGGTTAAACAGTGAAATATGCTTAAATTCACGAGCACAGAGGGTTACTGAAAACTGGCAAATATGTAAACAAAAGAAGAAATTTTTTGTTCATCTTTGGAAACTGCTGAAAAATTAAATAACTGTTTTGAAAACTCAAATTGCAGTAAAGCATCTATGTTAGCCCCTGCCCCCAAGGTCTCTATGTAGCTCATCTCTGCTCTTTCTTTTCATCCCTGCGACCTGTCTTTACTTCCCCAGACTTTGCTGAAAGTGTTCCCTTACGTTGTTCTCTCAGAGATCAGTACTGGCCTCACTGTCCACAAGTCGGCATGTGTGAAAGCAAACCCACCACGTTCACCTGCAGCAGGCTATTCCTTTTGTGCATTCCTGCCCCTGGCACCTGTTCTTCCAACCAGCCAGGCTCTAAGCCTCAAACACATGCTTCTTCGTCTGTTCTTTGCTTTCCAATTCCTTATCCCAGCAGGTCAGTTCCTCACTGTCTTCCTGCTTTCTCCTCTCTGGTTGGTCTCTTATCACTTTGCAACTGGACTGTTTTGGGTTCCTAAGTTATCCGTTTTGTTTCTAACCTTTCATTATTCCAACCCATCCGATACAATACCAATATAATACTTTTCTAAAGTATGCATTTATGGAGTTTTGAATTTCAAATGTCTGCTTTCAAGACAACCTAGGACCTATTGTAAGGTTCAGCCTCTGTTGCTACCTGTTCTAGGTTCTGTTACTTTATTTCATTTCCATTCAAATTAAAATGTTTGTCTTTCACTAAATATCCACTTCCCCATCAGCTCGCTTTCTTTCTTTTTCTCTCTTTCTCTCTTTCTCTTTCTCTCTTTCTCTCTCTCTCTTCCTTCCTTCCTTCCTTCCTTCCTTCCTTCCTTCCTTCCTTCCTTCCTTCCTTCCTTCCTCCCTTCCTTCCGTCCCTCCTGCCTTCCTTTCTTTCCTGTCCTTTTTTCATTTGTTCATTCATTTTTTTGTTTGTTTTTTTGAGACAGGGTCTTATCACGTAACTTTGTCTAGCCCGAAACTCACTATGTAGACTAGGCTGGCCTTGAACTCACAAAGATTCACCTGCCTCAGCCTCCCAGCTACTGGGATTAAAGTTGTGTACCACTACACCCTGGCAACCATCAGTTTTTTTACTATGTTAATTCTCTTCTCTGGAATATTCAAGTTGTTTTTTCTGTATTAAAATTTTACCTGCTGTAGAGTTCTTCTAGCACTTTTGGGATCTCTCTCGGACTGTAGCATTTCATCATCTTTGAACTTTTCTTAGAGAAAAGCTTCTCTACAGCAGAAACTATATCTTACTGTGTTCATGCTTACAGTGCTTTGTGCAATCCGTGCAGTGGCTGGCATTAGTATCTGCCTTTTGCCCTCAATGCTGCATTTAGACAGCAGAGATTGGCCTCGTCTCCTAATTATAGGCATGTGTGTATATGATCACATTCTTTTGTGCTTCATATAATTTTGATAATATAAATTGGTTCTGTGGGCTGAAAAATGGCTCAGTAGGTAAAGGTGCTTGCTGCCAACCCTGGTGACCCAAGTTCTATTTCTGGGGCCCAGTTACTGGAAGAAGAGAACTGACTCCAACAAGTCATCTTCTGACTTCCACATGAGTTCTGTGGCAGTTGTGTGTGCCTATGTGTGCTCAGTGTGCCTGTGTACACACACACACAAAAAAAAAAATTAAATTGTGCTCATTCTTAAAGGCATAATTTTAATCATTTCCCAGGTTATATTGGTAAGACTGTCAGTGCTCAATGGGAGTTAAAGCATTTTTAAATGAAAAGTATTCTGATAGAGAGCCCCAGAGCAATTTAGAAGTGATAGGAATTCTCATAATTGGTTTTTTTTTTTTTTTTGCATTTTCTGGGATACGTCATATTTAGTCTTCTTAAGAAGGGGAATTAAGATGGATGTGCATTCCATTAACTTCCTCGTCTCTCATATCAAAATTAGTTATTTATCTTTAGGCTTAAATTGAAATTCTTTTGAAGTTGCAATTCTTTTGCAAGCTATATTCCTGTATAGGCAACTTGTAAATAAATTATCCATATGATCTATTGCAAATCCTGATTATAAAGTGCTTTATTAATTAAAAATACTATGCCAGTTGCTAGCACTTCTTGTAGATACACACCATGTGAAGCTATGCCTAAAGGAAACATTGCTTTTCTGTCTCCCCAGGTAGGTTGATAACCTGTAAGTATCTACAGCTCAGCAAGCTCTCGTTACATGGGTGTCTCCTAAAATCCTGGCACTCTGTGGCTCATTTTCTTGCTTTTTACCAGTGCAAGCCTTATAGGTATCCATCATCTTTCATTCTTTTCAAACAGATATGTATATGTAACATAGTATACCCAAACTATGAACATTAGTGCATTTTACAACCCTCTATGAGCTTCTTAAAAGCAAGCTCAGTAATATCTTACTTTCTGCAAATCAGCACATATAAATCCAAACCCACCACCTCCTCCTGAAGCAGGTGCTTCCTTTGGCATTTCTGTCCCTGGCACCCAGTTTTCCCTAGTTCTTCATTTGTAAGCAGAGACATTATCCAAAAAGCCCATGGGTTGGAGTCATTTCTCATCAGAGATTTAAAATAAATATAGTTTATATAGTAATATAACATAGTAATACATTTATCAGTCTTTTAAGAGACCCAGGACTCAGACAGTATGTGTCAACCAGTGCATCTATCATTTAATCTTTAACATGTCCTTCGTGACCACTTCTTCATGTGATAGATATCTAAGAATTTAATATTTTTGTGTTTTCTTTCATATTTTTCTACACTGGCAGACAGGCAATTTCAGTTCAAATCCCAAATCTGATACTTACTGTCTCTCTGAATGTGATCAGGATAAGTCTCTGGGATACTGTTTTGTTTTAGAAAACTAAGTCACCTTAGACTTCTGAGGAATAGTGTGAAGAAAGAAACAAATGTGCCAACTGTAATTGTCAAAATCATTTTCAGATATGTGACCAAGCATATTCAACATTGAAGATATGGTTTGCAATTGTGGGTGACCCGAAATTGATCATGGTTGCATCTTTCTTTCATTGTGTGTAGAGTGTTTGTTAATTAATTAAGCACACCTGACAGTTAACATTGACGCTATGACCACCATTATCCTAGTGGTATTGTATGACAATCTGGTCATTGATTCTCTACCAGGTTTGACTTCTCAACTACCAAAAAGCCTTTGTGTACTGTAGAGCATCCATAAGCTGGAACTTCATGGTATTAGCCTCCCAACAGATATGTGCTGGAATTGGTTCTTCTTCTTCGCTAATCTTAGGGTGATATCCTATCCAAGTGATAAAACAAATACTTGGGTTGTATTTTATGAGGAAAGTTTGAGTATGACTTCAGTCTCTACATCAGCCAAACTCTTACTAAAGTCTACAATAATTTGAACGTTGTAGGCATTTATTAAGTGCCCATTGTATATCAGGTATTCATTTGGGGATGTAAGAAGGTAAAGTTAGTAATTGATTGTGGGAAGTTTAGAATACTTACTTGCATAAGTTTAAAGAGAGCTCCAATACAACAATCCCCAACACAGCACACGCTCCAACTAGAAATGGCCCCGAAGTTTCCCACTGGTCTTACCCTGCACTGCCTCTAAATTTGCCTGATCTTGACCATTAGTCTTTTATAACAATTAAGCTAGCATTGCAATGATCAGATTCACCACCATCTTTCACCATTTCACAAGTTCTCAGTGTTTCCTCAAAAACCAGAGTGTATGATTTCTCATTTCCTTATTTAATTTCTACAGTCTCCTCTCTTTAGAGAGATAATGAGTTTATGGGTTTTTTTTAAGAAATCAAAATTCAACACATATTCTAAAGAGCCTGGGAAAGTCTTAATTAACTTCTGCTGTAGTTATTTTACTATTACTGTCACCAGTAGGGAAGATAGAAGAAGGCACCTGAAAATTATTTATAGATGAGTTTCACAAAAGCTATAGAACCACAGAGCACACCAATGTAATTTATCATTTTTGTTCTCAGAAATAGGGAGAAGGCAAACTACAATTAATTCTTAGGTAGTCACCATCTCCAATCTTGCATTTATCCCTCTCTGAGGACCTTGAGAGCCAAATTACTTGCATGAGTTTCCAGAGTGTGACAAGAACCTGGTGATTAGACTGGTTGCTTAAATCAGGGAGAAGTAGGAAGACTAATCTATCCCTTTCAGCAAGCATGAAAAGCCAATTCAGAGAAGCTAAAGTTTGAAACTGAAATGTTAGCAGGATTGTCTTGAGCCTCAACTCTCTTGACCAGGTGATGCAGTTTCTTAGGCAGGTTTCATACTAAGATACTGAAGCTGTCTGATCTGTCTGGTTTCTCCTGTTAACCCTGCTCATCCTTCTAGATTTCTTTCTACACCTTTCCCTTCCCTATCCATCTTTTTTCTTGTTTTTTTCCCCCTATACTATATTTGAACTTTATTCTAGGCACCATGGATCTGATATCAAGTAGACCATTTACCCCCAGGAGACATATTTCAGTGGGAAGGGAAAGCTAAATATTTAATATAGTATCATGAAATGATTATATCTGGAACTACATTGTTATTTGACATGCTTCCTTCTCTAGAAGACTGTATAATTCTAGAGAGGCTCCTAAAAGCCAGGGAGTGGGAGTTGAGTCTGAAAAGCTTTGCCTTTTTCTTTTCAAGGTACTAACCTTGGGTTTGTTGTGCTTGCTTACTTTAAAAGGTACATTTTTCTTATATTTTTGGTTGTGAGCCTAGCCTTTAACGGCTGAGCCATCTCTTTTTCGCTGGACGGTGGTGGCGCACGCCTTTAATCCCAGCACTCGGGAGGCAGAGGCAGGCGGATCTCCGTGAGTTCGAGGCCAGCCTGGGCTACAGAGTGAGCTCCAGGAAAGGCGCAAAGCTTACACAGAGAAACCTTGTCTCGAAAAACCAAAAAAAAAAAAAAAAAAAAAAAAAAAAAGGTACATTTTTCTAGTGCTGGAAAGTGGCCTTTACCCCAGAAGCAGAAGAACTCATACAGGTTCCAAAGCAAAGCATCACCACCCTCCCAATGCAGCTAATTTATTGTGGACTTTTTCTGCCAAGACTAACCCTTCTTTTGCAACGCACAGGCAAATGCTGAGAGACTCTGCAGTGTGTCCGAAAAGCGCCTGAATGAAGCAAACACAAAACTGAATGAGGTGACTCAGTTAGCAAATGACCTGACAGCACAGAAGATGAAACTCCACAGTGAGAGCGGTGAGTAGACGTGCTGCCTCCCCTGTGAGTAACCCAAGAGACTCACGAGGCACAGCTGAAAGGATAAGTACCCAGAGACCAGTGGGCACGAAAAGATTCTAGGGGGTGGGAATAATGCCTGGAGGTCAACTCGCAGATGCGTATAATCTTTTGACACAATAGTGACTTCTTTTCCAAGGTCATGTTCAAGAACTGTGCAGTCTAGATACAAAATATATTATCCCACAAAATCTTTTTTTTAGTGGTTTAAGTAAGTTTATCATTTTGCATCAAGCCGTATTCATAGCTGTCCTGAGGGAAGTTGGACATGTCTGAACGTCCAACATGCTTCTTGGTTGGGAAAGGTCAGCACTCTGCTGTTTTGAGAGGCCCTGCCAAGCAGAGAAGCAATGTGAAATTGTCAGAGTAAGTCTCAAGATCAAAAGATAGCTGGACTGTCCATAGTGCCTATTAGACATGATCCTTAGTATGACTTCTGCCTCACTGAATCATCTTTAATCATGAGCCTAGGTCATATTTATACTCAACAAAATCCACAACTGATGCAATACTGTGGTTGTTCTGCTGTCATCTCTGGTGTTCTCTGCCTGTTGCCTCTCTCAGTCTGCTTTAGCAACACAGACCTCTATGAGATACTTCAAACTCCAGGAACACGCCTAACCTTGAGTCATAGACTAGCTGTTCTGTCTGCCTGGAGCACTTTATTCATTCCACGGAGGCTTGGGGATGACGGTTAGCCAAGAGGCTATGGTGGTTAAGTTAAGACACTCCTTAGATAACATGGTGTTTGGACACTGTTAACCCACCCCCTCAATATCCTTCTGTACTACTTTTACCTTCACATAGACTTCCTACTTGACATAATGACTGTCCTCATCTGCCAGAATATAAGTTCTAAGAGGGCAGGGATTCTATTTTGTTCACCGACATATGTCCATCATTTAGAACACTGTTTGGCAGTTGGTGTTCTATAAATATTTGATTAAAAATTAAATATAGAAAAGTGTCCCATGGCTATTAGTACCAATCATTATTGATTATTTAAAAATTTATAAGTTTTTATATTATAATAATCTATTTGGGATCTATTGAGATCCCTAATAATCTATTGGGAAAAAATGTAACATAAAGTTGTTTTTGTTTGTTTGTTTTTGTTTTTTTTTTTTTTGAGACAGGGTTTCTCTGTGTTGTTTTGGAGCCTCTCCTGGAACTCCCTCTGTAGACCAGGATGGCCTCGAACTCACAGAGATCCGCCTGCCTCTGCCTCCTGAGTGCTGGGATTAAAGGCATGCACCACCACCACCTGGCCAACATAAAGTTCTTTGTGTCTTATATGCTCAGTCATTTGTAATCTCTGTTCATAATCCATCAAATAAATGGACAGTAGTCTGTCTAATTAGCCTTATCTTTATTTGTTTACTGTGATTAGCATGAGAATAGATATCTGTCTATAATTATATTTACTTTCAGTAGTATGTTTTCAGAGGTAGAATTTTTAGGTCAACAAAAATGCACAATATATTTGTAATTTCCAGAGATAGAGAGTTCTAAATACTTAAGGTCATAGACTTTATAGAGCTATTCTGTAAATATGCTCCTTTTTATATTCTAGATCTAGAATATTAAAATAAAATTTTATAGATCAAGAGATATCTGAACTGAAGGTTTTTGTTGAGATGTTGCAGATACTAACCAAAAATAACAGGACGTGGGCCCTGGGATAAATTTGTTACCATTACCAGCAATATGGCCAGATCATACTTGGACAAATGTCTGCAAGATCTCAAGGCAGGCTATATATATAATGACAACCCATGGAGAAAGGGGCATGGATTGCTTACACTGAACCACTACTACTTACACTGACTGTGGATAATGGGGCAAGCTAACAGCAAGGAAGAAAGAGTAGTCCTGGGCAGTGAGGACAGTCTATGAGAGGAAACTCTCGCGCTTCTTGATCACTTCTGCAAGGCTAAAGAGGTGCTGTCTCCATGACCAATGTGACATATATAGAAAAGAAATGTGGAATGGTGTTTCATTGTACACACACACACATACACACGCGCGCGCACACACACACACACACACACACACACACACGCACACACACACATGCACACACACCTTATAGACTTAGCCAGAAGCTGTCAGTTAAACTAAACCTCTCTTTTATTCTCTTCCATTCTCCCACCTGAGTCTAAATTTAGAACATTTCACTATTCTTTATTTATCGAAGATCAGGGCTAAAAGAAAATGAGTTAGAAAAGTAGGAAACCTAGCAATCTAGAAAAGGGAATTATTTTTGGTTCTTATAAGGACACCAAATAGGATCCTTTTCCTATGCCAATGGGGCCATATACCTGTTGGCCTTGTTATGCATTCTGCTGTTTAATAATTCTTCTTAGGAATGTCTCTCCTGCATTTCATTTCAACCTCCCCTCCCATCCCCACCCCTTCTGGGCCTAGGCTCCAGACCTTCTGCTTTTTCTTTCTCTCTTCCTTCCTTCCTTCCTTCCTTCCTTCCTTCCTTCCTTCCTTCCTTCCTTCCTTCCTTCCTTCCTTCCTTCCTTCCTTCCTTTTCTTCCTTTCTTTTTTTGGCTGCTACTATCCAAGTTTCTCATGTCTGCTTTCAAATGAGACCCGTACGACACATGGTCACTTTCGCCACCAGTGGGCATGACTTCTGTGATGAAAGTGATTTCTTAGCCTCCACCCACTAATAGACTTGACTTTCAGGGATCCCTTGAAAATGGTGTTTTACCGAGTGATTGTTGATATGTGGATCACAGATCCCCTGTGAGCCTCAAGTCTCTTTGGGAGGGGGATGTCTCTGAGATTAAAATAACCTCAGTAGGATACATAAAACCTGTTTGCTCTTTGAAATCTGTTTCCATTCGCATTGATAGTGCCTAAGCGATGATGATGAAAAGAGCTGGAGCCTCCCCCAAGCCCAGCCAGTAGCATTATGATGCACCAGTGGCCACATTCGCTAATAGGCACTCACACTTTAAAAGTTTCACTGAAGAATGTCCTTAACAAAGCAAAAGAATTAAGCTTTATCATCCTCTCAACTCTAAGTATGCATCTTTAATATTTTGTGTGATAAAACAAGAAATAAGTATAAAGAACTATTTCAGGCTGAAAATATTGATTGTCTCAAGTTCTGGCCTGAGCTACTGTCTTAAGGTTTTTTGTTTGTTTGTTTTAACACATAGTTTTGCTGTGTATCCAGTCTAGCCTTGGATTTGAAAGCCCCCTACTTCCTCTCCCTGAGTCCTGGAATTGCAGTGTGTACCATTATCAGTGGCTTTTTCAGGGAACAGCATCTTAACTTGAAAAGACAATTGAGAATCAAACTATGCTTATTCAGATCAATATATTTTGCAGTTATTTTCTAAAAATTAGCAACGGAAGCTTGCCACTTCAAGCTTTTAGTCAAACTGAGAATTTAGAAAATATGTATATGGCATCACAACCTTTAAAGCTTTCAGTTGTTAAAGACATTTCTGCAAACATGATTTTTATTTTGCTTGTGACTTTAGGATTCATTACACATGCATGTATGTAGATATATTCCTTCTTCCTGGGTTTCTCAGTACATGGCTCTTAATATGCTTAGGATCTCTGATGTGATGAGTGTTTTTTATGCTAATGAGGAGTCTGATATGCTAATGAGGAGGCTGGTATCAGGGCCTCCTAGACAACTTCAGGAAAGGGCCTGGCCTCCAGAAAGACCAAGACATTCATAGAATGTGGTACTTTTAGATCTACCCGACCTCTCTGGAGAAGAGAAGGAGTAAAGGCTTAACTGACCAGCAGTGGGAAGTGATTTATTTGACATATCTGTATAAAAAAAGCCTCAAAATAACATAAAATCAGAACTACAGTGACTAGAATCCAGGACTTCATTGCTGAAGAAATGGAGGCTTCTGGAGAGTGGCAGAGTAGAGCGGGTCCACACGGAAGCTCTGTGCACCTTCTCCACACTTGGTCCTATGTGTCTCTTCTGGAAGGTGGCAGAGTGGAGTGGGTCCACATGGAAGCTCTGTGCACCTTCTCCACACTTGGTCCTATGTGTCTCTTTCCTCTGGCTGGCTATTCAGTTTTAGTCTTTAGAATGTCCTTTTTAATAAATAGGTAAACAGTGCTCACTTCGGTGAACCTGAGGACAGTGCTGTGGGAATCCTGACTCATAGCTGGTGGGTCAGAATGTATGTATGACAGTTTAAGATTGACATATCGATGGGGCATCCAGACAATTGGCATCTAGAAAGGGGACAGCTGGGACTAAGTTCTGATAGTTGACCTGTTTTTTCCTTTGAAGAAGGAGTGACATAATGATCCAGTACTGAACTATGAGAGTTAAACCACTTCTTTACCTATATTAGTAGTTTATCTGTATCTAGAGCACAGAAAGCTCTAAATAAAGGTGCTGATGCTATCTGTTATCAACTCATGCTTACTGCTAAGAATTGATTCTCTTAGGGTTCCCTTCCATGTTTGGGAAAGGCTCATTGTTCTGGTTTTGCCAGTATGAGATTTCTCAGGCCTTCTCTAAATATAGAACAGTATTTGGGTAGGAGTCCTTGCGAGGGTCCCGAAAGCCAAGGCGCAGGAATGGTAATCATTTAGAAGAACCATAATTAACTTATCCTTTGAAACCTTTGCCCAGGTGAGTTCTTAAGAAGACTGGAAGAAAAGGAGGCCCTGATAAGCCAACTTTCCAGGGAAAAGAGCAACTTTACTTTGCAAATTGAAGAACTGAGAGGACAGCTGGAAGAAGAGACCAGGGTAATGTGTCAATCATCTCTCACCAGTCACGTGGTATTTAAAAAACAACAACAGCCAGAAACAATGCTTGGCGGTGAGCCTCAGGATGTTCTCCTGAGAAGGAGAAAACGGGAAGCACCTAGTGGGGAATTCACATGTTACTCCTTGTTTGTACCGCAAAGAACTCTGATCACTAAGGAATTTTGTTTATCATCAAAATTTCATCTGTAGTTTGTCAGATTTAGGGCAAGAAAGGTGTGTGTTTCCATCATGCTTCTTATTTGAACTGAAGGTCATTGAAGGTCGATCATTTAATCATCTACCAAGAAGTGGTCCATTACCAGTGAGTTTTACTATATGGATGTGTAAGAGTTTACTCCTATTTGTTATTTTCTGATTGTTTTTTTTTTTGTTTTGCTTCCCATTTCTCTTCTGATTTACTTTTGTGGTTTGGTGGTCTTCTGTTGTGATAAAGTTTGATTCTTTTTATTATTTATACACTTGCATTACCAGTGACTTTTATTATACATTTGTGCCCCATCATTTTTTCCTGGGGAGACATAAAGAAACATCTATTCACCACAGATAGAGAAGGTACCAACATATTAAAGAGAAGATTTCTTCCAGGTCCAGTATGGTAGACCAATGAGTTTATTGGGGTTACCTACAGGAATATGGGTGACTGGGAGATGTCACCAGGAAGATCCTTGGGAGACTTCTATGCAGCTATACCAGAAGAGTCCCATATCATGAAGCTCTCAAAAAAGCTTCACCATTAAAAAGTCCTAGTAGGTAACATACTGGCAGCTAGACTACCCCAAACTCCCCACAGTCCCTGTCAACTTTCCACTTCTTTGCACCTGAGAAGGAAAGGAACCTTTCTGGGCTATCACCAAGAGATTCGTGACCCATGTCAGCTCCCAAAGGTTGTGAGCCCATAGGCCTTTCCCCTCCCATTACAACCCAATGGTAATAAGCCCCAGTCTCTGGAGAACCTGAAAGTGATCATAGCTGCTCTGCTCTGAGATGGCAACAGTCATGTCCTATCCAGACCACACAGTGCATGGCAATGTACAAAGGCTTTCATAATGGTACTTCTTTTTGTTGTTGCTGTTTTTCAAGACAGGGTTTCTCTGTGTCGCTTTGAGCCTTTCCTGGAACTCACTCTGTGGGCCAGGCGGGCCTCAAACTCACAGAGATCCGCCTGCCTCTGCCTCCCGAGTGCTGGGATTAAAGGTGTGCGCCACCACCGCCCGGCCCCTTCATAATGGTACGTCTTGCCCTTCCATGTGGAGTTGCATTTCTTCTTTAGTTCTCTGTCCTTCTTAGAAGATCAGTCTCACAATGGCGAGTCCTCTCCCCTTTGCATTACCCTGGATTGCCTTTATTTCTCCTTCATTGTTCAAGGATACATTTCCCTCAGAACTTGATTAGGACATGCCATCTCCTCCTGGTTCGTAAAGTTTCTTCTGGGAGTCTGCTGTTAGTCTAATTGGAGTTCCCTCACATGTGAATTAGTACAGCTTTTCTAGTTTTATAACTCTCTCTCTTTGACTTGGATTTCTAACTTAGTTGCATATGTATAATATCATGGTACAGACTTTTATTGGTCAAAACTATTTGGCGTCTTCTCAGAACTCTTAGAATCTGGTGCCTGTTATTTTTTCCAAGACCAGTGAGGTTCCACAGATAATCTTGTTGCATATCCCAGCCTCACTTATGAAATTCCCATAATTTGAACATTTTTATTTAATGATAGTTCATAAGTCTTGGGAGTTTTCTTCATACTTCTATGCTCATTCTTTCAACATCATTGGGTGTTGCTGCTCCTCATTCGCCATCAGGGGATATGTGGCTAATGATACCATTATCACAGATGGTGCCTAAGATGGTGCTTTTTTGTTTTGTTTTTCAACTTTGTCAAAAAGACTCATGGTGGCTTATGGAAACCTTAGTTTCTTCAAGAGGTTATCTCCAGAGGCTGATGCCATCTGGTTAGCCAGACCATCATTTAAGTGATAGAAATGTTCATTAAAATCTGCTCTGTTGTCCAACAAATACAGAACGTACTATAATGCTATAGTTATCTAACTGTAAACATAGGAGTTTTATTTTTCTGATGAATAGAGTGAAGTGGATAGATTAAATCTGCCTCTTTCTGGTTCAAACAAAATCTGACTGACATATTGTTAAATATAAATCATAGTACCTAAATGATATTGAATACTACTTTCATGTTTCCTACTATCTCTATGTGCCAAGCCTTTTTGATATTGAAATCTATGTAGTCAGCCTGACATTTCCTTAAATATAAGTTTCATTCTTGCTTTAATGACAGTTTAGACACTTTGTCCCTTTTGCCATTTACCAAAGTCTTTCTTTAGTATTACCTGACTGGGTTTAAGTTCAACTTGAATTTCTTTTCTTTTATGGTTTTTCAAGAAAGGGTTTCTGTGTAGCTTTGAGCCTTTCCTGGAACTCACTCTGTAGACCAGGCTGGCCTCAAACTCACAGAGATCCACCTGCCGCTGCCTCCTGAACGGTGGGATTAAAGGTGTGTGCTACCACCGCCTGGCTTTCAACTTCAATTTTATAGGTGGTGTCAGATTGACTTGAAAAGTATGTCACTTGCAAGGATCTCATTGCTCATGGTTAAACATGCCTGTTTTTTTTGTTTATTTTTTTTTGGTTTTTTTGAGACAGGGTTTCTCAGTGTAGCTTTGCGCCTTTCCTGGATGTGGCTCTGTAGACCAGGCTGGCCTTAAGCTCACAAAGATCCGCCTGCCTCTGTGTCCTGAGTGCTGGGATTAAAGGCGTGAGCCACCGCCCGGCTTGCCTGCGTTTTTAGAAAAGTATTTCTTTTACAGTCTCAGAGTGCCCTGGCCCATGCCCTGCAATCGGCCAAGAATGACTATCACCTTCTACGAGAGCAGTATGAGGAAGAGCAAGAGGTCAAGACTGAGCTGCACCGGGCTCTCTCCAAGGTCAACAAGGAAACAGCGCAGTGGAGAGTGAAGTATGAACACGACGCCATCCAGAGAACTGAGGACGTGGAGGAAGCCAAGTGAGTAGGTCCAGGCTCTTCTCAACCTGGAGTCGGTCCCATGCAGGAGAATGAGTGTAATGACAGTGTCTCCTGTGGTGTGTGCTTAACAAATCTTCCCTGAGTTTTTAAATAAGTCAAAGACAAAATCTGAAATAGTCACTGCTGTAAAGAAGCACATATTCTAGAGGGGCCAAAATATTATAATATAGGTGATTGAGACTATAAGACAGTCTTAGCAAATAAAGGCTCTTTCTAGGGATGTAATAAAAATTTTTCTAGAAGATGGGACTTTGAGTTACATTTTAAGAATTGGGCCACTGGCCCTTGAAATCCTACATTTTATTTAGTACAACAAATAATTGATTTTATATGTGTATGTGTGTCCATCATTAGACTCCCTGGGTCTTTGGTATACAACTTGGAGACTATCAAGCATTCTGTCAGAATGGGACAGAATGGAAACACGTTAACATTTATTGTCATGTCTTATGAGACAATGGCTCCTTTTAAAGAGTCCATCCTTGGGCCACTCCTAAAGTTAGACTACCATGTCAATAGCTAATGACAAACAATCATTTCCAAAGGAATTCTAAAACAACTTTAGGAGTTGGAAGACTAGCTCGTTAAAGACCCAGCACTGAAAGTTGAACTACAGTGCTTATTGGCTTATAGATCGAGTGACTCTGTATTTATGAAAGAAGGCATAAAACTAATTCTCTAGCTTACAACCATTAAGGGTTCACTTAAAAGAATATGATTTGATAGCTTGGCAAAGACCCAAGAGCGATCAATACAATTCTTTTTGGCTTCAATCAGAAATAATGCTATTTTAGTTCCTCACCTGAATTGTGATTGGGGTTGCTCTATACTTGCAGAACATCTGCTGTACTGTGTCCCAGAAGGGACAAGTGATCCATCTCTATCCACAGTAGCTCATGAAGGGCTTAAGAATGACAGTTACTAAAAATAACTGCAGTGTGAGTATTTACAAAACCCTGGACTCCAGAAAAGTGGAGCATTGACCAGAAACGTCTCTTTATATCCAAATCTGTCACTCACTTCTAAATTGGCTTTTTGTTTGTTTGTTTTCTGTTTAATGATTGAAGATTTCAAGTGAAAGTTTCTACTGATCATTCTAGTTGATAGCTGATTCTTTGGGGGTTGGATAGAAAGGAAGGAAAGAATGTAGAGAGTACATTTTGATCACATATATTTGTTGTAATTGGTTCTGTAGTAGGTGATAGCCAAAGAAAAATATTGGGTGACATAGTAATAGTTGAATGGTTTTGTTTTTATATTATTTGAATATTATATAAATAAGCTTCTACTGTATCATACTTTTTCTCCTAATCACCCTGGCAAGGCAAGCAGCTACAGAGAAGTGGAAGGTCCTGTGATTTTCAGTTGGAGAGTGAAAGATCCTCTCCCCTGAGAGTATTTAGTGGTTCTGCTCTGAGGATAATAATTTTAGCTTTTTAATCTCTCATATCCCTTTTTATAAGCTAGGCAGTTGAGTAAGTACGTGCTGCTGGCAAGTTAAGGTGTAAACAGTAGTAGGTGTATTAAATGTAGAGCAACTTATCAATAAAATGAAAGGGATTAGTACATCCAGTTTGCTATGGAATTTCCCAGTCATATATTAAAAGTCTCCAGTCTTAGTGAAAACCCTCAGTCCTGGGAAAACCAGCATAGTTAGTTATCCAAACCAGAGCGATTTTCTGGTGCCGAACACTGTAGGTGTAGTCAAAATACACACGGTGATTTTAGCAGCCTACTCAGCTGGTGTAAGCATAAGAGTCTCCTGTTAAGGAAATGTTTCAAAGGGTGACATTATAAAGCCAGTGAACAAGGAAGGAGTAGAGCCCAGAGCCTTCCAGATAACAAGCACAGATTGGATTGTTTTAGAACCCTCCACACAGGGAGCCTTATCACACTGCTTTTGGGGGCTACTTGCGAATTACTCAAGTCCTTTCTCAGATAGCTACAGTAGAGCAAAAGCTTTGGTACCATGCAGTTCATTTCATGGAAGAAAACATGTTCATTTTAGTGAAGGAGTACAAGTGCACTTCTGTGGACTTGTAGGCAAGAAAACACACTTGATGTATTAGAATTCCCCAGAGTTCTGTACTGCTTGACAGAGGAAGTAGGCTGAGCACATCTCTTTAACATAGAAGGTGCTGCTGGACGGCACAGAGGCTAAAATAGTGAGACCCGCTAACGGAGCGCCATGGCGGGCGGATCTGGGATGGAGGAAAAGACACTGAGAAGAGAGAACTGTCAGGGTTGGGAGGCACATGATGACAGGAAGAGGATGAGCAGGAGAGCGCAAGAGAGGGGAAGCAACATCCAAGGAACTCTTTGGGACTACACCAACATGCCTAAGTGTTTTTACGTAGCTTACTGTTGGTAAGATGTTCAAAACAAACTTGTTTCTCCTATTTCCTATGAAATGTCATTAAAATCTGTATTAGTTATGAAAGTGCTGGGATAAGCAAATATTTCTTCGTAGGAATTCAAAGCGAGCCTGAGTTCCAGATGCAGGCTGGTAAAGGCGGGGCTGGGGGTGGGGTGTAAAATCCATGTGGACACCGGAGCCAGAGGCCGGAGTCAGCAGGCAGCCAAGTCTGAGGGCCCAGTCGGAGGACCAGGTGCTGCCTTTGCAATGGTTAATAAGCCAGTCACACAGGCTTAACCAAGGCTTGCCCTGTGCTGGTTTCAATCACTGTACTCTTTGGCTTTCTCCTCAGGAAGAAGCTGGCGATTAGACTGCAGGAGGCTGCCGAAGCCATGGAGGTGGCCAATGCCAGGAATGCCTCCCTGGAGAGGGCCAGGCACAGGCTCCAGCTGGAGCTGGGGGATGCCCTTTCTGACCTGCAGAAGGCCCGCTCTGTGGCAGCTGCCCTGGAGCTGAAGCAGCAGCACTCAGACCAGGCCCTGGCTGCCTGGAAGCAGAATCAGGAGGAGGCCCAGGCGCTGCTGCAGGCCTCTCAGAAGGAGGCCCGGGCCCTCGGCACTGAGGTCCTCACCCTCAGGCATGCCTGTGAAGAAAGCACTGAGGCCCAGGAGACACTGAGGAGGCAGAACCAAGACCTTCAGGGTACTGTCAGCTGGGCTTGCAACCAAAGCAAGACACAGGGCTTGAGGAGATCCTGGTTTGGGCGAGGCTGCCTTCCCTGAGTAGAGAGCCTTGACATTTTCAAGTTCCCATCCATGCTTGACTTTCAAAGTTTTAAAACTTCATTCTGAAAATATTTACTGCAAATGTTATTTGTATTCAATTAATTCTAAAGGGAAGATTAGGTCTACATCTTTGATCTAATCCCATACTGTAGGGAAGCTACTCTGGAGAATTTCTTGATTTCCACAGCTTTACTGAGATTTTCCACATACATATTCATAGGTATAGATTACCCAAATTATACATTGTTCTGTACCATTTATTTTCCATTTATCAACGTATTTTGAATATAATAAAATTTTCAGTAACTCATGCTATATATTAGGTACTCTTCTACATTCATGGCTTATCCCTGAGATTAGCCTTCAAGTTAATGTCTTCATCTACAAAATACAAGTTTAGGTGACTTGTCTGAGTCTACAGTTCATAAGTTATAGATCTGGGATTAGAGCCCAACCATCTGGGCTTCTGTCTGGGCATGCTTTACTGAGCTATGCTACCGTCCTCGTCCTATGTACCTTGTGGTTCTTAGTATGCCAAGCATGGAGACAAGCCACATTCTTAAAAAGAGAAACTACATAATACTTCATAATAAGTGTAACTAACACCTATCTAACTAGATCTCATTAATTTTAAACCTGATTATACATAATTCTGAGTAATTATATACTATACATTCATGCACATGTATTTATGCATATGTAAAATATCTCAGTAGGATAGATCTGTAGAAATGAATTTGCTGAGTTAAAGAAATAGACAAAATTTTTGGTATACTGCCAAAGAGCAACTAAAAGAGGCTGCCGAGTTATTCCAGAGCCTACAGTGATATGCATGAAAACCCCAAAGTGTCCTGGAAGAAGTCTGTTACTATTGGAGGTGTGGGTGAGTCCTGTCTGGGGCCCTGCGCGGTCGGTGACTAACTCACTGACTGGGCAGTGAGATGGCCTACATCAGTGGCCACGGAGCTCAGCTATGCACCACCTGGCAACAGACAGCCACACCCACCGCAGAGCTTCTGATTCAGTGCTTCTGATTCGGTGGATCTGAGGTAGAGCTTTGACTCTTTAATATGCTCCCAGGTGAAGCCAATGCCACAGGTCTGGGTCCCATGTGTGCCCTGGGATACGGCTTTAGAATAACTTTTAAAATAAAAGGATTGGACTTTTGTTTTAAAGCTCTTTCAGATGACTGGATGATATGGTATAGCAGAGTTGAGAATAGCCTGTGTTGGGTTTTTTTTTCTCAGCAGAAAAGCAGTATAATTCACATAACCTCTTTTCTGATTTTTTGTTTTGTAAGAACTTTGGAGATCTTTTTAAATTATTTTTCTTTCATAATTTCATGCATGGATAGGATATATTTTAACCATATACATCCACCATTATCCCTCTTCTTACCTCTCTCCTTCTGTTGAGCCCTCTCTTTTCTGTAACAGGTTTGCCTCTTACATTCCTGTCTTTGTTGTTGTTGTTACTGTTAACCTGCTGAGCTTATTAGTGCAGCTTGCATGAGCATGGATTGGACGTTTACTGAACCGTGGGCACGAAACCAGTGGATATATCACTAAGGAAAATAATTCCTGGTCTCCTAGTAGCCATTAACTGCCTACAGATGGCCAGAGAGGGGTGGGGCCTCTTCAACCCCTCCCCCATCCATGATGGGCCCAGTCTTGTGGGAGTACTCACAGTTACTGTGGTTTGATGAGTGATTTCTATAGATATTCAAGAGGCAGTATTTACAACACCCACCCCTCCCACGCTCTTGTATTATTTCTGAACTCTCTTTTGCCACGTTCCCTGAGACTTGGAGGTAATAATATAGTTATCTAGTGCGGGGTGGAACACTCAACCATCACTTACTCTAGCATTTAGAACAGTGAATCTCCGTATTAACTGCTGCCTGCTGCAAAGAGATGCATCTCTGACCAAGGCTGTGAGCAGCACCATTCTGTGAGTGTAAACATAAATATCAATAAGGCAATTTGACAGCATGTCCTTTCAGCAGAGCAGCAATAACAGGTTCCTACTGGGGCCTATGATTTCCCCAGCAGTGGACTTTTGACCAGGTTTATAGAATCAGGTCTGAATTTCGTATTGTGAAGTGGGCTTTAACTTAAACTAGCGAATGGTGAATTCAACAGGCATGTCTCTGTTGCACCACTGAATGTCTTGCCTGTCAAGTCAGTATTGTACCATGCAGAGTCCACAGTGAGAACACTGATACAATTTCCCCCCAGCAGTCTAAATAGCACCTTCTGGAAGCTTCCAGCTCAGCTCCAGTTGGCTTTCTCTATTTCCTGCAAGCAAAGTGTATAGTGTCTCCAGAAATAGGGTCTTGCCATTCAGTTGTGGTAGTTAACCAAGACATATGTCAGTAGACTGTGTTTTGTGGGGTGCACTAGGGTCTCCCCAACAACAACTCATGGGGATATATCCTACACCTGGTACTGAGATTGGCTTTGTTTATCTTAGACCAGGACTGAGAACCAAATGAACAGGTGAGCTGTTGAGTTCCTTTTTTATCCTCTGTGCTAGGTAATTCCCCAAGTTTCTTGGCTGTACGGCATAGCTTTTAGGTACTAGAACCTCCTTCATGAAGTGTCAAACACAACTATAACCATAGAGTGTCATGTAGCTCGCTTCTGGCCTCACTCTGTCAAAGGCTTTGTGTTCATAAAAGTCTAGCCCGAACTGTCACGTGCTTGAGTGAGAGGCACCATTTTTCCAGAGCCCTCTCTGCTTTTCTAGCTTATCTAGAGTCATTCTTTGACTGCTAGCAGATGATAACCTGGCTTATGCTTAAGTTTTCTGTCCCAGTAGTGAGTGGTGGCTGGCACAATGTCTGCCAGTGGTGTTGACACTAAAACTTGTCCGCTGACATGGACTGAAGGAGTTCCTGATGTGTTTGTGGGAGAGGATCTCCAGGTGGAATCTGCTGTCCAATGCACAAGACACCAAGAAGCCCCATTCTCACTAATTGCTGAGCGCATCTTCTGGCAGATGCCAAAGGAAAACATTGAAAAAGGGATATTGGTGAAATTATTAAGGCCACTCCACGTAGTTAAAAGGGAGGTTTATTTAGTGGCGTAACTTACAAATGAAGGGATAGGTAGGTTGCAGGGTCTGGGAAAGACAGAGCGTAGTCCGGCGGTGTTCTCTGGAGAACTCTGCTTGGTCTACCTCCAGCGTCCAGGGTCCAGGAACCAAGAGAGGCAGCGTATCTGGATCTAGGGTCTTCAGGGTCCTCTCTTGGCCCCGCCTTGTAGGCGTGACAGTTACTGAAGCCTCAATGGGGGTTGGAACTTCCAGTGCAAAGCTGGAATGGCTACCCACTACAAAGGGATTCCTTTTATTCCCCTAATTCCAAATAAGGTTCTCTGTGGATAAGGGTTAGCCTTTCTTGCTGAGAGCTACACAGTCCCTGGGAAAACTTTACTTTTCTACTAACACACCTGATCTTCCCTGTTTCAGAACAGATTTGTAGTCTCACGAACCAGGTGAAAGAAGGGATCAAGAATTTAGCTGACGTGGAAAAGGCCAAGAAATTGATTGAACAAGAGAAGACTGATGCCCAAATGATGCTGGAGGAAACAGAGGTAGATGATCAGGGAGGGAGGCATTCTTAGAGGGCAAAGCATGTCTGCCATCATTAGGAACGACAGCCACCATGCCGTGGCACTCACACAGGTGTTTGCTATATGCTCTGCACCATGCCAGATGCTTTAATCACCCCAGCAAACTCTTGTCTCCATTTTACAAGGGAAACTGAAGTTCAGAGAGCAAGATAATTACTAGTCAATGCAAGTTCCCCGATGGTAATGAAAACAGCAATGATGTGTTTATTTACTTTATCCCCAGCCTAGACCCTCACAGACCATATGCATGAACATCCAGGATTTTGTTAGACTTTCAGAATATCTGCCCTGTCCCCAACTTTATTGAGTCGGAATCTGCACTTAAACTAGGTCCTTTGGGGCTTCCTTGGGTATTAACATGGAGTCAGATTTGCTGGAACACCATTGGCCCATAGGGCACTCAGTGTATATTTACCCAGAGTTGGAAGTATAAATAGATTTGTAGCTATGCCTGTTAACGACTCCCATCCCCAAATCTGTTGGTGAGATGAAATTCCCCAGTGAAATTCTCAGACATTCAGCCCTCAAAGGCCATCTGTGTGCAGAATCTTTGATGGGGATGTTTTGGGTGTCCTGGAAAAAAAAAACTCGTGCTTCATCCCTGGATGCGGACTAGGTCATTGACAGGACCACTGAGATCTGATGCCAAAGAAGATGATGTCTCAAAAGGAAGTTATCTTTCCAGAGTCACCAGGTGGTTGATGAGTCATTGGCTCTACAGAGACTCTTTGCTCCCAACCGAGTTTCATCTTGAAGCAGCCGCTGAAAATCTGTCTGGACACATTGAAATCCACACACCCTTCCAACGGAGGAAATGAGTTTGGAAAGATGTCCAAGCGCTTCCCGTTACAGCTGCCCCACCACTACAGCTCTATAAGAAACTGGCAAAGTGGATGTGCCACCTCACTCTGGGTGCAGTTTTGAAGTAAAGTTCGCTTAGCTCAGATATTGCTCTTTCTTATGTAAGCATTTCCAGAGGATCTCTTCATTGTGTTGAAAACCCTTCAATTGGTAGAGTACCCCTTAGGAAGGCTTGTTTGGGCAAAGTTGACGAACTTTGTCTAATTCTCTTTGAGTCTCTGGCCACTCTAACTGGGGACTTTCTAAAGCCACCATAGTAAATAAAAGAAGTAAATTTTATTGTATATTTAAATACTATAGCAATAAAATATGATTTTAGTTTTGTATCATCCGTTGGGATAGTTGTGTGTTAAGTGAACTAGCAACCATTTCAAAAATGTATTAAGGCCATAAAGCTCGTACCACTAAATACCACAAGATGGCAGCATACATCGAGTTGCAAATTCAGCCTCACAAATACTTTGCACATGTATTTGTAACTTGGGGTTATGTCTTTTTGGGGGTGTGGCTTTATGAAAAACTTAATCAAATCCCTGAATCCATAAGACTCAAATGATCTCAGGTCACCTCTAAACATTCACTTTCTCAGTACATTCTAGAGGTTGAGTTTCCCCTCAAAGAAACTACCATTCCCTCTGAGGAGATTGCTATCTGAGCATTTGCTTTTGATTTATGTCTGTCAGGAATGAGACAAGAACTAAGGAGGCCTTCTTAAAATTCACAACAGCTTATTTTTTGTTGCTGTCTTCGATGTTTGACGATTACTACAAAGTTTTGCTTTTTGCGGTAAATAAAAACACTCCTCAGAGAAGATAAGGAATTATCCCCGCTCTTGGGACTGTCCAGAGTTAGCTGGCCAACAGCTTGCACTGCACATGTATTCTGCTATATTATCACTATTCTTCAAGTATTTTGTTGTCAGCTTGTTTGGTCTTCTTTTACACATATTTTTCTTGGAAAAGGATATATATATATATATATCTTTTCCTTGGAAGAGGAAATTTCTACTTTTAAAATTGAATAACCCTATAAGAGCATCCCTGGAAATAAAGCCCCTGGCCCTTGAGTACTCAGTCCCAGGAGATATTCCTGCCTGTTAAACTCCTCCTCTGTAGTAATAATAATAGTTGAGATTAAGCGGCTCACTTTGAGAGTGTTATCTGCTAAGTACTCCCTAAAGGTCCAAAATAAATAAATACCCCAAACAGGCATTAGCACCTTCCATATTCTAGCCTTGATGCTTTTATTGACTCATCCCAAAGATGGAATGAATTAGAAATATTTAGGAGTACTAGATGTAAGTAAATAAATATCAAATACAGTAACAGACTAGATTGAATTTTTCTATTTAAAAATGCTTTAGAATTTTAGTTCTTTATATATATGTACTGAGAATTGAACGTAGGCTTTCATCCAAGCCAGGCAAGAGCTCTATGACTGAGCTGTATCTTTGGTCCAGCCTTAGGCTACTATTCAAAGAGCAAAGGATATCAGAGCTAGATATGAAGTGATGAATCAAAGCAGTCACTTGTTCTTGTCTAACTTCAGGGGCCTGTCTTGAATCTACCTCTTTGCCAGGAACTCAGAAGAGAACCTCATTCGTGATACATATTTTAAGGGAATAAAATAAAACTTTTGTTCAAAAAGAGACTTCATTGGATGCTTTTTGTTATAGGGAGCCCTGGAGAGGAATGAAAGCAAGATTCTTCATTTCCAGCTTGAACTCTCAGAAGCTAAGGCAGAGCTGGAAAGGAAGCTGTTGGAGAAAGAGGAAGAAACAGAGAAGTTGAGGTATTCAGGACTATGTTGCTGAACAAGAGCCATGAATGTCAGAGTTCCAGAATGAACAGAACTCATTGCAGGGCTGCTTTCATGACCCCTGCCAGAGCATGACCAAAGACACTTGGTCTAACTTGACACTAGGATTTCCCATTAAGTGCATCCCTGTTTAGAGAAAGGTATTTCTATACAGACATTGCTCACTCTTGTGGTTTTCTGCTCTCCAGCACGGGGAGGACTGCATTGGGTAAAGATCACCTGTGGTGTGTGGGTCTGCTTCTTTGGAGTCCCATTCAGGTGGAGTCTGGAAACTGAGATGCTGGAACATGGAAGAAAGGACAACAAGTTTGGCATGGTGCTTTCAAGCTAATGTTAGACCAGAGAGAAGGATTCCTTAGCCCTAGCCTGTTCCCTGGGAGAAAGCAGAGTCAAGAACAAGGCTGTTGAAATAGTGGAGTCTTACCTGCTAGGTCACTGTGGGAGACAGGGTTCCCGGTTGCTGGACCCTTTCTTTACTTCCTTGTAACAAGCTGGTGATTCTAGACACTTCACTGCTTAGATTCTCAGGGAAGGGACATGCCATAACCTACATGCCACAGAAGGTGGTCAGGGTGATCAGGAAGTTGGTGCTGGCAAAGTGCTTTGCATTCTACAGATTACAAATTAAACACTTAGAGGTAGGAAAAAAAATTACCTTTTGGGCTGTTTGCTGTTCCCTTAACCTAGTGGGTCTCTACTTTCCTAATGCTGTCAGCCTTTAATATAGTTCCTCATGTTGTAGTGACCCCCCAACCATGAAGTTATTGTTGCTACTTCATAACTATAATTTTGCTGCTGTTGTGAATCATAATGTAAAGATCTGTGTTTTCTGATGTCTTAGGCGACCCCTGTGAAAGGGTTGTTTGACTCCCAAAAGGAATCTTGACCCCCAGGTTGAGAACTGTGCCTTAACCAAAGCCCTAAGTCTGCAAAGAAGATCATAAAGTAGTCTGAGGTTCAACTGGCAACTTGTTCTCAATGTCTTTGTTAAACAAACAAAACAAGCCCATGCCATGTTAACACATCCTGTTGAACTAGGCTTCTTCCCATAGATTGTTTTCTATCCAAACTTCCAGATGGTCAATATTTAGTGAGGGTTCCAAGCCAAGCTTATCCTTCTGTGTGCTCTGAGTTAACTCAGCCCTCATGCACAAGTATTTTCATGGAACTGGCTCTAGTGAAGAAATCTGGTGTACTGACAAGTATCTGAAATAATTCTTTGATAAAGGGCAAGCATATAAAGCTCTAATATTTATGCTATTTTTGTACACAAGTAACAAAAATGAACATCTCCTTTTGATAGTTAAAAGAAAATATAAACTTGATCTCAGGTAACGTCAAACCTCAGCTATAAATAAACCAAGTGAGGAAAATGAATCCTCAGAGAGTCCGTGTCGTGTCAGGTACATCTGAATGTCGGAGAACAGTTCCCCAATTATAATCATCAGTGCAAAGGAAGTCAGAGATTCAAACAGCTAAGGTTAAGAGGAGAGAGCTGAAGGGAACATGAGCTGTGATGGGCTGGAAAAGGAAGGGGCGGCTGAGGCTTGGACACAAGCTCAGTGTCGGCTTTAGCTGATGACTCACAGTGGCTATAATCGGTACATCCAGCAAGTACAGATGAGCATCTCACAAAACACCGCACGCACTGTCCCAGACCTTCCCTGCTTTGTGTGAGTGCGGACTGTAGCAAATGCCTTGCGCTAATCTAGTGGTTCATTCTGAATCTGGGGTTAGAATAAAATAGAGTAGACTACAAGGGAAATATAGCCCAAGCATAGAATTCTAAGCAATCAAGAATCATAAGATAGAGTATAGATCTCAAAAAGCTATCACCTGAGGGCAGGAGGAGGTTGAAGACCCCATGTTCACATCAACCATGTGAATTACCACAAAAATTGAAGTTGTCTATTAAGACACTATGCAAAAAGTTGAAGGGGCCAAGACGCAGCAGAGAAGGTCAAGCTTTTAGAGCACAGCACCTGTGGACCTCTCTGTGTGTTCTCGGGTGCGGAGCATTCTGTCAGTCTGGTGAGGAATGCTGAGTGAGCCCAGGAGAGAACCTAGTGATGGGGAAGAGATCAACAGCTGGTGTGAGATATTTACCTCCTGATGAAGATGTGAGCTCTCAGGGTTGGCAGGATGTTTTGTGTCGTGGTGGAGTAGTTGGGACTTCTAAGCTCAGAGATGGCTTGGATCTTTTACGTCTTTATATTTTTTTTTAAGGTAGAGATAACTCATTTTTAAAAAAAGTTCCATTTGCTTGGTCACATTATCAGAATAGATAGCCTTTAAGAAATCTGTGATAATCTGAACACAGAAGCAATAGCCAAGATATAAAAAAACACTAGTTTTCTTCAAAGATAACTGCTTTTTTTATTTGTTTATTTTTAGTTAAAAATTCTTTTGAGAATTTCATATATGAGTACTGTATTTACATAACATCTATCCTCTCTTCCCCCTCCAATTCTTCCAATTCACCCCAAACTCCCTCTTAAATTCATGACCACCACCCCCTTCTCCTCATCTTCATCATCATCCTTGCCAGAGGATGGTACTGGATCCTCTGGAGCTGGAGGTACAGGAAGTTGTGAGCTGCCCAGTATTGGGTGCTAGGAACCAAATTTGGGTCCTCTGCATGAGAAGCAACCGCTTGTAAACCACTGGGCCATCTGTGCAGCCTACAGTGTCTCATTTTTCTTTTAAAGACATGCTTGAGGGAGCTCTGACTTTAAACACTTTTTGATCCTGTGTGAATGGTGTTGCCTGTATCACAGTCATCACTTAGGCCATTGTCTTTGCTGCTCCTTAACATTTATGAATTTCCTCAGGTAGCCACAGGAAAGATGGCATTTGAAACACTTACTTTGCTGAAGCAGAATCTATTTGTGGATAGAGGATTGGCTGGCAGGCTGCAAAGGCTTCAGTGTTCCTGGTAGGGAGAGTTACCTGAGGAAAGAGAAGGAGTTCCCCCATCGGAAATCAGGGCAGCGTCTTCAGAATATAAGTGATGTAGAGTATGCCTATTCGTTTATTAGTTTGCAAGGGATGCTGTCAAACAAAACAAATAAACAAACAAACAAACCCCACAGACTGGATGATTTATACAATACAAATTCACATTTTCACAGCCTGGACACTGTAGATCTGAGATCATGATGTGGATGAGCAGTTTTTCCCTATGACCTCTGTCCTCATCTTGAAGGCAGATGGCTGCTCTCTCTGCATTTCCACAGGATCTTTCTATTGGGAGGATGTATTTCTTCTGTCTTCTTCTCCCGAAGACTGTGCTATTGGATTATGACCCTTCCTCAACACTCTCATTTTACCTTTACTGCTTCTTTAGAGACACACTTACACAGGTCTTTGAAGTCCCATCTCAAAGCACAACACTGTGTTTCCGGTGCTTAAGGCTTCAGCATTTGAAGGCTACATAATTTGATCCATAACAACCTCATTATCTTTATATGCCTGCAAGCTTCTGGGATTCTAATCTGTGAGATGAATGCACAGTACCTAGGGATATGCACTAAATGTAAGACAGAAGACCAGTTTTAACACTGGGTTAAAAGTCAGTATGAACTAAAAGTTACTATGAAATAAAAAAGTTACTTCCCTAATTTTTCTATAACTACATCTGTGGCCCTTTCACCCATAATAAATGTGGTCATGAAAAGTGGAGGCCCCTACCTGTGAACCAATAGCAAACTCCAGCCGTAACCTTACTAATAGTTAGTGGTGCTTCTCTGATCAGCATGAGAGGTCAGGACACACTCTATGACAATTCAGTGTGGAATCTGACCCATGACAAATACACTTTAGATGTTTGTTGTTATCACCTCTATAAGGATAAAAAGATAAAAGACTTCTTCCTTCCACTCATCTGTCTAGGACTAGCGCTCTGTTGCAGTGAGTTTAAGAGGACATGTATTTTTGGTAGCAGTTAAAGTTTCTTGATGAACAGCCACCAAATACTGAGGAGTTAAAAGGAGTGAAGTTAATGTTTTTTTTTTTTTCTCTGAAACCAGAGTCTGAACTAGGTTAAAATGGAAAGTAAGCCACTAATCAAAGTTGTTCCAGAAACCAAAGTTTTTCTGTCTTTGATAGCACAGGTAAGGAGGAGAGGGTGTAGATTCACACAATCAGTATGATTCAACACCCTATGAGAGAGGCTTTTAATGGCCCATTGCACCACAGTCCCAATTAACAAATTAGTAGTTAGTCCCATGGTGCCTAACTGTTTGTAAGTAAAAATTCCCATGATTTTCAAAAATCTTCTTTGCATTCTTGAATACGAAGATAGTTTTCTCAACTAGCAACTGTCCTTCAAACTCCTAGAAAGAGAAGGCAACACACACACACACACACACACACACACACACACACACACACACACACACACATACACACACACCCTAAACCCACGTTATTATAGAAGATTGTAGACCATTAGAGCAGTATGGCTGGATCTCAGGGCTTGTTTCAATCTCACCCTCAGTAGCTCTTGCCTGCTGTATTCAGACTTGATTTTTGTAAACACTTGGAAGTAGTTTAAACATTATGGTTGTCTAATAGAACATCCATTCTTCATCTGGAGACACTCTAGGAAATCTAGAGTTTATCAGTCTTGTCTTAGTTAGGGTTTCCATTGCTGTGATAGAACACCACAACCAAAAGCAACTTGGGGAGAAAGGATTTATTTCACCTTACCACTTCTAAGTCCATTGCTGAGGGAAGCTGGGACAGGAACTCAAGACAGGAACCGCGTGCAGGGGTTGGTGTAGACTCCATAGAGGAACACTACCTATGGACTTTTTCCCCATGGCCTGCTCAGTTTGCTTTCTTAAACCACCCAGAACCATCAGCCCAGGGGTGTCGCCACCAACAGTGAGCTCTGCCTTCTCATATCAATCAACAACAACAACAATAGTAATGTTATAATGACAGTAGACTCATTAATCTAATGCTCAGCTTCCTCCGTTTATAAAATGGAAACTCTTTAGACTCATTTTGTTAGTCTCTGAGAATGTTTTTGTTTTACTATGTTTTCTGTAACTTGAAAAATGAGAGGTGGCTGTTTTTAATTTGGGTGTGTGATGGTCTTCCCCAATGTTGCTCTGCAATCAGGGAGAAGCATCAGCAGGCCCTGGCTTCCCTGCAGTCCAGTCTGGATTCTGAAACTTTGAGCAGAATGGAGGCCACCCGGCTGAGGAAGAAGATGGAAGAGGACCTCAAGGAGATGGAGATTCAGCTTTGTGCTGCCAACCGGCAGGTGTCACAGACAACTAGGGCCTTGGGCCAGCTTCAGAGTCAAATGAAGGTACCTTCCCACCGTACTAAAGGACAGAGATAGACATAACCCGAGTGACAGAATCCACTGGGCAGTAAAGAAGAAAACCACAAATCTCACTCTTCAAGAAGGCTGGAGCATGCTTACCTTAAAGTAGGTGGAGCTCTGCCAGGATCGTGCATGCTCAGGGACACATCCCACTCTGGGAGTGGGATATTAGACAGGAAGAAGGAATAGACAGAGTTGTAGGCAACCAGCTGCTTCCACGACACCATGTGGGGCATGTTTACATCAGTATGTCACAATGACAGTTTCATTCATAGCCTCCTCTTGGCGCAAATGGTAGGATGGGCACCATTATTTGAGGATAACAGCAGGGATTTTCTTGTCAAATGGGGACTTCCTCAGAAGTAAATTCTCTCCTGCTCTAAAGAAAATTGTGTTTTACCACCTAAAGTCTAACGTAAGCCACCAGGCTGGGAGAAATAAGACAGAAATTAAGAACAAGATAAGGAAAGAGGAGGAATAACTGACTCCGTAGTGAGCCATCACTACATACCCCTCAGCACAGTAGCTGGTCCTGCTTGCTGTCTGATTTCTAATGCAGAGAGTTTAACTTTTTGGCTTCCTCTCTGTCCCTTTCCTCCTGGCAGCTGCTGAGATCAACAACTTCCTGCCCTTGTTGCTCAAGACACTTTCTCTCTTTGACTTCAGTAAACTGTCCTTGAGCTACCTCCCAGGGTCTGCTTGGGAAGCCTTTTACTTATGAGATCAAGGACCTGGAAGCTTGTCTCTGTATGGCGGTGCTCCCCGCTTCCCCAGCTAACAGTAGAACTTAGAGGGATCCATGCCTCAGGCCCAGGTTTTCTTTTGCAGGAGCTCCAACAGCAGCTGGATAACAGCACGTACCAGAACAAGGACCTGAAGGAACGGGTGGCTCTGGCTGAGCAGCGCAACACTCTTCTTCAGTCTGAACTAGAAGAGCTGAGGTCCTTGCAAGAGCAGACAGAGCGAGGGCGCAAGCTGGCAGAAAAAGAGCTCCTGGAAGCCACAGAAAGAATCCATCTTTTCCACACCCAGGTAGGACACGTTCATCTTCTCTGTTAGCTGGGTCAGTTGGTTGAAGGAAGCAGTTCACATCCTGGGACCAACTAAGGATCTGTATGGTGGCCATGTCAAGTCTTAGGTGTGGCACTAGATGCACAATGGTTACACCTTTCATCCCAAGCATTAGGTTCCCAGAGCAGCTGTAACAAAGCACCACCAACAGATGTCTTTAAACAAGTTTATTTTTTGACAGTCCTAGGTGCTAGCCATCCACATCTAGGTATTGCAAGAGCTGTGCTCCCGCTGAAACTCACAGAAGACTCAGCTTCTCTGTGCTTCTGACGGTTTCCTGACATGCTTTCTATCGATGCCGTTTCAGTTCCTAGCCCTCACATGCATTCTGCTTTTGTCTTGTTCTTCTGTGAGTGTGTCTCTGTCCAGATTTCTCCTTTATATAAGGATATACCATATGTCATTATGGCCTACCTTAATGACCCAGTATTAACTTGATTAACTCATTTAAAGCTTTATTTCTAAATAAGCTTGTATTCTGTAGAACTAGGGCTTCAGGGTTTAACATACGCTTCTGTAGGCATGGTGGGGAGTGTAGTGCAACTGTAACACTAAGCTTTCTGCTTGAAGAATGGACTATCAGGACATTCACAGCCAAGATGGCAGAGGAGAGATAAACATTTCTTATTGGTCTAAAATCATCTGCTTGCTACCTTGTTCCCTTGTTCCGTCTCAGTGACTTGATTCCCAGCATTCTGGGAATCTTTTACATCCTTATTAGCTTCTCTCACTCTTCTGGCTTCCCCTGTAAGGTTGTGTAAGTGGTGATGAGCAGGATTCTTAGATTATTCCTAGATCATTTTTCTGAAAGCAGAAGAAGCCACAATGACAGTGACAAATGCCTTAGCAAGTTTGTCAAGCACTGAGCATTTTTAGGGCACATACTATAACTTAGATACGTGTGCAAATAATGTCCTCACTGTCCCCAAACAGTGAAGATACAAGTAAACAACCACACTGTACTGTTATGAGTGCTATAGAGGACATACGACTCTGTGGAATGCCCAAATAATCCTAAATAGGTCAGGCAGGGACATAATAGTTTTCTTCCTAGTCATGAAAGTCACGGAAGAAGTGGGACAAGGTGGTAGAAAGAAAAATTAAGATGGAGAATTTGGAATTTAAGGTAAACTCATATAGTAGAAGACAATGCAGTTAGGAGAGAAGAAAAGAAATATTGTTAAGAGACAAGTAGGCTCAAGGTACCGGGACCTTGAGTGTGAGACTAGTGGAGCTTGAATTTGATCAGCAGATAATGGGAGCCACTGAAAAATTGTGAGCAGCTGGGGGTGAAGTTATTAGATGCACACTTTGAAAAGTTTACTCTGGTGACCATTGAGAAGGATAAATTAAAGCCTCTGAGGTCAGACTGCCACTCTTGGGAGTGTTGAAAATATCTTGGGTCATTTTAGTTGTTATAGTGACTGGGAGGTGCCATTGGCATTTTTTGGGCAGGGTCCAGAGACCTCCTTTGAAGTACCCTATGATTCCATATCACAAAAGTATTCCTGCTGTTCCCAGAATGTCAGTAGTGCCCTCACTGGGAAATGAGTAAATCAAATCTGTACCTGCCACAAGGTGTTACAATTACTCTTTGTCTACAGTAAATTCTTGAAATGACATCATCTTTCTGGTTGCCATGGATCAGGAACAAATATGCTGTAGGGTATGCATAATTATTAACAGGTTAACTCATTTCAACACGTCTTTGTGTGTATTGGTCAGTGTAGAACACTTGCCTTGAGTGTTCAACCCAGCTTGAGTTCAACCCAGCTGCAACAGAGAAAACCAAAACCAAAACCATAAGAAGTTCTTTTTCCATTAAGGTTTATCTTAGTAAAATGTGGCATATTGGATCATTTTCTTGAAAATATATTACCCATTGTTGTAACTGGACATTTCCTGTCCTGACTGCCCATTCCCAAATACCCAGTAGCCACTTCCCAACTTACCATACATAGGCTTATATTAATTATAAATGATCAGCCAGTAGCTCAGTCTTGTTACTAGCTAACTCTTATACTTAAATTAACCTTTATTTCTTTTATGCCTTGCCATGTGGCTCATGGCTTGTTACCTCATTTTCTACACATCTTGTTTGTCCGGCGGCTGGCTTGCATCTCCCCCAACTCTCCTGACTCTGCCCTTTGTCCTCCCATCATTCTTTCTGTGTCAGGCTGTCTTGCCACTCTCTTCTTGTCCTGCTGTTGGCCAATCAGTTTTTTTATTATTATTAATAATGGGCATAATCCACAGCACATTGTCTGCCATGCATAGTAACTACTACTGACAAGTCACTTGACGTGCATGCTGTAACTGATAATGTACTGTGTGTCCTAATGTGAAGAGAGAAGTGGGAAGAGAGGGAGGGGAGGAGGGAGGGAGAGAGAGAGAGCTAGAACAGCAGGATATGGTTTTGAGGGAGGAACATAGAACAGTGTATTGTAGTGTGCCGCTTCATTTTTGTCAACTTGACACAAATTGAAGTCAGCTGGAAAGAGGAAACCTTAGTTAAGAAATTGCCTCCATTCAATTGGCCTGTAGGCAAGTCTGTGGGGGCATTTTCTTGATTAATAACTGATGGAACAGGGCCCATCCCATTGTGGGTCTAGGCAGGTGGTCCTGGTTTTATAAGAAAGCAGACTGAACAAGCCATAGCCTGTAAGCACCTGTGAGCAAACTCATGCATTGCCTCTGCATCAGTTCCTGCCTCTAGGTTGCCTGGACTTTTCTTGGTGATTGACAGTATAAGCTGAAATAAAATCTTACCTCCCCAAGTTGGTCAGCGTTTTATCACAGCAATAGAGAAGTAAACTAGGACTCTTAGTTAATGATGTCTTGGACTGCAGGGCAGTTTCTGAAACTTGAGTCATTAACATGAGCGTTCCAATCCTTGGATCTCACACTACCCTATAAGGTCCTCATCTCTGCAGCAGACGGAGGCTCAACAGACTCTCAGGTGCTGCCCCTGTGTCCAGCATTCATCTAGGAGACATGCACTCCTCTTAAAGACCTCTTGCTTTGAACAGACATCTGAGTACAACTCACACAAATGATCCTCTGCACCTAATACCTTAACCTTCCTCCTTCTGAAAATGGGAGCAAGGAGACATGGAGGCATTAAACCTGCAGAAAGGTTAATTGTCATCTCCTTAGGAAAGTTGAAGCGATTGCTACACAATCGAATCAGTGTTTAGACTTGTACCATCCTCCACACTGAGAGACCTCCTACAGAGTAATGTGCAGGGAGCACCCATAAGATACTTCAGGAAAATACACTTCATTTCCCCCGACCACACTGAAGGCACTGGAAATCCTGCAGAGCACAGGGCCTGCCCCTCCACAGGATGGAGAGAGGCATTCTTGATGGTGCTGTGGGAGGCGGGCAGAACCTGTGAGCCTGGGCTACCTTCCTTCTCTGTTCAAGGCTTAATCTGCCCCAAGAAAGGCGATAACTGGAGGGAAAGTGAAAGGATGATGAGAAAGGACGAAATGAAAGGAGAAATGAAAAGTGGGAGGCCCATGCTTTTTACACACGCTCTTTGTGCTAAGGTTTCACACGCTCACAAAAGCCTCACTTCAAACACAGGGCAGATGCAGCAAAGGGGCCTTGGCCTCCGGTGCGACAATCAGGAAGAAACTGGGGCAGCATGGCTGCAGATCACAAAGGCCTCCCTTTAATGGTGTCCTAGGGGCTGGGGCTGAGCTTTATGTTATCTGTTTTCCACCTCCTCCTCCTCCTCACTGCAGGGTAAGACAGGAAGGCAGGTGGGCAAAGAGGGGAATCCATTTTCTTCCTGCGGCAGCATGCTGGAATCCTCCAGGTGGCTGCAGGTGACTCCAACTTCTGCCCTGGGATACTTCTTTCTATCACACTGAAAAAGCATTGCTCGATAAGTTAAAAACTAAACCCATATTCTGGCTTTGGATTATTTGAAATGACCCATTCTGATTCAGGATTCTGTCTCTTTTCTCCTGGCAGTGGTTCTCAACCTTTCTAATGCTGTGGCCTTTTAATACAGTTCCTCATCTTGTGGTGACCCGCAACTATAAGATTATTTTCATTGCTGCTTCCTAATTGTAATTTTGCTACTGTTATAATGGTAATGTAAATATCTGATATGCAGGATGGGTCTTAGGCAGCAACCCCTGTGAAAAAGGTTTATCCTCAAAGGGGTCGAAACCCACAGGTTGAGAATTGCTGTTCTAAATGAAACCCCTTCATTTGATCTGCTTTTTGTGCCCAAACCACCACCTGGGGCTGGAATTCTTACTTAACTGCATATGGCCGACGATGATAAATTGCTCCAATCCAGAGCTGCTTGCCTGTGTATTGCTGGTCTCTGGTTGCCTAACTGGAATGCTATCCTTCCTTAGAACACAGGTCTCCTCAGCCAGAAGAAGAAACTGGAGGCTGATGTTGCCCAGATGCAGAAGGAAGCTGGAGAGCTGTTGCAGAGGTGTCAAAGGGCAGAAGAAAAGGCCAGGAAGGCAGCTGCTGAGGTGGGCCTGTTGGTCGTATGCTCACTTCTGTCCTCCAGAGTTCACTAGAGCTATAGCCCAAAGGCAGGACCTGCTGCAGCCCACATGGATTTCATTGATCCCCATATAATAAGGAGGAGGTTAGCTGACCTGTGGCTTCCCCATTATCCAGAACACTTAAGTCAATTGGCTGTTGTCTTCTAACCTACCTTGACAATGAGAAGGAGAGACTGAATGTCTAAAAGCCAAATCCTCTGAAAACAACAGTCTTTCTTTTTAAGGCTAGCTTTTTTTTTTCAGTTGTGAATCAGTATAACTGGTGTCTAGAAAGAATTCTTTCTGTGCTTCCTTACAAATTTTCATTTTTCTTGGGTATGTAATGGTTTTACGGTGATATTGAGAAGAGCAGTTAAACCACTTATGGTTTACAATCCATACTATTACTGGGGTAGCAAAACTAGACTGGGAAGGCAATGCTTGGGACTGGTGAGCCTGCTTTATTGGTAAACTAAAATTTTTGATGGTGACATTTTCCTAGATGGCACTTAGTTCAGGGTTAGTTGTCAATCTCAACAAGCTGCAAATCTCATTCACCCACTATGAGCAGATGCTACGCTTCTATTAAAAGGCATAGCAAGTGAACAGTACTATTGAGAAAAAGTTATTAATGGAGAGAAAGTGAAGGTTGTGTGTTCAGGGCCTGGGACTGGATGTTTCATGACTTATTACATGGGCCTGAGCATGATTTCAGCCTCTGCTTATCTTTTGAGGGCTTTTTAGGAGTCTGTCAAATGTGTGGCTATATGCAGCATCACATCCCTGCTTTATGAAAGGAAGCTAGTCCTCATGTTTACAACGTTGTGAGAACTGAGGAGACAGGACTTTCATCTAGATTTTACATAAACAGTGATAGTAATGATCCTACTTTTCAGGAAAGTTAATGTTTGAACATGGAATGCCTCCCATTGGCTTATGTGTTCGAACAATGGGTTCGAGCCAATGCTGTTATTTTGGGATGTGGGGAACCTTTAGGAAGTAAGGCCTAGCTGGAGTAAGTGGGTCCCTGGGAGATGAGCGTCCTGGACAATCTTGATGCTTCCTGACTGCCAAAGTGATGTAACCAGCCTTCTCATGTTACTGCTGCTGACACAGGGCCATCTCCATCCCCTTTTGGGGTTCTTAATCTCAGAGTTTGAGAGAAAAACCCCAGTGCAGGCTAGTTGTAAACTTCAACTGCCATCCAGGGGTGGAGAATGGAGGATGATGCATGGAAAAAGCCACGCCATTTAAGCTGGCCTGGAGCTCAGACATGTGACAGAAAAGTGGCCATGCCTCAGGGAGGGAGGCATTAGGAAAGAGTAAGAACGTCCAACATTTTGGGGAAACCCAAAGTGTTAAGGAAAGCATGCTTAGAAAAAAGGATAGAAAGAAGAAAAGGGAAAATGACATTTTTCTGGGTAATTCAGTAAAATGAGCAGGTGTATGAAGTTACATGTCTATGGTGCAGTAAGCTATTACCTAGGAGCCGGGAGTCTGAGAAGAAAAAGTGTGGAATCTCATTAAAGGGAAAATTATCCTGCCCATCTCGTCTTCATTGTAGTTTAAGGTAAACCCTCTTTCCCAGGGGTTCTTGGCTAGGCCGAGTGACTGATGCCTCCACCCAGATAGAATGTTAAGCCTCCACCCAGGCCAGAGAGTCTGCTTGCTTGCCCAGAAGGGTTTTCCCACCATCTAACAGTGTCACAGCTGCAAGCTGTTCCTGCCCCCACGTCTTCCCACCAGGTGGATCTGTTTCCCCTGAGCCATGAGCCATGAAAATCCTTCACCCCGTAACACTTGTTTCTGTCAAACATTCACAGCAACAAGAAAGTAACTGATAGACATGTCAATTTCCTATTTTTGTCATGGCTTCTTGTTATTATAGAAAATTTCTGAAGTTGGCTAGCTTTCTAAAGCAAAGAAGCTTGTTTAGCTTGTGGTCCTGTGAGTTTTAAAAGGCCTAGTGCTAACCATGCTGCTGTGGTGAGGGCTTCAGGGTGGATGGTATTGCACTGGACAGAACACAAGTGGAAACGAGTTCTAGTGTTACTGGAAATCAGAGAGCACGAGTTCCAACCATTCCTTTTGAGACATCCCTGGTTTGTCTAAGCCTATCCCATTAGGTGGCTATTCTTAAAGATCTTAGCTCCCAATATCACCATATGGAAACCATATGCACAGTGGCAACCAGATAGACAGAAAGATTTATTCTTGGATTAAGCACACAAAAAGAGGAAACAGCTTGAATTGTACTGAGAAGCCAAGCCATTGTACATGGAGTTAAAACCCAAAGTAGGTTTCATAGCTTACCTTCTTTGTGTCAGATTATTTGTATAGAGCGTGTCTGATGCTATGAAATTCTTGGAGCCTGAATGTGTATACAGTAGTAAATCAGAAGATACATACTTTCGTAGATATTTTACTACATTTTTCCTGATGCCTTATGTGACAGCAGTTATTTTACTCAGTTACAGATATTTCCCCCGCACTTTATTCAGTTAAAAGCCATTCACTCAGTCATCTTGCTTTCAAGATGTATTCTGTCTTGTGTACACAACACTTCATTTTAGGCTTTTTCACATCAATAATCACCCCATTCTCTCATGTGGCTGCTTCAATGTCTACTGGCTGATTTGATCAAAACCCAAGGGAAATCAGGGATTTGAGAGAGCAGGGTGGAAAGAGATTAAATATACAGAGGCCAAGCATACACCCCCTTCCCCCATGAGATTAGGAACCAAAGCTCATTGGAATATGATCAGCTGCCTACAAGATTATCTAAGTCACTTTCCTTCCATCTCTCCTCTTCTTTTTAAAGGATTTATATGTCTTTATTTTATGTGTATGAATCTTTGCATGCATGTGTGTGAACCACATGTGTGTCTGGTGCTTCAGAGGCCAGAAGACAGCAATATATCTGCTGAAGCTGGAGCTCCAGTATGGGTTCTAGGGTCCAAGCCTGGGTCAGATCAAGAACAGCAAGTACCCTAACCACTGAGCTAGCTCTTCAGTCTCTTTTGCCTCCTTTCTTAGGCAGCCAACACATTGGAAGAACTGAAGAAAGAACAAGACACTAGTGCTCACTTGGAGAAGATGAGGAAGAATATGGACCAGACAATTAAAGACTTGCAGAAAAGGCTGGATGAAGCAGAACAGACAGCTGTGCTGGGGAGCAAACAGCAAATCCAGAAGCTGAAATCCAGGGTAGGAGTTTGCTTGGGTAATCGTGAGGGCCTAACACTCTCTGTTCAAGGCCCTAATGTCCCGGAACATCACACCTCATCACTTGGCTTAATGGCACTTGCAGATTCTGAAAGGGTCTGATCTGAATACATTATTGTTTGACCTTGGGCCAGCCAATAGGACTTTCTTGGGTCTGGATGAAAGTTGTCTTCCCTCTCACTGATGGATGAGAAAACGTCTTCTCCCACTCACTATACCCATTCTAGGCTCTATGCAGAGGGGACAGACAGCCCACTCTTTCCAAACACACCTTTGCAGTCTCTTGCTTCTGGGACAATGTTCCTGTCATTTTCTTTAAAGAGAATGCCTGTTTCCTAACAGCTAAAGAAAGGAGAGATGAAAAACATCCATGACCCAGAAAGACTCAGTGCAGATATAACAAAGTCTGATACAAATGATGTGGAGTCTACCTTACAGGAACTACATAGCATTTACTAAAACTACCTTAAAAATGGGATTTTTTAAAAAAATTCCTGGATCAATTTTAATGACTATGTATACGAATACAGTAAACTTCACAAAAGTTGAAAAAAATGTTCTGCTGGGAATTAATGGTTCACAGGGGCCTCTGAAAAGTGGTAATATCCACTTTTGCACATTTCTGGAACATTCATACAGTGAAATACCAATATAAACACATGTTCTATGTTGATTATGTTGATTAAAAGGAAATGAGGAAGGTCTCAGGAATATGTTCTGGAGATTATAAGTAATAATGTGATGATAACGAAAGTAAGTGTTACAAAGTGTTTATAATCTTCTGCTCATGAAAGATTATTTTGTCAAAAATTAGTAATAGGATAAAGACTAATAAAAAATTTACTAGCTCAAGGTAGAGAACAAAGAGATGGAAGTTAGATCTTTGAAATGCACTTTTTAGGTGTTTTGATGGAAAAATCATGTAGCTTTTTATATGTTTCAAATAAAAGAAAAACAAAATTTAATTCAATCCATCCATCCTTAAAATGTAATACTAATAGAAAAACAGCTAGATATATATCAAGCATAAAATAAATATAAAGAATTATTCCCAGTGACCTTTAGCATAATACCTTTTAGTACAACCCCTATGGAATATGTCTTAAAGACAAACAAGCAAAACTCACAAAACCAAAACAAGGCAAAAAAGCAAACTGCATGTCTTGTTCCAAAATACTTTTTTTCATTTAATATTTATGCATGCATAGAATAATGTGTTTCATCAAATCCACCCCATCTCCTTCCTTCCAATTCCTTCCTATCTGCCCACCACTTTTCCTTTCCAACATTATATATGTGCTCTCTCTCTTTTAAATCCCCACTGACTCCATTTAATGTTGCTTAAACGTACATGAGTGTGAGCCATCCTTTGGAGCATGGGTCCCTCTCAGGATCTGCATCCCTGAAGAAACAAATTAACAACTTCAAATAGTAATAAGATGAATATGATATTATTTCAATAGTATATATAGGGACCATGATTTTATTCCAAGAGGAAAAGCACTTAAATGTGTTGATCCCTTTAAAAGGTACATGGATTATAATGGTATTTCCATTACCCATTTAGTGTTACAGGATATTATTTTATTTCATTGTCTTAGTTAGGGTTTTATTGCTGTGAAGAGATGCCATGACCACCAGGGCCACTCTTATAAAGGAAAACATTTCATTGGGGCTGGCTTACAGGTTCAAAGGTTTAGTTCACTGCTGTCACGGCAGGAAGCATGGTAGCATGCAGGCAGACATGCTGCTGGAGAAGGAATTAGAGTTCTACATCTGGATCAGCAGGCAGCAGGAAGAGAGAGTGACAATGTTCCTGGTTTGAGCTTCTGAAACTTCAAGTCCACCTCCGGTGACACACTTCCTCCAACAAGGCCACACCTACTCCAACAAGGCCACACCTCCTAATAGTGCCACCCCCTGTGAGTCTATTGGGATCATTTTCATTCAAACCACCACACTCCTAATTACCATTTGTTCATTGTTATGATCTAGAGCCAATGACAACTAGCAGTGAGCTGGTATCAGGTGATACTGAGAAATTATAGACTTAAAAGTGTAATTAGAATATCATTGTTTTCATCAAGTTCCTGTCCTCTAACAAAGTACCTGAGATAAGATGATTTATGAAGAGCAAAATTTTATTTGGCTCTACTCTTAGTGTCCAATAGCATGGTGCTGGCATCTAGTTAGTTTCTTCTAATCAGGGCCTTCTTGCCACAGCATCATATGGTAGGGGGCATCACGTGGCAAGACACAGCAAACAAGATCTCTTACTAAAGTCATTAATCACCCTGGGAGGGGGGTGGTTGGACCTTTATGACTTCATCTAATCTTAGTTACCTTCAAAAGGCTCCCCCTCCAAATACACATGAAAATTGGGGGTTTAAGTTTCAAACGCATGGACTTTTAGAGGGACACGCTCACACAGTAATCATTACTCCTTAGGATTACATTGCAAGGTCATTACAAGCGAAGATATGGCACCTGGGATTCCCTTCAATAAGGCACCTTTTACCATGAGGTGCTCTAATCACATTTCAAAACAAAACAGAACACCTTAAACACATGCTTTAAAACAAACAGTTCTATTGGCCTGTGTATTACAGTTGGAACTAAGCAGGTCCCTAGTGGATGCATGTCCAGGATGCCCAGAGAGGATGTACTGATGGTTTATCCACAAGGAAGTTGCACACCTGCTCACCTACTTGCCCTGTTGCACCTTCCCGTGGAGGAACAAAGAAGATAGTTTAGCTTAAGGAGCTGCACGAGGTGATGGCAGGAAAGGGGAATCATCCTGAAGAAGCTCACCTACGCCTTAGGGTGCCAGGCCTCAGTTCTAAAAGGATGATCAGACCTCACGGAGAGGTGGCATTTTGGTCAAGAAGGCAGGGAGTGATGCATGGATATCTGGGAGAATGTCCCATCAGCAGGAGCAGCTGCTCACAACAGTCTCCCACACCAAGACTCTGGCCCCTTTCCTGCCTATGTCTTCCCACACATGCTATTCCACTTTATTTAGTTTGCTTCCCTTCGTGAGAAAGCACGCTTATTCATGGGAGAGATGTGGGTATGTTTTCTTCATTGTTCTGACACTGGGGTGTGCTGAGTAGTAGGCACGTCTCTCGGTGACTGTTCTGACTGTACACCCAGGAAGTCCCCTGTTGTACTTCTCTTGCAAAGCAGAGCTGTAGGCCTGCATGTGACATGTATGAGATCCAGAGTCTGAGGGGAACATGGAGAAAGAAGCCCGAGATCAGGGTGTGTGGGACAGAATCTTCAACACTGCTGCATGCAGCTTGCTGTCTGTACTGACAGACAGTTGTGTTACACAGACACACAAATACACAGATACACAGAGCACACACACAGAACACGCATGCACACATACATACACACACAGAACACACACACACACACACACACACACACACACATACACACACACACACACGTGATTTGTCAATGTTGCAGTGTAAGATGAGAGGCTTACATCCTCTCTTTGAATTAGTCTCTCACATTGCCGAGAATCTTAACCACGCTTATATGAGCTCACATAGGTCAACAGCCTTGGTTTGGGTGATGGATTTTTATCAGAAAGATTGTCCTATTTCGTCACTCCCAGACAGAAAATGGACATACCTCCCCTTAACTAGTTCATTCTTTCAGCGAATTCTCCACCGGGTAACCGAATGGCAGCCTTGTTACCAGCATGTGGACTGAGGCCATGATCTGTTACAGGTGCGGGACCTGGAAGGGGACCTGGAAGGCGAACTCAGGCGCAGTGCAGAGGCCCAGCGGGAAGCTCGCAGACTGGAACGAGGCATCAAAGAGCTGACCTATCAGGTACTCCAGGAAAACATTCTCTGGGACAAGGTTAGGGTCCTCCTGCAGCAGTGTGTACCTTCCAACTCGAAATGACCTTCTGGGACACTGCAGTTGTCTCTGAGCAATGGACATTTTCTCACCCTGTCCGGGCAATCCATGGCTTGGCTCTATCCATTTCCAGAGCTCATAGTGAGAGCTAACAAGGTGCAGTTGAAGTGAAAAACTATTTATGCCATCTTCATTTTTTCCATGCATAGTGTTAGTGGCGCTTTCAGAAAGATGCTTTCGTGTGAGAGGCAGAGTGAGAACAACCTGTAAGTGAAGTGACTGGTGGACATTAGGGTGGCCACCTCACCAGCTGATTGCACGGAATGCTAACTGGATTGGACATGGTCCACTCTTTTGAGAGGTTTGTTCCCTGACCCAGATGGGAACATCATCAGTAAAAAAAATGTGGTCTTCTTTAGCTAACCTGTAAACTAACATTAATATGGGCTTGAAGCAAACATTGAAAGCAGGTGGACAAGTTCCCTACCCATAAGCAATGTACATCTAAATGAATGACTTATTTCATCATCTCCATGCTCACTTTCCTTTCTCCCACCACCTCTGTGGTGGAGTCAGAACCTTGCTAAGCTAACCAGGCTGGCCTTTAACTTGTGCACTCCAGCAATCATGCTACCCCAGCCTCCTGAGTGCTGGCGACTGCAGGGCTGCGCCACCACATTCAGCTTTTCTTGCTTCTTCTTTTTAATGGCACAGAGTCTCTTGATAGCAGGGCCATTGGCTGTTCCCCACTCCAGTGCACAGCATTCTCCTGGAACACAGTTGGGAATGTATCTATTGATGCATTGCTCAAGGGCGTGTATCTATTCTGAGAGGTGCCGTAAGGAAACAGGACAATTCAGTGGCGATGTGGGTATCAACAGTGTACTGCCAAGCCAGCTCCTGCAGCCTGATGCACAGCGAAGTTGCTCTCAGACTAAACCTGTGCAGCATATCACCATCTGTAGACAGTGTGTCATGGTGTCAAATGCTTGTTTATAAACACATCTAAACCTAGAAAAGGTAAAGAAAAATGCTCTAAAAATGGTACACCTTAAAAATGGTATACCTTATATATAGGGCGTTATTACTCATGGCTCTTAAAAAATCGGAAGTTACTTAGGTGAGAGACTGTATGGGTTCAGGACATAATTACACGGTACTGTAGACTTTATCAGTATGTTGGTTACCATAGTGTATTAGTTATACTGTGTTGTAGATACTGGTTACCATAGATTTATGGAACAATATTTGTAATTTTCCATAGCTTCCCTTTAAATCAGTGCACTGTTTTAGTTTAACTCATTTTGACTCACAGTAATTCCCAATTTTTAAGCAATTGTATAGCTGTATATTTTCCCTTTTATATTCTTTTTAAGTTTATTTTTTAACTAGCATACACAATAACCAGTTTCCTTTTGGCATTTTCATCCACAGTTTTGGTTGGCTCTCTCTGCCTCTTCCTTCCCCCATCCCATCTCCCAGCTCCACTCAGGCCTTCCACTCCCCGGATTCCACCTTTCACTTTCATATCACACATGTTCTATTATCCTCTGCACCCGCTCTCCTGATGTCTCTTTCTTCCCATTCCTACTTTCCTAGTCTTTACCTATACTTACCTTCCACATAATCCAGACAGATTTATAGATAAAATATGATATACGTATCTCAGTTAGAAGCTTGCATCTGCACATGAGGGAACATATGGTGTTTGTCTTTCTGAGCCTAGTTTCCTTACTCATATAAAACTGCCAGTTCCATTCATCTTCCTGCAAATTTTATTTTCTTTATATCTGAATACAGTTCCACTATGAATATGTACTACATTTTTATTACCCATTATTTTTATTCTTGTTTTAAAAGTCTTTTCTACTTTTAATGTTCTTGATGAACATATATTCATATATTAATATTATGACATTTTCAAACATGTACATAGAGGTTTTTTTCTTTATGATTTTTTGTTTAAGATACACACATTAGGGACTGGAGAGAGGTCTCAGAGGTTAAGATTATTGGCTGCTCTTCCAGAGGACCTGGGTTCAATTCCCAACACCCACATGGCAACTCCTGTCTGTAACTCCAGTTTCAAGGCTTCTGACATCCTCACACAGATGCACATGCAGGCAAAACACAAATGCACATAAAGTAAAAAAATGAATTATATAAGAGAGATGGGTGAGAGGAGAGGGGACATGCATATTAGTGTAGGCCTATACAGGGTCAGGGTCAAGCTTGTTAAGTAGTTCAGCCTTCCACCTGTATATCTTGTCTTACTCTAATGCTACATATATGGATTTTCATCTCACAGGACAATAACTCCTTCTGGAATATTCTCCTGAAGACTCTTTCTGATTCTCCTCTTGAGGAGGGGCCACTCTTTTCAGGAATCTGTCCATGGTGATTTGCTTGGCATCTTTCATCATGATAGATTGGCTTATATGCCGATAATGCTTGTGAACATTCTTCTCTGTTCACGTAAACCTTTTAGTGTTTCAAACTCTCTAAGAAGCTTGTTGAGGTCATGAAAGCTTTTTGCTAAATCCACAATGCCCTGGGAATTCTCTCCGGGTTCTTCTGCAGTGGCCGATGGCTTTTTGTCTTTCTTTTCTTCAGTCACATACTCTGTGGGAAATAATTTTTCAGCTCTGTTATTACTTTATTGACCACCACCATACCTGTGGGATGTCAGTGACCAAATGGTTCTTTAGAGTTTGACTATTTCAGTGGTGAACACATATCTCCCAAATTTTCTTCTAGCCCTCTCCTATTACACAATATAACTTACTCTGATAAAAGGGCAAACTCATTTTACAGCTCCTTTGACACTGCTAATGCAGGGTGCTGGGGTCCTGTCTCTAATTCTAGAAGTCATTAGAAGTGTCAACACCTTTTTCTCTACAGCAGGAAACGTAGTGTTGGTAAGAAGGCAGGACATCATGGTTGTACCAAATGGAGCCAATTAAGCAAATGAACTACTTGGACACCTGTTTAAATATTTATTTTTATTTTATGTGTTTTGAGTATTGTAGCTACATATATGTATGTACACCATGCATGCCTGGTACCTGAAGATTTTTGAATAGGGTGTTGGATCCCCTGGAACTGGGATTCTGGATTGTTGTGACCCACTGGATAGGTCCCGGGAATTGACCCTGGGTCCTCTGCAAGAGCGAAGAGTGCTCTTAACTGCTGAGCCATCTCTCCAGCCCCTTGGACAGTTGTTTTTATGACTAAATACCTGGTTCTTTTTCTAATATGAGCTTCACACTTTTTAAAACAATAAGCTCTGGAAGCCAAGGTTTGATGTGGCTACAAAAAACAAAACAAAACAAAACAAAAAAGTAACCACCTTAGAGAAATGGCATTGTGTGACCCTACACTACGTTCAGGACTATAATGAGACACCATTTGTTGATCATATATTGTTTTCTTATGTGTTCATGGATTGTTCTTATTGCTTTCTTCTGTGAACAGTATCATTATAGATTTAAGCACCAAACCTATAAATGTTTTATTTTCATTGTCCTGAAGATTGCATTTCAGATCTGTTGTGGCTTAATTTTGTTTCTTCCTCAACAATATTGACATTTCTTATGTCCTCATTTAGAGCTGTGCTTCTTTCCCTTCTTCTTCTTCTTCTTTTTTTTGACTCATGTTCTCGTGAAGTGGCTTTCAGGCTGTGCTGGTCACACATGTCCTTTGGCTAAGGGTAGAGTCCCAGGAAGTCTATGGGGTGCATTTCTTATTTTTTTCCAAGTGCCTCCTCAGTGCATTGAGTGTACCCATTCAGATACGAAATGACTTCCCACCATCAAGCCAGATACCCACTGAGCAGTACTTTATGTGTTAGGTTGAAAATGGCTCTGGAAAACTCCCCATATTGATTAATATTAGTGCCTATTTTAGTAATATTCAAAGTTGATTCTGAGTCAATTTAGTCCATTTTTCTCTAACATCAAGATACACTTTGGACCATAAGGCAGTATTTTTGTGATAGACCATTCACAGGTGTTACTTGAAAAAAATGTCATTTTTTTTTGAAGAACACAACTATGGTTCTCTTTTCCTAGTAAACTCCTCAGGGAAGACTCTGTACCCATGCACTGCAAAAGCAATCAAGTGTGATCTTACTCTAAATAGATTTATGGATTGTCTTCACTGTCCATTTGTCTTCCTTATCTCTCTGGAATTTAGAAACGTAAGAACCTACAAAAATGTTCCAGAAATGCAAGACGTAAGATCGGTAGCTTTTCATTGTCTAGGAGGTGAAGATTGTCCCCGTGCTTTCTACTATTTATTCGGATACTTCTCTTTGCTTTTGAAGACCTCCTATATTCAGGAATCTGGGCATGGACATTATTCACACTTTACAAATTAGTGAAAACATAGCATCACCATCTGAGGGACAGGGAAGCAAAAGGTGGTAGGTAAAGTAACCATCCTTGTAAGGCCTTTTTTTCAGGACCCAGATGTCAGGATGGTGTTATAAGCACAAAGGGTTCACTGACACTTACAGCTCTGAAAAGCAGGATGGACTCCACGCAGATTGTGACAGACAGGATCCCCAACTGCAGGCCGGATCCCCAACGACAGGCCGACACCCACAAAGTGTGAACTGAGTGGTGGGATACAAAGAGCCTCAGGTAGCTCTGGGAGGCTCTGGGTAAATGCTGAGAAAATCTCTAGCACAGAATTTCCCTAGACAGGAGAATCCTGTCAGGCAGAAAGGGCCAGGGCAGTAATCGCACTTAGCCCCGCTCTTCTTCTGAGTCTGATTCAGTCTGAACTCAGGCCTCACATCTAAGGCTTTACCTTCCCAGGGATGAGCACCATTAGCCCCAGCACTCCCTTGTAGCTATCTTTTTTTTTCCAGTTTTCTTCTGCTTAGTCTCTTCTATTATGTCTCTCTGTTCAGTCAATTATTAGGAATTAGTTCTGTGTTGGTTTTAGAGTTCACTGGAAACAGATAGTGTTGTAGAATTTTAAATTTCATTAGCCTTCTAAAGTAGGATAAATGGATGAAAGCAGAGGAGGGACTTTAAAACTCTGGCTAGCCTCAGTTCCCCAACCAGGTTGAGCGCTATGTGTTCATCATACAGGGCCGAGGAATCTTAAGATTAGTTTCGAATTGTAGAGTGTCAGATGGTACTCTGGTAGGGAGGCTGCCTTCAGGTGTTGGAAGTAGCTTAGCTAAACCAATACAAGAGGGAGTGGGTAAAATGCTGTGGGCTACAGGTGGAATTGATCCTGTTTAGTGTGGGATTTTGATCAAGTATAGAAGGACCAGTGTCACGCTGTAAAGTCAGTTTTCCATCGCCATGACAAAGGACCTTAGGTAATCTACATATAACTGAAAAAGGGTTATTTTGGTCACAGCTTTGACCATGATGTCATTCCTGCTACTTTGGGGGATATCAGGCAAGAAAACTGCTAATCTTATGGCCAGGAAAGGGAAGGGAGGGGTCTGTGATTCACTGTCTCCTCCAGGGATTACATCTCCAGTGATCTAAAGACAGTCCAGTAGGCCCCATCTTTTAAAGGTCTTACCACCATCTTATGCCAACCTGCAGCTTAGCCTCTAACACTTGACCTTAATGTCTCTGGGGGAGATAGTTGATAGAAGAGGTAAGCTGGAACCAGTAGAAAAATCAGCATATAAGTAGATCTTTACTATACCAGTCCCTCATTCTTTGGAAGGAAGAGGAATTTGATTTCTTTGGAGGCTCAACAGCTTTGAACTGAAGATACTCCAGTGTTTTCAAGGGTGTGAGGAGAGGACCAGAAGGAAGAGTCCTATCAACATGCTGCTTTCTTAGAATGTCGAAGACTCCCTGAGGAACTGCTGAGGAACCCCACCTCCCCATGCCTCCTTTCAAGCCTAGCCTAGACAATGGCAGCGGTGAGGATGAGGGCCACACCGAGATCACACAGCTTGCAGATCTTCCCTCGCCGTCTTCACTGATGCCCATGACAGAATTCTGAGAAACTTGACTTGTCTAGTTTATTACATGAAGCCAAGGGCCAATTCAGAAGTTCGGGCACTGAATTGTTTTGATTGATGGCATTGGCTTTCCATTTCGCATAAATGGCTTTTGTAATAATAAATTTTATATGGAAGCAGTCTCAGGCAAGTGTAGCTTATCTGGAATAAAAAGGCTAAAGGATATACCAAACCTAATGGCCTTGACTTCCATTTAAGTAAAGGCAGATAGGGTGCTGTGAGGATCAGGAGATATATCTCTGCCATTTCTCAGAGCCATTCATTCCTTTCTCAAAACTTAGGATGAATAGAGTTAAATGTATTTTTAAAAGCACCGTTATCAGATCATATTTACAAAAAGTTCCCAACCTTAACTTCCTCATATGAGAGTGTATTCAGTGTGCATGGCTGGATCCTTCAAATGACTTTCCCATGCATGCCTATGCATTTCAGGCAGAAGAAGATAAGAAGAATCTGAACAGGATGCAGGCTCTGTCTGATAAACTTCAGCTGAAAGTGCAGAGCTACAAACAGCAAACGGAAGCAGCGGTAAGTGCCAACTGCAGCCTCATGGATGTCCCAGCTACTGCTTTCAGTTAATGCTCGGAGCTCAGGGAACAGCTCAGCAGAGACAACCATCTGGACGTCACATCTGCCCATTCTCTGCTTTTATGTAAGTTAGCGCTATGGCTTATGCAGGGGGCGGGAGGAAGGAAAATTAGGTTGCTTTTCCCCACCAGAAACCAGACCTCTGTCCCTTGACCTGGTGGCTATACTCAAACATATGCAGGACCAGAAATGAGCCAAGTAAAATCTGGGTGGCAGGCAGAGCTGGCAAATTTTGCAGGGTTTCATTGTGCTTTCCTTCAGCTCTAGACTTTGGGTGAACACAGTCACAGTTTGTCATACATTCTTCTGATGAATCTGGACACAAAGTGAACAAAATCACCATCATTGAAATGTTCTTCTTTACCTTTGCTTATTTTTTTTACTGGCCTCAGTTTACCTTTCCATAAAGTATCAAATCTCACAGAGTCCTTGAAGTACTATATTAAAGAATAGGTACCATATGTATGTGTTAGTTTACACCTAATGATATTTTGAGGGGATTTCAATTGATTGGGTTGGTGCTATATCCAAGAATTACTTATTGTTTCATAATTTGAAAGGGCAACCACTTATACCAGGGGGTAGGTTACGATTTGAATCTGACTTTAAGCCAATAATTCTGATTGCTCTAGTATACAAGTGTGTGAAAGTTATACTATCTGTACACCCATTCTGAATTTCCATGGGATAGCTGTAAAATGGGTCTCTGTTCCTACTCTTAAAAAAAAGAAAGTTTCTGATTTCATTTTTCTTTCTATGTGTGAGCATTTTGCTTACATGCATCTTTATATAAAGATTTCATATAAATCTTTACATGATTTCCTGGTGCCTACATAGTCCAGAAGAGGGCATCAGATCCTCTGAAACTGGAGTTCTAGGTGGTTGTGAGCTACCATTTAGAAATATCCAAATGCAATTTTCCGTCCTGTTAACTCACTCATTTGTGAACAAGCTGCCCTTCTATCTAAGCATCCCCAACCCAGAAATGTATTCCTCACCTTTCCCACTGCCAGAAATTCTTGGTAACAGCAACCTTAAGTTGGCATCCTATTTCTTTTTTTTTTTTTCTTTTTGTTTTTGTTTTTGTTTTTCGAGACAGGGTTTCTCTGTGTAGCTTTGCGCCTTTCCTGGAACTCACTTGGTAGCCCAGGCTGGCCTCGAACTCACAGAGATCCGCCTGGCTCTGCCTCCCGAGTGCTGGGATTAAAGGCGTGCGCCACCACCGCCCGGCGGCATCCTATTTCTTAAGACACCAGTGACAATCAAAATCTTCAGGGGTTCTCCTAAGTGATAATCAGGTTAGATCTGGCTTCACTGGCTGACCACTTCGTATAACGTAAAACAGGAGTCATACTTCAAACCTCAAGAACCCTAAAGCCTAAATGCCACCAAGAAAGTTTGAGACATTCGGGGGGGTTGAGACAAATGAATAAACAGACATTTGACTTGGATTCCAGCACACACCCTGGCCGAAAAGCAATAACAAACACAAAGACACACAGAACCGCTCAGAGTCGCTGTCTTTATTTGACACCATTGTTTTGGTAGAACAGTGAGATGTCTTCATTTGAATGGTCCGAAACCCAAGATGACTTGTTCTCCCAAATCCTTTTCTTTTTATCTAAACACATGCCTGTACTTGTGGGAATGAATTGGTATTTACTGCCATAAGTCGCTTCAAACCATTTCGTTCACTGAAAATTCAAACACTCTGAAACAATCTACATTGTTTAAAAATTATTGAAACGCAGTCTAAAAGGTTGCTTTTCATACAGTATTTCAAAGGTAGTTCACACACTTTCTAACTTTTACCGAATTGGTACCTTAGTAGCACTTAATCTCTCGATTAAGCTTCTGAATTTTAACCAGGAGTCAAGAGCATCATTTGACAGTGTGAGATTAGGGTGGTGCTTGAGAATTGGAAGAGGAAAGAGAGACATTGTCAATCAGAAAGAATCACCACACCTAATATTGTGGTGATATAACCTAAAACACAGCAGTATGTATCAATTAAATTATATTAAAAAAAATACCAAAAAGAAATAATGAAAAGAAACAAATGAACCTGGGTCTTCCGAAGAGCAGGAAGAGTTCTTCATTGCCAAGTCAGCTCTCCAGCCTCCTTTCCTCCTCTGAAGTCCTATCTGTATGTCTTATGCCAAAACAACACATCCTATGCAGGCCTGAGTTTGTGTCCCCTTTGTGTTCAAGTCTCATCTCAGAGCAGAGACTACTATGTAGGAATGGCAACGTCCTCACTTTCTGTGTTCTCCATGTTTACAGGAGGCTCAAGCTAATCAATACCTTTCCAAGTATAGGAAGCAGCAGCAGGAGCTGAAGGAAGTCAAGGAGAGGGCAGAGGTAGCAGAATCTCAAGTCAATAAGCTCAAAGCCAAGATGAAGGAGTTTGAAAAAAAGGTACAATCCACTCTGAAATGCCTTACAGCTTGCTGCTTTGGGGCTCACGACATTGCATGGATTAGTATAGCAAGAAATGTCTTGTTTTTCTCTTCAAATCTTTTTTTAAAAAACAGCCAAACAAGCTAAAATAAATTCTTTCCCTGTTTACTAATTTCTAGTTGTCCAGGTAATATAGCACCACTAAGCATTGGAGTTGGAAAAACATGCTAGTTTTATTTTTCAGATGTTTCATCCCAGGTTAACTTGTAAGCTCTGAGCCTCAGACCTTTAATTCGTTTGTACAGAATACAAATGGACCTTGAAATTTGGAGTGAATTCTTTTCATAGTAGACAAGCTCATGACTCTTGCATCAGGTCAAAACTGAGACCTAGGGGAAGAAGGTCAAAAGTGAGCCAGGGAGTGATAGTAAATTGTGGAGTCCTGCTTTCAACGTCTCAGCATTCAACTTCTGGGTTTTCCCCAAAGCCCAGAAACATTTTCCCACGTCTCTGTGGTTAGTTGAATGGCCACTGGAACACAGTCGTGGCAGCCAGTCTTCGCTGTCACTGGAAGAATGAATGACAGTGAACTCAGCAATGGATGCTGGGCAGGGCCAAAGAGTCTGCTTCCTTGCTCAGTTTTCCTTGAAACACAGTTTTTAAATTACATCTGGCTTTAGGAGAAGGGAATTAAAAGAAATTGGATAATATAGCAGCTACCTTTTCTAAAATGTCTGAAAAGCAGTTAGCACAGTGCCCAGCACAGATGGCACCCTCCATTCGTTTTCAACAATTGGTGCATGTCGAGTCTTCTCATTTCTGGTAAATGAATTACTAGTGGTCCCTTGAGGTAAGCTGATAGGATTGCCAATAATAAATATCGACCTTGTTGAAGGAGGTTAGAAGTTGCCTACACAGAAGACGCTGCAGTCTAAGAATGAGAAGCTTGAGGCCTTGGCAGCTCCAGAGAGTTCTCATTGCTGCCTGAACAGCTGTCTCAAGGTTAAGCCCCAATTGGAGAGCTCTAGGGGAGTGGCTTGAATGCTGGCCTCAGTCAGAGAAGGGTTACTCCACTGACTGAGAGTGTCCTGTGCAGAGTCTGCCCAGCAAGACCATATAAAGGATTTGCTAAGGGAGGTGCCTCCTGTGTGCTGCAATTGTACTGAGCTGCAGGAGGTCACAGGGTCTCCACAATACACCCCTGCATTTCACCTTGTCATAGTTGTGTCCATGAGTGAATAAAAACAAGTGAAGTAGAAATTGCTCCTGGCAGGAGATGAACAGGAAAACCTTGCTGGGCAGTGTGATGACTAATTGCTCCCCATTCACAGAAGAAAAGCCTAAAATCCTTCAACTGTCATAAACACAGGGAAAGGGTTTCCTGATGCAATTGTGTGTCAGGGGCAAACTGGTGAGTGGTTGAAGAATCTTTTCCCCCTGTGGGGAGGGGAGGCAGATGGAGAGTGACAGAGCATGTCCTTGGGGTGAGTCACTAGGGCCTGCTCTGTAAGACAGAAAATCACCTCAATTCCCTGCCTCCCTTTGAAGCCCATGGAGAGCTGCTTAAGGTCAGCTCCCCTTTGGCAGGGGCTCACATGGGTCTGGGTGTGCTCCACTACTCAAAGTCCCTGGAATTGCATAAAACACATCAACATATATTCTGTTTTCCAGGTTCGAGAAGAATAAGGAGTTTCTTTTTATAAAAAGACAACAGCTGGAAGAAAGCCCTTAAGAAATAAACATTTATGTGGCGTGAAAAGCCAGCTAAAAAGACGATGAGCAAAATGTACTGATCCAAGGAATTGCTCCTTGAATTAATGGATGGATTTTTGATTCTCAATGTCAAGGGACTTTTCTTCTAAAATTTTACTCAAGAAGACTAAATGGATGTTAAGAATCAATTTTGATGTTAGAAAAGAAGGCACATTTATTCTTTCTTCTGTATCTTCATGCACAGAACTCATAGAAGAAACCCTTAGACTATGATCCATGGAACTGATACATGATGGGAATGATTTTTTTGAAGTTATCTAACTTTGCTTGAGTCATCCCTGTATCTTGATGACAACTGACAACACTTTCCTTAGTAATGTGAGGCAGGCATTGTTGTAGTTAGGCCCTTTGTATCTGTAGGTAAACCTTCCTAATCAAAACACAAGTAGACTACATGCCTGTGTAGACCATAACCACAAAGCTACTGCTTCCTGTCAGTGAGAGGGTTGTACAGGCTCTGGGTTGTGGCCATGGAGCTAAGTAGGAGGGAAGGTATGTTCCAGAATTTCTTTCCTTGGATGATTCTAGACTAAAGTTGGGCACTAGCAAAAGTCCATAGCAGATTTAGTAGGTAAAAATGGAGGAGTTCTATTTTATGTGCATAAGGTCAGTATACAATCGCAAATCCTATGACAGTTGAAGAAATATTACCGATGTCCCAAGGCAAGCTATTAGTAATCAGCTACCCTGGACCATTTTTTCCTCTTACTTCCTGCCAGTCTCCTTCAACTTTGCAGGCATGTGGGCGGTTCTAAGGTGACCAGTGTCGGCTTCACCTGGGGAACACCCAGCCTTGCTATAGTAGCCAGGGATGAGGACAGTTTGGAAATAGTTTGTCCCTTCCGGAGTTGCTTCATTCTCGCTCTCCCTCAACCCTGTGCAGCTCACTACAGCCAACTTCAAACCCAGCATTCATAGCCACGTGTAAAACTGACCCCTGACAATAAATGCTATTCTCTGTCATTCTCGATGGTTCTTCCTCTCTACCCAACCACACTCACATGGGATGCTTTGACATCAATTCCAGGTTCCAGTGTTGCCAAAGGAGCAAGGGCTGGTCTTGTGTGGGATCCTCTGCATATGGGCTTTGGTGTTTATATTTGACTCTCATTGTTGAGAGAAAATCTCAACACTCTCTATGAGTGCTGGCCTATGACTGTTTGAAATCAGCATTCTCTCTGAATCCCCCAGAAACACAGCCTCTTATCCAATCAATCAGACTTCTCATTCCTGCTGAGAGTCACCCTGTGTTTGAGGCAGCAGGATGTCAATGGTCCCAGTTGGCTTAAGCAAGCCAAGGCTGATTCTTCTGAATGTCAAGGTCATTCGAAGCGTGGTACACTAAATTAGAGTGTGGAGATGTGGGGGAGAGGGCTCTGAGGAGTCATTGAGGGAGTTGCTAGACAGCCTATTGTGCTGAATCTAAAGCAGTGGGCTCCTCACTATTGATCTATTGATCACAACCCTGTCAGAAAATGCTAAACAGTTAACATGTGACAGGAATATTCTGGAATAATTTTTAAACACTTACGGAAAAATAAATTTTGAATTATATTGGAGTAAGCTAATATTCCCATTTAAGAAACATTTCTATGTCTTAAACCTGACAGTAGAGATTTTCTGTTTTCACCCTGCCAATCCTAAAATCTGATGACTGTTTCTCTACACTTTATACACCATTCAGAAAAACGTTTCTCCATACTTTACAGGAAATTTTCAGGAAAATCAGTGTTAGAGTCCTCAGCTGGAGATGATGCATCCATTTTTTAAAAGAAGGACTTACTCTTATATGTATTTGTTTGTTTATGAAAGTGTATGCCACGTAAGTGTGGGGGCCTGCAGAGTCTAGAAGAAGTCATTGGGTCTAAGAGGGTGTTGGGAACCAGACTCCAGTCTTCTAGAAGAGCAGCAAGTGCTCTTAACTGCTGATCCATCTCCAGCCTCAAAGACATTCAATTTTAATTCACTGCTAACTATTCATTTATTAAAATTTCTCTCATTTGGGAAAAATTTAAGCAAAAGGAGCCAAGATTATTAAGAAACTTAAACATTATCTCAGTGGAGTTTTTTTTTTTTTTTTTTTTTTACACAGGGGCTTTAGTATTTTTTTTTAATTTTTAATTTTACTGTCAATGGACACTTTTCACACATTGCAGTATAAGCACTTAAGAATGAACAAACCCGGTACAAAGTGTGAGGCTAAAACTCAAGTCAGTTGACAGAAAAAAAAAATTGGACCATTTGGCAATCACATCACATTTTAGGGTTTGCTTTTTTTCTTACAAACTACAGAGTTAAAATCTTGACAAGGTCACAGACAGCCTGGTTTCAGTGGTGAGTTAACAAGCTTTCATATTAGACACTTACTTTCATATAAATTTTTTATGTATTTATATATTTTATGCACATATATATGCATGCATCCAATATCAATTAATGAAAAAGAGGCCATGAATTTGAAAGAGAGAAAGGGGGGTCATATGGGAGGATTTTGAGGGATGAAAGGAAAGAAAGAAACAGTATAATCATATTATAATCTCAAAAAGAAAAAGAAAGAGAAATATAAAAATTTAGGGAAATAGAACATTGCCAATAGCCTATCTTCTCCCCTACATAACATGTATATGCAAACCTAAGACCATAAGAGGACTAACTACCAATATGTCCTTAAGACAGGCATTTATCATGGCCAGGGTCACCAGCTTTACCAGTCTAGTGTTTCCAGGTGTAACTCAACTCCAGACGAGCCAGCCCTGAGGTGATTAAGCTGTTCCAAGAGCATTCTTAGAGATATTGACATTGACTGTCTGGGAGCCCCAGTACTAACCATCCTAAACCATCCTCATTGGTTAAGCTGAAGTAACCGTGTATATACAGGAAGAGCGAAGTATCCTATGAAATCAACTATTCAGTCTCAGGCTATGGCCCCTCACCTTTTCCCTACTGTGCCTTCTTCCACTTGTTCTCACCAATTGTTGGGTTTTGCGTCAGCTCCTAGCAATATATTTCTTCTGGGTTCTTGGTTGAAACCTCAACATCATTTCTCAAGGTAAGCTCTGTTTTTTCTCTTTGAGATGTGGTTCCTTGTCCTCACCCTAAGTCAAGGGCTTTTAAAAACGGGGTGTTAGAAAAGGGAACAAGAAGAAAAAAGAAAACCACCAAGAACATGAAGTGTTGCATAGGAAACTAGGCTACATTCTATGGGTTTTAAGAAAATAGCTCCAAATATAGGTTCAGCCCATCTAACTGCAGAAGTATACAATATTGCTCTATTTGTTATTATTAAATATTATTATTATTATCTGGGAAATATACTTATACAGTTTTTATCTGTGTCTTCAGACCTGCTCCCTCAGAACCAGAACCCATTCTGCTCCCTAACAGAGAGGTTCACTGCTTTGGATTCCATCTAGGCATCTCTTCCCTTTGCCCTCAGCCTGGGTGTTTATTCTTCTAGCTCTTTCACTTAAAGGCCATCTTGGTCTGGATGATTCCTCACATGGAAGGCAGTGACTTTGATATGACCCCCTCATTCTATATTTTGGGGACTGTGTGATGTCCTGTGACTTTAAATTTCAGTTTGCCCCTGGTTTCAGGTCCTCTAGTCCATTGAGGGAGATGAATGCTCTGCCTCTTGATCTCAACTCATAATTTTGAATGATCCATGTGTTTCCTGTTGGGCCCGTCACACAGACTTCTGATTTACCAAAGCTTCTTAAACTGCATATGATTCCACATATCATTACACTAGGCAACAGATTTCACTTGAAGACAAGTTAGACTGCAAGGGAGCAACTGCCTCTTACTGCTTTGCCCAACTAAAGGATGGGAGTAACAAACAAGGGGACCAGTCTCCCTATTGTGCAAACCACAGGGTCAGAACTGGGGAAATGCCTCCTCCAGGTGCAACTCTAAACATAGTCCCGTTCTTCGGGGCTGGGGGTAGGGGGTTAAGTGTTGGTGACAGGTGAATATCAATGAAGAAACCCACGGAAGGGGCATAACATGTATGTTAACCCTAGGACACCTCAGGCCTTCCTAGGGAGGTGATGGAAAGAGGACAAGCTCCCGGGAGCAGGGATGCTCACACTAGTCAGCGTGGATATCTGCAAGGTGCACAAAGATCTTCATGTTCCTTCTCATCACTTGAGCCATGTGGCCCTTCAATTCCCATGACTTGATCAAACTAGATCTCAGGTTTGTACAAGTCACTTTCAGTTCAAATTCTGTTCCTAAAGTCAAAGGTATTTAAAGTTGTGTTGTTGCTTTTTTACTCTTTATTCTTTGGGCATTTTGGTCTTTGGGGGCCTGCCACCCAGTTCCCAAATTATCACATGGAGGTTTATTCTTTCTTATGAATGCCCAGCCTTAGCTTGGCTTGTTTCTAACCAGCTTTTCTTAAATTGTCCTATCTACCTTTTGCCTCTAGGCTTTTATCTTTCTCTATTTCTGTATATCTTTTCTTTCCTTCTTATTCTGTGTCTGGCTGTGTGGCTAGGTGGCTAGCCCCTTCTTTTCTTGTTCCTTGGTTTCATCCTCCCAGATTTCTCCTCCTATTTATTCTCTCTGCCTGCCATTCCCACCTCTCCTTTCTCCTGTCTTGCTATTGGCCGCTCAGCTCTTTATTAGACCAATCAGTGTTTTCAGCAGGTAAAGTAACACAGCTTCACAGAGTTAAAGAAATACAGCATAAAAGAATGTAGCACATCTTAAAATAATATACTACAGCAAAGAGGTCTCATGACTATAGCATTTTAAGGCATCTTTTTATATGTTAGTAAAAATTCCTAATAAGCAATTGAATTTTTTTTTTAAGTTGTGGATGGTTGAAATAAAATAATTCACAAAGACACTGAAGCTTTAAGCAGCACCACACAGACTAAGCTTGGAGAAGGTTCTGGGCCAGTAGGTGTGGGGGATAAAGGTGAGCTTATGAAGTCTAGAAGCAGCTGTTTCAAGTCTCATTTCTTTCTAGCTTTTTGTCAGTTTGGAGTGATTGGATCTTTCTGTTACTCATTATGATGCTTAATAATTTTTGTGCTAAAAGCACATGTGATTTTTTTAACATATATCAATTACTGTTATTCATTGGCTATAGCCTGAAAAATATAAATAGTAGCTTATGCTTCTAAGACTGTGCTTGTACATGGCTTAGAGAGTCTAATTACTCTCACATGATCAGTTTTTGGAAGTCAATCATCTGGAAATATAGGATATCTGAAAAGATTTGATAAGGTTTACAGATAACTTTTTAGGATATCAAGCTTATCTGTGTACCCAGCAGCTTCCTGCATGTTGTCGCACATCATCTTTAATACACAGGACATGGTGCACCTTGGGATGAAGCCCAAACTCTGTATTAATCACATGAACCTTGTGTCTTCTCAGTTTCAAGGGTAAGTTTATCCTTAAAATCAGAAAGGTCAAATCAACAAAGCCACCAAAGCTAGGAACAAACAGCAACAACACCCCCCAACACACACACACACACACACACACACACACACACACACACACACACACACACCACAAAGCAGGAAGTGGTACATTGACCCAGTTCTGTGAAAAACAGAATCTGTAAACTGGAAGATAACATAAGAAAGAGAAGGTGTGGGTGGAGAGTTGGGGTATCACGTTTTAAACTTAAATTATTTTTGTTTTCCAGAGGGACAGCAGAATTCAACCAAACAAAATAAATCAAAACAAAACAAAACACCCATTTTCCATAATGGAAAGGCCCTTCTAAAATAAAGCCAAGAGTCCAGGTTGGACAGGAATCTTTGTTGTAGACATAAACGTCTCAGTGTCTCTGCTATGGGAAACCTACAGACACTGTAAATAACCAACTGGATTCTGGCTTACGGTGAAGATCAGGAGGGAAAACAGATGCAATGAGGCTATTGTGGATTTTAAAGCTTCTGCTGTTCTCTGTTACAGTTGAGTAATCAGCATCTTTTACAAAGTAATA